ACTAGGATTACAAGTGTGAGCCCTTTGCCCTGCCTTCTTTGCTATTTTAAAGACATTCAGCAGTTATTTCAAAATGACATAGTAGACAGAAAACACATGTAGCTAAAAAATACCAGATGTATAGCCCTTTTGTCTCACTTAAAAATGTATGTATATATTACCCAGAAATACAAATTCCAAAGACAACAAATATCATAGTACTATATAAACTGTATACCTTAGGATAACAGAAACCAATCTCAAAAAAAAAAAAAAAAAAAAAAAAAAAAAAAAAAGAAACCTAGCACTCTGGGAGGCTGAGACGGGTGGATTGTTCGAGGTCAGGAGTTCAAAACCAGTCTGAGCAAGACCCCTTCTCTACTATAAATAGAAAGAAATTAATTGGCCAACTAATATATATAGAAATAATTAGCCAGGCATGGTGGTGCATGCCTGTAGTCCCAGCTACTCAGAAGGCCGAGGCAGCAGGATTGCTTGAGCCAGGAGTTTCGAGGTGCTGTGAGCTAGGCTGACGCCATGGCACTCACTCTAGCCTGGCAACAAAGTGAGATTCTGTCTCAAAAAATAAAGAAAAAAAGAAAAAAAATCACAAACACAAAGGAACAAACAAATTTATGCCCCCAACTCTTCAATCTACAATAAACTGTTTTATAATGAAAGGTATTGCCATTGACTAGGGAATGAAAGAATAGCTAATTAGCACTAACTCCTCTGCTAACACCATCTGCCTTTACAGGTCTTGTTCTCCAACTTCTTCTTGTTAGAGTATAAGAAAAATGATCCCCTAATACATTGATAGATATCAGTAATTAAAACTGGATAGCCTACTTAGTCTCCTTCATCTGAACCAAATCCTGAAACTTAAGGGAGGAGTAATATAAATGTAAATCACTTAAAATTACCCTCCTTCCTTTTCTTTTTTATAAACATACATAAAATCTCACAGTCTCTCTGAACCACTTCACTCTCAGAATTAAAGGAACCACCTGAAAAAAAAAATTAGTGATACAGGTTATAATCAACATTGTCATTAATCTTCAATCTTAGTGATTCTTTAATAGGTGGAAAACAGTTTTATCTAAAATGAAAATTCTCATTTATATGTTAAAGTCAATATATTTACCTTAATAATGCCATTTTTGCCTTATACGAAGCAAAATAAGTTGTTCCAAAAGCCATAATGATGTAAGAATGGCAGCTGTAGAGGTCTTTACACGAATTACTGGACTGTACTCACAGGATGACTCAGTTATACCAGAATCACAGAGCAGTCTTCTATCAGACCATCTTATCATCCATTCAGCAGTCTTCCTACATGCTAATGTGTTATCCTAGTGCTACAGGAAGATCTCTTGAGGGTTAATATCATCGCACGAATTGCTCGGAAAATATATCTTCTAGTTTTAGTGACCTTGGAGTCCAAAAAATGTTGAAGATCTCTGGATAGAGTTTCTCTCGATTGTCATCTTGTATTCTGTAAATTGACTTTGTTTCAAACCGAACAACCCTCCACTCTTTCCTCCATTTTTATGGACTTCATTCAAAGGGTTCTCTAAAAATGGTGTGACCCTTGGTTAAACATTACTGAAGCATCTGAAAGTGCCTGTGTCTATTGTTAGTACCTGGAATTCAGCATACAGTTGCTAAGAAAAAAATAATACAAAAGTACATATACATACAAAAACTGCATACTATAGCTGATATACTTTTAAATAAAGAATGCTTTTTACCACTGATTAAGTTTGCTAAAGCAGTTTTATGAGACAAATTTCATTGCCTGAAATATTGACAGTGTTACTATGCTGTAATAGAATTCAATGAAAGAAAAATGCTGCAGTGGCATGGTGTTGATGGTCTATCACCATGAGTGCCTTTCTGAGATAGTCTTGCTTATGTATTTAATAACAGTTGAATAAAAAATACATATAATTTAAGTACTAAGACAAATAAAGCTGAATAATTTTATCCACATGATTGACTTACTTCTAACTTGTGGGTAAAGTCAGCGTACAAATGGCAATATTTAGTACTTTGAGACCTCCAAAGTTCTTTGGTGACTTCTAGAGAGAAACAAAGAGGAAGAGAAAACACCATTTAAAAAAAAATCTAGTTGACTTTTAGAAGGTTCAGGAATGTTATAGGAAACAAAATTGAAAGAAATCTTTCATCCTCTTACAAAGAACTGTCTTTAAAACAAGTCAAAGATTTCCTTCTTCTTAAGTAAACCCAGGATGACCCCTGAGAACCCATATCAATATGATAACTCATAGAAACCTGAGAGTTTTCTTTTTAGGAAGACTGCCAGGAGATTGTTACAGAGTTGGTTGAATTAAGGAGCCTAATTCTTACCTACGTAACAAAAGGCCCAATAATTGTAAAAGAATTGCCAACACAAAATTACTTAGATCTCTTGGGATTTACTAAAAACAAGTTATGAAGTCTAATATGTCAATTTCATAAATACATTATCTTTAATTTTATGGTTCAAAAAAAAAAAAAAAAAAACAAAAAAAAAAAAAAAAAAAAAAAAAAGAAAACAAAAAAGTTATGAATCACTAACTTAAATATTAAGACTAAGTAATTATCTAGTAATTAATCATTTACCCAATTTTACATAATAATAAGCCAAAGAAAAATTATCTAAGTATGAACTGACTTCATAGTCTGATATGTGCATATCCATTTTCCTTCCTGTGTAAATGTTTCTACTTCTAAAGATCTTCATTGGTATCATAAAATTCTTTTTCAGTATTATGTGATGGAATAATCTCATCATGTATTTCTACTTACTTCAGGATTTGTTGCTTTGTTGGCATTCTATGAAAAATGAGGCAGGCAAAATTACAAACTCATTCTTGGATTAAAGAGCTTGCTTTTCATATTGATTCAGTTTTTTGAAACAAAGACAGTTCACATTATACAGTATTTTTTTTTTTTTTTTTTTTGAGACAGAGTCTCGTTGTGATGGTCAGGTAGAGTGAGTGCTGGCGTCAGGCTAGCTTCACAGCAACTCAAACTCCTGGGCTCGGAGCGGATCTGCTGCCTCAGCCTCCGATAGCTGGGATACAGGATGCACCACCATGCCCGGCTAATTTTTATATACATATCAGTTGGCCAATTAATTCTTTTTTTATAGTAGAGACGGGGTCTCGCTCTTGCTCAGGCTGGTTTTGAACTCCTGACCTTGAGCCAATCCGCCCGCCTCGGCCTCCCAGAGCGTAGGATTACAGGCGGAAGGACCACCCGCCGGCTATTACAGTATTTTTTAAAACCAGTCTGGTACATGTTAGAAGCTCAGTAAAAGATTGTTCAATGAATGACTGAACATCTAGTTTTTTTACTCGGAAGATTATGAAATTTCAAACTTAATCTAATATTACATTCTCACCAAGGACCCTTCAGCTTTTAAAGCTTTTGCCTTGTATTCAAAGATATATTGACTCTATATTTACTTCATGTATGTAAAATGATGAAAGGATTAGTTCCACTTCCTCTGAACATGGGAAATAACTAAACATAATAGCATGATTTTCAGGATGTTAATGCTTCCTCAGAAGATATGAGTAGACCAACAAGGAAAATATATTTGCAATGAATTGTTAAGCACTTCAGAAGTTTATTCCTGTTCCTCTAGTTCAAAAATGCTCATTCCTTTAACTTTCAAGTCCAATTCTTCCCTTAAGCCGACACACCATTCAAACCAAGTACCTTCGATTGGAAAAAGAGGTTTAATCGCAACTTATTCAAGATAACCTTGACACAGATTTACTTTGATCATTTCTTTCTCAGTTCCACCTTGAGTTGCTATGCATGAACAGCCAGCATCATGTTTTTGTGCTCCATTCTCAATACTTGGAGAACATCTGGGAGACCCAGTGAAGTTCTCTACTACCTGAAAAACCATTTATGGGTATTTAGTATTGTTATTATATTTATTTTTTTGAGACAGAGTCTCACTTTGTTGCCAGGCTAGAGTGAGTGCCATGGCGTTGACCTAACTCACAGCAACCATCCAAACTCCTGGGCTCAAGCGATCCTCTGGCCTCAGCGTCCCGGAGTAGCTGGGACTACAGGCATGCGCACCTTGCTTATGGCCTAACATGAAAAACACACAACTGATCTGCCTATTTTAAGACAACCTTTATTGAGCTTTGCCTTCAATAGAACAAGGAGATAGATTCTAATTACGTAAAATTTCTGAAGTAAGGCTGTGCTTTATTTTCTTCCTCTTTTTTTTAAACACTAAGCACTCTGGGTCAACCTCTATAAAAGAAATTCAAAGACAGAACTGGGTAAATTTGTTCTATGGAGAGAATTAAAAGCATTTCAAACACTATTAGAAATCAGAAGCTGAAACAACAAACTCCATCTTTCTTTTTATTTTTTTGAGACAGAGTCTCGCTTTGTTCCCAGCTAGAGTGAGTGCCATGGCGTCAGCCTAGCTCACAGCAACTTCAAATTCCTAGGCTCAAGCAATCCTACTGCCTCAGCCTCCCCAGTAGCTGGGACTTATAGGCATGTGCCACCATGCCCGGCTAACTTTCTTCTATATATATTAGTTGGCCCATTAATTTCTTTCTATTTATAGTAGAGACGGGTCTCGCTCTTGCTCAGGCTGGTTTCGAACTCCTGACCTTGCAAGCAATCCGCCCGCCTCGGCCTCCCAGAGTGCTAGGATTACAGGCATGAGCCACCACACCTGGCCATCTTTCAATATTATATCCAATACTTCCACTACTTTTTTCAGAAAAGACTGTTCTAACATAGTTCTTATATGTTTTATAACACAACTGTTAGTGGAAACTCTTTCAATAATTAAAGATGTCAGAAATGTGTGCCTATGATGCTCTTTCAATGCTTCATGTTGTTTTAATTTATTTTCTTAGTTTTTAGTCAAAACATCCAGCAATTATTTCAAAATGGTACAGTAGGTATCTTTTAATTCCCTTATTTATAAAACACAACTATTTCAAAATGATATAGTAGGCAAAAATTCTTACCTAGAAATTTCTGAACTTGTGTCTACACAAAATGAATGAGGAATGGTATGTTCAGGATTGGAAACAGCTTCGATCACACTACATATAAAAAGCAGTAAGTGATTAGGAAGCAAGATATTCTTTGCATTACCTAAAGTACATGTGATCTAATTTAGCTCAGCCATCTAAGAATCTAAACATCCTCTAATCCTCTATAATGCTTAGCTCATAATTATAATGTTTACATCTGTCTCCATAGCAATTAGTAACAGATTCAAACAAAAGCAAAAAGTATACCTGGATGACTTAACACACGAATTAAATACTACTGACTACTCAGCAGCGAAAATAATTGAATCTAAAATGAGTGAACATGAGGACAGCTGGGACCCAAATTTCACCCATGGAAAAGGCAGACACTTTGCTCAGAACACTAAAGAGCCCACTGTCACAATCGTAACTGTAAAGACTGGTTTTTATGAATAGAAATATTTGTATTATTTATGAAGGCACATGATATTAAATATATTCTTTTTGTTAATTAGCCACAGAAATACTAAACAAAATTTGTGTATTGAAGAGAGAAAGAAAATCTAATTATGATGCCTCACTTATACAAGGTAATTCTAAAATTCTAAAACTTCTAAAATTTTAAAAATTAACCAATCATGTCCAAATTGCAACACATCAAAACTACTGTCAGCACTCCATAAAGCAATAACAAGCCAGCAAGCAGAGAATGCATACATCATAGCCCTAATGGATAGTCAAAGACTATATATATAGTGATTCATAATTGTTCTTTATTTGATTCAATAAGAATGGAATCAGTATGGAAAGGTGCTTTCCTAATTAGCAGCTGAATAAACCCTGGTCTATTTACAACTGTATTTTATTTTGATAGGGCTGATAAAGTGATGAGAGACCAAAAAGCATTTTAGATATCATTGTTTATTTCACTCTACCCAAGACATAGAAGTATGTTTACCAAAAATAATTTTTTTCTATAACCATAAATTGAAGAAACAATTTCACTAGAAGCAAAATGCCACCACAAAATAAGTATTGTAAATTATGAGAAAAAAAAGACAAAAGCTTCTCCGAGGTCACCAAACCAGTTGTAATCACTTCCATACTTTTCCCCACTTTACCTTTTCTGTTCAGTCAATTTTTTCTCCATATTTGTCTTCAGTGTTTCTTCCTTTGGACACTGAACCTCTTCTGTGGAATGCTATTAAAATTAATGGTACCCAGAAAGAAAGGAGGTGAAACAAATAAGCATTAGTGTCTTAGGTATTTTGAGTTTCACATTAGCTACTCATCCAGAGTAAAGACAGTCTACAAACAAATGAGACGTTAAACACTAAAATGTACTTCCAGTCCTGCTCTGAACAGATCTTTATACTGTGTGAATTGTCTGTGGCCCATCACCCTGGGCTACTGAGAATGTTGAGGTATAGAGACAAGATGATGTAAGTAAACTAACACATTATAAATCACATACACCTGTCACTACATGATTATTAATTACCCTGTGAAAAAACTATAAAATCAGGAAAAACTAATCCTTTTTAAAAGAATTGTTACTATGATTGAAAATGTCTATGTTGTACCTGGCAATTCAGCATACAGTTGCTAAGAAAACAAATAATACAAAAAGTACATATACATACAAAAACTGCATACTATAGCTGAATTATACTTTTTAAATAAATAATGCTTTTTACCACTTGATTAATTTGCTAAAGCAGTTTATGAGACAAAAATTTCATTGCCTGAAATTATTGAACAGGTTACTATGCTGTAATAGAATTTCAATGAAAGAAAAATGCTGCATGGCATGGTGATGGTCTATCATCCATAGTGCCCTTTCATGAGATAGTCTTGCTGTGATGTATTTAATAACAGTGAATAAAAATACATATAATTTAAGTACTAGACAAAATAAAAGCTGAATAATTTTATCCACTATGTATTGACTTACTTCTAACTGTTGTGGTAAAGTCAGCGTACAAATGGCAATATTAGTACTTTTGAGACCTCCAACAGGTTCTTTGGTATCTTCTAGAGAGAAACAAAGAGGAAGAGAAAACTGACCATTTAAAAAAATAATCTATTGACTTTTTAGAAGGTTCAGGGAATGTTATAGGAAACAAAATGAAAGAAATACTTTCATCCTCCTTACAAAGACTGTCTTTAAAAACAAGTAAAGACTATTCCTTCTTCATTAAGTAAATCCCAGATGACCCCTGAGAGACCTCATATCAATATGTATAACTCTATAGAAAACCCTGAGAGTTTCTGTTTTAAGGAAGACTGCCAGGGAGATGTTTACAGAGTTGGTTGAATTAAGAGGCCATAATTACTACCTACGTAGAGCAAAAGGCCCAATAATTGTAAAAGAATTGCCAACACAAAAATACCTTAGATCTCCTTGGATTTACTAAAAACCAAGGTTATGAGTTAATATGTTCAATATTTCATAAATACATTATCTTTTAATTTTTGGTTTCAAGTTATTGCAAATACACTAACTTAAATATAAGACTAAGTAAGTTATCCCAGATAATATCATTTACCAATTTTACATTAATAAAGCCAAAGAAAAAAATTATCTAAATGAACTGACCTTCATAGTCTGATATGTGCATATCCATTTCCTCCTGTGTAAATGTTTCTACTTCTAAAAGATCTTCATTGGTATCTATAAATTCTTTTTCAGTATTATGAGTGATGGAAATAATCTCATCATTGATTTCTCTTACTTCAGGATTTTTTGCTTCTGTTGGCATTCTACTGACAAAAATGCAGCAGCTAAAATTACAACTCATTCTTGGAGATAAAGAGCTTGCTTTTCATTTGATTCAGTTTTTTGACAACAAAGACAGGTTTCACATTTATACAGTATTTTTTAAAAACCAGTTCTGGTACATAGTAGAAGCTCAGTAAAAGATTGTTCAATGAATGACTGAACATCCTAGTTTTTATTTACTCGGAAGATTAGAATAATTTCAACTTATCTAAATTTACCATTCTCACCAAGGACCCTTCAAGCTTTAAAGGCTTTTGCCTTGGTATTCAAAGATATATTACTCCTAGTATTACTTCATATGTAAAAATAGATGAAAGGATTAGTTCCACTTCCTCTGACATGGGAAATAAATAAACATAATACATGAATTTCTCAGGATGAATTAACTGCTCTCTCAGAAGATATGAGCTAGACCAACAAGGAAAAAATATAATTTGCAATGAATTGTTAAAGCACTTCAGAAAGTTTACTTCCTGTTCCTCTAGTTCAAAGAAATGCTCATTCCTTTAACTTTCAAGGGTCCAATTCTTCCCTCTAAGCCCAAACACCATCAAACCAAGTACCTTCGATTGAAAAAGAAGGTTTAATCGGCAACTTACTTCAAGATACCTTGACAAGATTTACTTTGATCATTTCTTTCCTCAGTTCCACCTTGAGTTGCTACTGCAACTGAACAGCCAGCATCTGTTTTGTGCTCCTTCTCAATACTGGGAACAATCTGAGACCCAGTGTAATGATTCTCTACTACCTGAAACAAACCATTTATGGTATTTAGTATTTCGTTTATTTATTTATTTATTTTTTTGAGACAGAGTCTCACTTTGTTGCCCAGGCTAGAGTGAGTGCCATGGCGTCAGCCTAACTCACAGCAACCTCAAACTCCTGGGCTCAAGCGATCCTCCTGCCTCAGCGTCCCGAGTAGCTGGGACTACAGGCATGCGCCACCATGCCCGGCTAATTTTTTCTATATATATTAGTTGGCCAATTATTTCTTTCTATTTATAGTAGAGACAGGGTCTCGCACTTGCTCAGTGTGTTTCGAACTCCTGAGCTCAAATGATCCGCCCACCTTGGCCTCCCAAGAGAGCTAGGATTACAGGCGTGAGCCACTGCGCATTGGTATTGAACTCTATTTTTCAACATATTCTAATATGTTGAAATATTGTTATTTATTCTTTCTACATAAGTTCTTCTGATTAATTCTCTTATTCATTTATCAAGTATTTACTACATTTCTACAACTCAATATTTGTTGCTAAAGCAATGATCAAGTTTTATTCCAACTAGATAAGCAACTCTGACTACTTAGATACTATTCAAAGAAATTAGCCTTACAAATTTGTTTTCAGGCCACAAAACAATGGCAAAAAAAAAAAAATGTAGCATTCTTATCTCATTCTCTTGGCTATTTGATTTTGAGATAGGGTCTCGCACTCTTGCCTGGGTCAGAGTGTAGTGGCATCATCACAGCTCATTGCAACCTCAAACCCCTGGGCTCAAATGATCCTCCTGCCTCAGCTTCCTGAGTAACTAGGACTACAGTTGTGTGCTACCATGCCCCAGACTAATTTTCTATTTTTGTAGAGACAGGTCTTGCTATGTTGCTCAGGCTGCTCTTGAACTCCTGGCCTCAAGCAAACCTCTCACCTCTGCCGCCAAAACACTAGGATTACAAGTGTGAGCCCTGTGCCCAGCCCTCTTTGCTATTTATAAGACATTCAGCAGTTATTTCAAAATGACATTAGACAGAAAACACATGTAGTAAAAAATACCAGATGTATAGCCTTTTGTCTCACTTAAAAATGTATGTATATATTACCCAGAAATACAAATTCCAAAGACAACAAATATCATAGTACTATATAAACTGTATACCTTAGGATAACAGAAACCAATCTCAAAAAAAAAAAAAAAAAAAAGAAACCTAGCACTCTGGGAGGCTGAGACGGGTGGATTATTCGAGGTCAGGAGTTCAAAACCAGTCTGAGCAAGACCCCTTCTCTACTATAAATAGAAAGAAATTAATTGGCCAACTAATATATATAGAAATAATTAGCCAGGCATGGTGGTGCATGCCTGTAGTCCCAGCTACTCAGAAGGCCGAGGCAGCAGGATTGCTTGAGCCCAGGAGTTTGAGGTTGCTGTGAGCTAGCTGACGCCCATGCACTCCTCTACCTGGCAACAAAGTGAGATTCTGTCTCAAAAAAATAAAGAAAAAAAAGAAAAGAAAAAATTCACAAACACAAAAGGAAAACAAAACAAATTTATGCCCCACCCCCAACTCTTCAATCTACAATAAACTGTTTTATAATGAAGGTATTTGCCATTGACTAGGGAAATGAAAGAATAGCTAATTAGCACTAACTCCTCTGCTAACACCTATCTGCCTTTACAGGTCTTGTTCTCCAACTTCTTCTTGGTTAAGAGTATAAGAAAAATGATCCCCTAATACATTTGATGAGATATCAGTAATTAAAACTGGATAGCTACTTAGTCCTCTTCATCTGAACCAAATCCTGAAACTTAAGGGAGGAGTAATATAAATGTAAATCACTTAAAATTACCTCCTTCCCTTTTTCTTTTTTATAAACATACATAAAATCTCACAGTCTCTCTGAAAGCACTTTCACTCTAAGAATTAAAGGAACCACCTGAAGAAAAAAAATTAGGTGATACAGGTTATAATCAACATTGTCATTAATCTTCCATTACTTAGTGATTCTTTAATAGGTGGGAAAACAGTTTTAATCTAAAATGAAAATTCTCATTTATATGTTAAAAAGTCAATATATTTACCTTAATAATGCCATTTTTTGCCTTATACGAAGCAAAATAAGGTTGTTCCAAAAGCCATAATGATGTAAGAATGGCAGCTGTAGAGGTCTTTACACGAATTACTGGACTGTACTCACAGGATGACTCAGTTATACCAGAATCACAGAGCAGTCTTCTATCAGACCATCTTATCATCCATTCCAGCAGTCTTCCTACATTGCTAAATGTGTTATCTAGTGCTACAGGAAGATCTTCTTGAGGGTTAATATCATCGCACTGAATTGCTCTGAAAATATATCTTCTAGTTTTAGTGGACTTGGGAGTCCAAAAAATGTTTGAAGATCTCTGGATTAGAGGTTTCTCTCGATTGTCATCTTGTATTCTGTAAATTGACTTTTGTTTCAAACCGAACAACCCACTCTTTCCTCCATTTTTATGGACTTCATTCAAAGGGTTCTCTAAAAATGGTGTGATCCCTTGGTTAAACATTACTGAAGCTGAAAGTGCCTGGTTTTCTATATTTATGGCATAACCTTCATTTAAGAAGGATGATTTTTCAGATTCATATGACTCAGTAGCAGCAACAAAACAAGAGCCAGCTCTAAACACATTTTGGCTTTTAGTTTTGCCTTGACGTCGTTTTAATGTTGTATGTACATCAAAAAGTAAAGAATTAAGCTCATGTTCTCTAAGCTGCTCAGAAAAGCTGATTAGAAATGGAATGCCAAGATCCCTAGAACTATGTAGATCTCTTTCAAGAACGTAACTCAAGAAGAGATCAAGGAATTTAATATATTCATCATCATCACGTTCAAATTCCCAAACACCTATTACAGGAAGAGTATTTTGTGGTAACTTTTCATGATCTTCTTTCCTTTTAGGGTTTTCTTTCTGATTACATATTTCCTTTTTCTCACTGTGCTTACCAATCACTGTTAATTCCGTATGATTTAGGGCATTTCTATAACCAAAACAAGAAAGAAAAGAAAAGAAGACAAAATTAAAAATTTAATCACTAAAACTGATCTTAGAATTGACATCAAAAATTTTCTCTGCTGATTAAGTCATGTATCTTTTTTGTGTCTCAATTATCTATCTTTTAAATGAGGGGGTTGGACTAAATAATCACTAAGTGTATTTAAGAGTAGAACATTCTATGAGGTCAAAAAATATAACACTTAAATATCACAAGGGAAAATTTGTATTAAAAGAGATTAAAATGTACTTACAAAAATTTCACTATATAAAAGCACATGAATGTTTTTTCTTGAGTAAAAAATCCTTTAATAGATCAGAATTTGGGAATACAAAGTCAATAAAAATCACAAACTACCAATACACATCTTACTTTAGGGTTTGTTTCTTTCTTGTGTATGTATACCACGTGCAACAAGCAGGACTGCCCTTTTTCGTTTTATCACATAAAAATTGGGAACTTTTTCTAAACCCTTTCAGCTACTATGAAACCTGTTAGGCAGGCACTTTAGCTGCCCAACCATAATTACTTTTAAATCTGTTTCTTTTCAACATGGTCCTTACAGCAGAACACACATCCTTTGTTCCCTCAATAAGAGAAGAGGTACTGGGCACCTGGACAGAAGTCATTACATCTCTTATCGAGAAAGCACAATAAGCACCTGTTAGGGTATTCCCATGCTAACATTTATTTTTTCAGGCAGAGTCTCACTCTGTTGCCCCGGCTAGAGTGCCATGGCGTCAGCCTAGCTCACAACAACCTCAAACTCCTGGGCTCAATCGATCCTTCTGCCTCAGTCTCCCAAGTAGCTGGGACTACAGGCATGTATGACCATGCCTAGCTAATTTTTTCTATTTTTGGTAGAGATGGTGTCTCGCTATTGCTCAGGCTGGTCTTGAACTCCTGAGCTCAAACGATCCGCCCGCCTCGGCCTCCCAGAGTGCGAGGATTACAGTTGTGAGCCACCGTGCCCGGCCAGCCATGCTAACAATTTAAATGTGCAGTTGTTTCGTGAAACAAGCACACCATTTAAAATGCTATTAGATATAGTTTAACTAGATATGATTATTTCACTTAAGCAAGAATATTGTTGACTAAACAGTTTTTAATCCATGAGAAAGATAAATTACATTGTAGATACTAGAATTATAGAGAAAAAAATCAGCTTAAATAACATTAACATAGGTTTAGACAATAAGCAAGAATTCCCTAACAATTTATAGACAAATTTCAAAGATGAATGTGCAATTTCTTTCCCTGAAAACTCTTAAAAATAATATGGCTAACCACTAATCTCAGACTATTTAAATCTGAAGATTACTAAAAAAAAAACCAAAAAACAAAAAACCACCTAAAAATCCTCCAGTGAACTCAATAACTTTATTTATTTGATTTCATAATTTCAGATGGCAAAATTATTTCCCATCTGAATACTCAAAATGAATTTTTTGCTCCTAATAGCCTCATTTTATATTCCAAATAGCCTAGTGAGAAGAGAGGATAGCACTTATCATTCATATTGTTAATAGCACAATCAGTGAATGTTGCTGGGACTAGAAATCAGCTTATCAGTTGCATGAAAATACTGAAAACATTCATTCATTCGTTTAAGTTTTTAGAGATGGGTCTCCCTCCATTGCTCAAGCTGGAGTGCAGTGGCACAGTCATATAGCTCAGTGTAACTCTGAACTGTGATAAAAAAGGTCCTCTTATCTCAGCCTTCCAAAGTACTGGGATTACAGGTGTAAGCCACTGCAACTGGTCTATAAACATTTTTTCACAGTGCTTGTTATTAAGAGATCTCAGCTGTACCTTTGATAGAAATGTGTCCTACTTGTTTCTTCAACCAACAAAACTTCAGAGAATGTATCGGCCGTATCTGCATCACTGTGAACCACGGAATTCCCCAGTTCTGTGAGTGTGCTTCTGCTCAAACTAGTCCCCAGGGAAAACCTGTCAAAACCTGGAGCCTCATCTGGTTTTTCTTCTTCAATTGGTTCCCATATATTCATCTCAAAAGAACCTATATTTCTCCGCACACGTTTTAGGGCTTTTGCCCTCACTTTATGGATAGAATGCATGATAGCAGACATCATTTCCTCAGTCTGGGGACCTAGAAAAGAATAAAAGGCCTTATAGTTCACTAAATTGTTTTAACTCAAGACATAACAGGACCCAGTTCTGGCCCCACCTTGGGACATGAAACCTAACTGACAATTGAGGCTTATTTCTATATTCTCACAGATCATGTTTTCTTCAATATTTGTTAAAAAGCTTTGGTTTACATTTTAAAGCAGAACTGCAGAAGCTAAAGAAGGTCTGTTACAAAACAACAAAAGAGAAGCATCCCCCCCCAAAGTGTGTGGTGGAAAAAAAAAATTTTAAGTCTTTTAATTATTTAAAAAATTAGAAGGGTAATTATTTTTTAAAAGACTAATTTTTTTCCATTCCCATGCAGTAGAGAATAAGGAAAAATAAGGATAATTTTAGCTAAAAGAAACCAAGGACACCTTTCTTACTACAAATAATAGGAAACAACAGCAAGGGAGGTTTTTTCCATAGAAAAATTTTAAACATTATTAACACATAAACAGAACATTTTAGATGGTATAAAAAAGTATTAAGAAAAATATAAATCACAAATCAGTATATTAATGCAATAATGTAAACTCATAAGACATACCTATATTTAAATACTAGATTATAGTTCTAAAAAAGAAGGCATTTGAATTCTTTAAAAATTTCTGCAACAATGTAAATGTACTTAATGCCACTGAAGTGTACACTTAAATGGTTAAAATGATAAATTTCATATATTTTACCACAATAAAAATAGTTCCACAAGGTCACCTTGAGTGTATAGGATAAAATGAGAATCATAAATAACCATAAAGGGAGAGGACTACTACTACTTTTCAATAAATACCTGCAATATGCAAAGCACTATTTGCTTGTTTTATATATCTCATTTAATCTTCTCTCAATACACATTCATAAAACTGATAACAATATATCCATTTTACAAATAAGGAAATGAAGCTCAGAGACTAAGTAATTTGCCTAAGGTCACATAGTTACTGACTGACAGAGCCATGATGTGACATTAGCTCCATATGGTTCCAATGCAACAGAATTGGTTTTTGTTTTGGAGTTTTTTTTTTGAGAGACAGTCTAGTTCTGTTACTGTCTCACTAGAGTGCAGTGGCATCATCATAGCTCACTGCAACCTTAAACACCTGGGCTCAACGGATCCTCCTGAGTAGCTGAGACTACAGGCACGTGCTACCACATCGCTCTTTTTTTATTTTTTGTAGAAGAGGTGTCTCACTGTTTGTTGCCTAGGCTGGTCTTGAACTCCTGGCCTCAAGGGACTTCCCATCCTGGCCTCCCAAAGTGCTAGGATTACAGGGATGAGCCACCACACCTGGCCTAGTTTTCCTGCAATGGGAAAGTGCTTCTACCTTCTCATATTCTTATCTAGAGAATGGCAAAATGCATAGACACATAAGCAATAGAAAATAAATGTTTTCAAATGAAAAGAATCTTCAGCAATTTATATATTAGACATCTGAGAAATAATAAATACCTTTTACAACACACTGTCTGAGTCTCTGTTGAAGAGAATGATACTTTTCTCTTAAAGGAACTCTTACATCCTTAGGATTAGGAAATGCTTTCACGAAAATTTCTGCTACCTTCAGAAAAAAAATTTAAGTTTTATAAGCAACATCATTATTTTTTTCCTCTTCATTACTCAAACATTTTAACTCAAAACATAAATGCATATTTATTACTAATCTTGAGGTCAAGTCAAAGCCTCTTCCTGAGCATGAGTCTGCTGATAGGAGTTCAGCATTAACTCTCTTTTTTTATTTTCAAATATTTGTCAAAAAATGTGTATATTGAAGGTTTATAACATGATTTAATATATGTACACATTCTGCACTGATTACCACAGTAAAATTAATTAACACATCCATCACTGCACATAATTACTACTTTGTGTGTGTTTGTGTGTAGGGTGAGCATACTAAAATCTCCCTCCCTTATCAAATTTCATTTAAACAATATGCTATTAACTATAGTCACCATGTTGTACATTAGATTCCCCAGAACTACTGACCTTATAACTGAAAGTTTGTACCCTGTGACCAACATCTCCCCATTTCTACCACATCCCTAGCCCCAGCAATCAACATTCTACTCTGCTTCTAGAGTGAATTTTTTAGATTCCATGCATACATAAGACCATACAGTATTTGCCTTTCTTTTTTTTTTTTTGAGACAGTCTCTCACTTTGTTGCCCAGGCTAGAGTGAGTGCCGTGGTGCAGCCTAGCTCACAGCAACCTCAAACTTCTGGGCTCAAGCAATCCTTCTGCCTCAGCCTCCTGAGTGGCTGGGACTACAGGCATGTGCTACCATGCCTGGCTAATTTCTTCTGTATATATTAGTTGGCCAATTAATTTCTTTCTATTCTAGTAGAGACGGGGTCTCGCTCTTGCTCAGGCTGGTTTTGAACTCCTGACCTCGAGCAATCTGCCTGCCTAGGCCTCCCAGAGTGCTAGGATTACAGGAGTGAGCCACCACGCCCAGCCCAGTATTTGCCTTTCTGAACCCAGAAGATATAATGCTAAGTGAAATAAGCCAGACATAGAAAAGTAACATTATTCTTAATTAAAATTTTTTAAAAAAATCCCTTAAAATCTCTGACTCTGATTTAGTTTACTTTTACCTACAATCACATTACCTGTCTGATTGGTGGCAGTTCTCCAATAAGACTCAAAATTATATCCTGAATAAGATCTTCAACATTAAAAAACCGAGAGAAAGGCAGCATTCTATAAGCCCATTCCACCGTACTGAGACAGTGTTCAACCACACAAGAATCAAACTCCACTTCGAGGTCCTAAATGGATATTGAAAAAATTCATTTCCTTTTCACGTTAGATGGACAGACCAGAATGAGTTCAAAAGAAACTTTTTCTACAAATAGCAAAATCTTCTATTAAGTAATAATTTCCCAAGTAATGTTTGTTCATTTTTCTTATTCTTGCTCTGGTAAATACCTTTTCTCCCTTTGTATTTTCTCTTGCTTTCTGATATTGTCTGCAACTATAGGATAACTTATCACGGATATGCAGCATCCAACACAAAGCACAAAGTTCTCTGAAGCAACCTAAAACAGGAATATAAATAAGAAAGCCATATGAGTATGTATATTAACATCATAAAAACTCCACCTTGCTGGCTCATGCCTGTAATCCTAGCACTCTGGGAGGCCAAGGCGGCGGATTGCTCAAGGTCAGGAGTTCAAAACCAGCCTGAGTGGGACCCTGTCTCTACTATAAATAGAAAGAAACTAATTGGCCAACAAATATATATATACACAAAAATCAGCCGGGCATGGTGGCACATGCCTGTAGTCCCAGCTACTTGGGAGGCTGAGGCAGAAGGATTGCTTGAGCCCAGTAGTTGGAGGTTGCTGTGAGCTAGGCTGATGCCAGGGCATTCACTCTAGCCTGGGCAACAAAGTGAGACTCTGTCTCAAAAAAAAAAAAAACAAAAAACAAAAAAACCAACTCCACCTTGGCTGTTTTTTTTAATAAGTGTCTTTATTTTGTTGATTATAAAAGAAATACATGTTCATTGTAAACTTACATAAAAGTCCTTATGTAAAAGTCATGGAGATCTTTCCAGAATTTTTATGCATATTAGAGTATTTCGTGCATATTAGTTACATGAAAATATTGAAAACATATTTATAGAGTAAATAACTCTATTATCAGGGTTTTTTTTATAATGTTATAGTATATTTTAGATTATTCTTCAAAGCCAATATACATAGCTCTACATTGTATAATTTATTTGGAAAGACTTACTGATATACTTTTAAAAAGACTTACTGATATAGTTTTATGTTTAAAATTTTTTAATACTAAAAACATTTCTAACATTAACTTTTTTATTAAAAACAATACAACTACGCAAAGATATATAAAATCATATTATGTATGTATGCTGTGTTGCAATTAGCTTTTTTTCACCTAATATATCTTGAATATCTTTTCATGCCGATAACATAAACATAAGATGTCTTTTTATTGCCAACATAGTACTCTGTTGTATGGAACATCATGATTTAACTATATACAATGCAAAGGGCTCACTATCCAGATAGCAAAGCAAGTTTCTACTGCTCTGCTAATCTTAAATTTAATTTCTCTTATTATAACTAAAATGTAACCAATTAAGTAAAAATCATCTTCTCTATCATTCTGTGGTAACAGCACCTTTTCTTGTGGATGGAGAAAGGTAATTCCCTAAAATTTAACAGTCATTCATTTATGCCTTAATTTTTTTAATAATCCTTCTTTTTATAGTAAACTGACTTTTATAGTAGTGGTCAGTATTTTCATTTTCTTTAGGAAGCTACTTAATGTATTCTTTTTAAGTGACTATTACAAAACCAGAAAGTACAATCTGACATTATGGAAAGTGAGCAGAAAGCAGGTCTTAAACAAGTTCTATCTACTCTAAGAGGGAGAGGGTTGTGGGTACATCCCCCCCAGGGGGACTATTAGGGTCCCCTATGGACATTTTCCCACTACATCCCAAACCCGCACACCAGATTCTGATAGATTCTACCAGGGGAGCATCACCCAATCTTTTGCAAAAGGTACCACTGCTAACAGATGGGTTTCACTGTCTCATATTTCACAGGCATGCTGGGCCCAATACAACTAAGACCAAGAAACAAGAGAGAGTGCAGCAATATTCTAAGCAACTACTCAACTAAAAGCATCCTTTATCTATATTTTTCAAACTGTGAATTATAATCTATTACTAAGTACTAGCTCTAAAATCAATTCAGTGGCTCTCAACCATTTAAAAAAATAGAATAGAATAGAAAATATCAAGAGTGCATTGTTCATAGTAAAAAGGATCGTTGATTGAATTTTCATTGCAATTTTATACAGGCGTGTATTTGTATTGTCTTGATGTGAAATCTGCATCTTATTGTAAATCATGATCAAAAAAGTTGGAATACCAAAAAAATATTAATTAACTGAAACCATAATGAAAGAGGTTCTACTGGAAAAATGCTCTCATTTCTTCAATAAGTAAATGGCATGAAAAAATATGTGGGAAAGGAAACTTTTATAGATTAAGAGAGACAGGAAAGGAAACTTTTTAATCTAGCGAAATCACTTCTCAACAATCAAGACACCAAATCAAGCAAAAGAGTAAATAGTGGACCTCAATTAGGATCAAAATGAAAATATTAAAAATATATGTTTCAATCTAGAAGTCACTTCAAAGGAATATGTTCTATTTATAAGCAAAACTCCCTTAACTAGGATTGTTATAAATTTAACTCACTTCCAGATTTCTTTTTTTTGTTTTGAGACAGAGTCTCTCTGTTGCCCAGGCTAGAGTGCCAAGGTGTCAGCCTAGCTCACAGCAACCTCCAACTCCTGGGCTCAAGCAATCCTTCTGCCTCAGCCTCCCGAGCAGCTGGGACTACCTACAGGCATGTACTACTCATGGCTGGCTAATTTTTTCTATATATTTTTAGTTGGCCAATTAATTTCTTTTTATTTTTAGTAGAGATGGGGTCTCACTCTTGCTCAGGCTGGTTTCAAACTCCTGACCTTGAGCGATCCTCCCGCCTTGGCCTCTCAGACTGTTAGGATTACAGACGTGAGCCACTGTGCCCAGCCAGTTCCAGATTTTTAAGAAATGAAATAGGACTATACACGCATTTCCAGGTGACAACAGCCTAGCCCTTTCTTTTGTTAGAGTAAATAAAAAGTCTCTGAAACTAATCTCATGACAGCTGAGAGAAGCAATCAAGAAGCATTTTAATGTCATTATAGTTGAAAAAACAGACAGTCTGAGCCCCAGGACACATACTATTTAACATTAGTACTAAGGGTGAGTGAGTTAAAAAATAACTTTTTTATTTTTTAAGAGACTAAGTCTCACTGTGTTGCCCAGGCTGGAGTGTAGTGACTATTCACAGATGTGATCACAGTGCACTGCAGCCTCAAACTCCTGAGCTCAATCAAACCTCCTGCCTCAGCCTCCCAAGTAGCTAAGACTACAGACAACCAGCACCATGTCAGGCTCAAAAAACATTTTAATCAAAGTCTGGAGATAACAGTAGGGCTTAATATAAATGGAACTGAGACGAATTAAAGATTCAGGAGAAAAGAGTTGATGATATCTAAAGTTTTGCTTCTTTTTAAACTTTTTTATGCAGATAATTAGACATAGACCATGAATAGGAAATTAATTTATAAAAGGAAACACAAGTAAACTAGATGCTCAATATAACTAATCAAAATAAAGACATCCTAATATAAAACTATCATTTTTTCTCATTAATCTGAAGGAATTATAAAATTTGGCATACTATTTCGAGAGATATAAAATAGGCATATTCATTAACTTAGCAATTCCACTTCTGAGAATTTATCTTAAGGAAATATTTCAAAATATAAAAAAAGAAACTGATGTGCCAAAAGCCACTTAAACATATGACAATTTAAATAAATTACAATATGTATGCTAATAGCCATCAAAACTAACAGACATGAGTATAAAATGAAAAGCTTAGGTAGGGTATGTTAAGATAGAACAGCAGGAAACAAAACTGGTGAGTTAACACTGAAAGCATCCTTGTCTACTTAGTAACAGTTGACAGTATATCCCAAGTATAAGAAGATGACCACAGAAAGGCATTCTTGAGTGCTAAACTTCCAAATTTAAAATATAAAGCAATGACAATAATGCCATAAGTATCACAATTTATTTTATATAATGCATTTCTAATTTAATGCCACATATTTAACACATATATCAATATATTCATGGCTGTTAAAATACAGTTTTTTTTTTTTGTTTTTTTTTTAGGAGACAGTCTCACTCTGTTGCCCAGGCTGGAGTGCAGTGGCATCATCGTAGCTCACTTCAATCTTATACTCGTGGGCTCAAATGATCCTACTGCCTGAGCCTCCCAAGTAGCTGGGACTACAGGTGCATGTCACAATGCCCAGCTAATTTTTCTACCTTTGTTTTACAGATAGGGTCTCATTCTTGTTCGTGCTGGTCTCAAACTCCTGACCTCAAGTGATCCTCCGCCACCACAGTCTCCCAGAGTGCTAGGATTACAGGCCACCTCACCGGGCCAAAATACAGTATTTACTTGTTAACACAATGTAAAATATCATAGAATATACTATACTTTAAAGAGCCAATAGTTTAGAAACTTTCCCAAATCAAATGAAAAATATATCATTATTCATACTTAGGCCTAATATCTAAGCAAACAGTTCATTTTGGACAAACCTATTACTCTGATGGAAACTTCATCAAGCTTGTGGTCTCCAGTTGCTCCAGGGATAAAGAATGCTACACCTCCTTTACAATAATTAAGTAATGACTGAGGGAAAGGACTCAATGAAGGAAGGGACCCTTTCATTCGAATCTGAAAGTAAAGAATAACAGAATGTTAGTTACCAGTAGTATAATCATTTTTTAAGGAAACTATGAAAGATCGAACCAGGTAAGATAAACCATATAGAATGGAAAATATAGCACAGTTTTCTACTATGTAAGGAATATAACTCTGAAATTAATTGTACTTTAAGAAACTTACAAATTTAATTCAAGAAAATAACTAGATTATATCTCAAAAGAGAAAAAAGATTCTAACTAAATTATTTGCACTCTCTTATCACTTAGTTTTGCTTGTAGAAGAACAATTTAATGTTATTTGTTCCTGGCTTTCCCCACAGGCATAATAAAGAAAATAAAGAAATTTAGGTATCTAAATCTCACCTGAAATAAGACTCTGTATAGTAGCTAAAAACAAATACAAAAAATTTACATATATAAGTTACATATATAACTTTTAAAAACTAATCTACAAATGACAGAATTAAGAAGCCACCACATGGCAACCCCTAATAAAATGACTCTAGGTAAGGATCATAAATAAATGCTGAATTAGGTAAAAAGTTGATGGGTTGATGGGGACCTTGATAAGATGATGTGATATGACACAATTCATTGATCAATCTCAACATCGCAAAAAGAAAAATGAGCAGAGACACATGTGCTGCATGATATGGTGCAACATAAGTATACAACACTTCTGAAGAATTCATTTCTAAAAAATTATAAACCTAAATCTATTCAAACCTCTCTACCTCAATGAGCGTAGATTACAAATTTACAAGAAATAAAAGGAAAGAAGAAAAAGTTAAGTGATACTGAATGACGAAACAATCAGACAAATCCAGAATATGGTACAGGACAAATTACTCAATTTCTCTAACAAATCAAGAATAAAGGGGGGGGGGGACTGTTATAGATAAAAGGAAAAGGCAGCTGGATGCAGTGATGCACACCTGTAGTCCTGGCTACTCGGGAGGCTGAGGCAGGAGGATTCCTTGTGCCCAGGAGTTTGAGGTTGCTGTGAGCTATGACAACAACACTATACTCTTACACAGCCAACAGAGCAAGACCCTTTCTCCAAAACAAACAAATGAGACTAGAGACTTTCAAATTATTTCCTCCTCCCACTAGTTACTTCCAAAAAGATGCAAACTAATCAAATTCCTTTTTAAACACAGTAATGACAGACTTCCTGTCAAATACATTAATGGCATTTACTAGCAGGATGGTACTAGTGTCTCAGGTAGAGACACAGAACCAGCAAGGAAACAGGGTACCTCAGTCCTATAGCCACATGGAACTGAATATTTCCAATAATCTGAATTAGCCTAGAAATGGATTTCCCCCTAGAACCTCTAGAAAAGAATACAGCTCTGCTGCTACCTTGATAGGTCTTATGAAACTCTAAGCATAGACCCAGCTGAGCCACCCTTTTGACTAGACTTCTGAAGCACAAAGGACATAAGATAATAAGTGGGTATTCTTTTAAGCTGCTAAATTTGCGGTATTTTGTTAGGGTGGAAATAGAAAACTAACAGAGCACAGAATGTTTATTTTTTGGCACCATTTTTAACTGAGATGAAGCAGAAAAGACATAAAATAAATGGGCATTCTTTTAAGCTGCTAAATTTGTGGTACTTTGTTAGGGTGGAAGTAGAAAACTAACAGAGCACAGCATATTTATTTTGGCACCATTTTTAACTGAGATGTAACTCACATACCATAAAATTTATCTTTTTTTTGAGACAGAGTTTCACTCTGTTGCCCCAGCTAGAGTGCAGTGGCATCATCATAGCTCACCATGACCTCCGACTCCTGGGCCCAAGCAATCCTCCTGTTTCAGCCTCCTATGCAGCTGGGACGATAGGCATGTACCACCACATCCACTTACGTTTTTCTATTTTTCATAGAGATGAGGCTCACTCTTGCTCAGGCTGGTCTTGAACTCCTGACCTCAAGCGATCCTCCCACTTTGGCCTCACAGAGTGCTAGGTTATAGGAGTGAGCCACTGTGCCCCCAGCTAAAATTCATCTTTTATTTATTTATTCTTAGAGATAAGGTTGCTCAGGTTGGTCTTAACTCCTGGGCTAAAGAGATTCTCTCACCTCAGCACCCCAAGTAACTTGGACTATAGGTGCATGCCACTGTGCCCAGCTGACATTTTACCTTTAAAAAATGTAAAATTCAATGGTTTGTAGTATATATTCACAAAGTTAGGCAACTATCACCACTGTCTAATTCCAGAACATTTTCATCACTCCAAAAGAAAACTATGGGCACTCATTTCCCATTTCCCTCTCTTCCCATTGGCAACCACTACTCTATTTCTGTCTCCATTGTGATAACAAAATATCAAATGAGTACAGTTTTAACTTATATTTTTACAGAGGCTCTAAATTTCATAAACCTTCTTTCTCTAAAAGTCTAATTTTCAAAAATACTTGATAACTTCTCAAAGTGCCTCTTAACATTCCTATAAAAAGAAGTTGTAGGTTCTTGTTTTAAATTTAATTTTAAAGTTATATGCTCTCTTAAAAATTTTATTTTAATAAAGGCTGAATTAAAAATATTTGGAAATGATAAAATTTATTTCCACATTTTAGATAGTGACAGCGGGCCTACAAAGGACCTGCAGCTGGAAAAGGAGACATACCAGGTACCCAATGACTGGAGATCAGATAAAGAATGCATCGACAGCTCAGTGGAAGTCAGAATAGAAGGGGATGACTGCCATGGAATCAAACTGAATTGCCCATCTCAGAAGATAGCAAGGGGTGCCTAGAGACTACTGAAAGGAAACCGCTGGGAACCAACTCTAACTTTCCATGCTTTGAATCCACAGAAGCCCCCACAAATATAGATAACATCTCAGGGAGAAGAGGGAGAAAGCCAAAAACTGAGTTTAAATCTTCAGTGATTTATGTGTGTGGGCAGGGAGGGCTGAGGGGCAGGGGAAGTAACTGGAATTCTCTGGAATTAACTGACTAGGATTATACTATCTCTTGCCAGACAGAATGGAACTAACCTAGAAACCAGGTACAGAGTCCTTATCTTTCACAGAAAGAACCTGGTCTGGCCAGGTTGCTTACTGTAAATAAACCTAAGATTGATGGATTTATAGGGCAGGATTCCTTGAGAAAAATATTACAATTATCAACATTATAGTATAAAAATTGGTATTTTTTGTGAACACAGCACATAAATGACTAAGACATTTCCATACCTTCTGCATGACTTTTCTTGCCCACCTCAACTGCAAGATATACCACTGTGCTACAGGAAAAGAACATCGAGCTGCCCGGAAAAGCAAGAGAATACGCTGTAGGATTCCAGACACCTTTTGGCGATTATCTTTTTCAGCTTTTAAAAGAAGATCATCACCATCTTCCTGAAGAAAATAAAACAATCAATTTCAGTGACTAGTTATAAGGAATTTAAACTGTTAAAGTGAAAATAAAGATAGGCTAATGGTATTTAGTGCTTCTCACACAAGAATGTTCCTGGAAATTTATGAAGGAAATTTTTAGGCATAGGCTCTGAGATTTCAACTACAGCTGTTGCTAGTGTCAAGGAAAGATTTCTCTCCCCTCAAACAACATAAGGGGCTAAGTTGACCATAATCCCAGTCTTACCCTATAACAGTTAAGGCTCACCACTCCTGATTCCACTGGTGGAATGTTAAAGAGAGAGCTCCTTCTGAGGAGAATATCTTTTCCCTTCCTCTTCCTTGAAAAATCCTACAACATTCAATGCCACTTCTTCTTGGAAGCCCTCCCACTCTGTGCTATACTAGCACTTGACTCACATTTCCATTGTAGCCTTTACCAATTTATTCTGTACTGATTTATGTTTCTATTTCCCACTGTACTGAGAACTCCTAAAACCAAAGCCTTGTCATTTCATGTGTTATAATGCACAGAATAAAGTCCCACATGTATTACAGGATCCAATAAATGTTTGAATAAATGCTATTCAAACCAGTTGCTAAAGATTATTTTTCCACAGAATGAAATAATGTATGTAAACATTTGCTTCCCCAATATCCTTCTTCCCTGCCCACTTCTTAACAGTACTCAGTTTTTATTTGGGTATCTACCTCTCTCCTACATAGCCCAAATGATTCAGGGAACGCTGATACCACATCCCCAGCTTCCAAGGAAGGTCCTATTTGCATGCCAAGAAGTACCTTGCATTAACCCTAGCCAAGGTGACTGATTAAAGGACAGGCATGTGACCTAAGCCAGTCTCACAGAGTAAATCTCAGTATTCTTGCTTAGAATGTTGGGACATAAATAATTTTGCTGTTTTTCTTTGTCCCTCTCCTTCTCCTGTGGACATGGACAAGGTATCCTTAGAAGCTGTTGGAACCCTTCCTTCTCCCACAAAGGGAGCTAGTTTTCAGGTGAAGAGGACACCTTAGACAACAAACTAAAGAGAAAAAAACAGCTCACTCTTTGGTAACATAACTGAGTCAGAAACCTTCCTACCATGGCTGTCTCTTTTTTTTTTTTTTCTTTACCTTCACACAGCTTGGCTATACCATGGCTTTCTCAATTATATAAGTCAATAAGTGTCTTTATTGTTTAAAACATTTTGACCAAGTTTTCTATTACTTGTAGCACAAGGGATTCTAATTGATATATAGTGACATTTAGGAGAAATTCTACCACTGAAAATTACTTTAATAAAAAAAATAATAAAATGAAGCACTATTAAAAATAGTAACCACTCAGACTACTCAAACTGGTATCAGCACAGAAAATACAAAACTACCTTAAATGCCCCTTCTAATTTTTAGACTTAGATGTGATGTGAGAGGAAAGATAAATTATTAAAAAATGCCATGGACTATTTATTCCTGCCATTTGTAATATATTATATTTGTAATAGCAACAAGTGAAATATTTTTAACCTATCAAAACATAACTCTAGGCTGGGTGTGGTGGCTCAGTTCTATAATCCCAGCACTCTGGAAGGCTGAGGCAGGAGGATAACTTGAGGTCAGGAGTTTGAGACCAGCCTGAGCAACAGTGAGACTTAGTATCTACTAAAAAAATAGAATAAAAATTAGCTGGGCATGGTGGTGCACGCCTGTAGTCCCAGCTACTTGAGAGGCTGAGACAGGAAGATCACTTGAGCCCAGGAGTTTGAAGTTGCTGTGAGGGTAGGCTGACACCACAGCACTCTGGAGACAGAGCAAGACTCTTGTCTCAAAATAAACAAATAAATAAAACAAACAAAATAAATATTAAATATGACAAATGAGAAGTAAAGAAAAATCTAGATACAGATAGAAGTTGAAATAGTGAAACGGGAAGTAGTAAAGAAACAATACCAGAATCACTTCAAAGTATTAATCAAATATTTAAAAAATATAAATATAAATAATTTACAATAACACTGTAAATCTTAAAAGCAGCTAATTGTTATAATTTTTAATAAGAGAAGAGGAAAAGTTCCTGAGGGGAATACAGTATTGCTATTTATAAGACACAACTATGAGTTAAATAGTGCAGGAGAAAAAAATGACATTTCAAGTCAAAAATCAAAATAAGTCTTTTGATTTATCAAAATAAGTCAAAATAAGAAATAATGTATGGCTTGCAATTCTGACATTCATTATTTTATTTGTCACCCTAAACAAATGCTATTTTTCAAAAGTCCAGATATTGAGAAATATCTCTTGATTTTTCCATACTATTACAATGGTTTTAACATTTAATAATTACTATATGTCCCAGGTCCTGAGCTGGAAGCTTTTACAGGATATCTCACTCTTCACAATAATTCTGTGAGAGGTACTATCATCACCTGCATTTTACAGATAAGGAAAATTAAACAGCAGTTTAGTACATTACCTAAGATTATACAATTAGTAAACAACAAAGCTGGGACCCAGAAGTTTGTCTTCAGAACCTGCATTTTAATGTGATGACTATTATCAAGCTGATTATTTTAAGAATAGGACAAAATCAACTTTAAATTAGTTAAAAAGATAATGCACTCAGCTTACTTCACTAAGAATAGCTGGCTGGGGACAAAACAATGGAGGAGCTGGAAGATACAAGCCGACTGGCACTAAGCCCCACAGTCTCTTACTGAAGTCCTTGGCAGAGTCTATCAGAAGCTGAAATGTCTCTGAAAGAATATCCGCATCAGCCATAACTGATGCTTTCAGTACTTCTTGCACTGAACCAAATAGCAGATTTGCATCTTCTTCTTCAATGGGATCTACCAAATGCAAAATGTGATAAAAAAATTAAAATTTATATTAAACTTCTCATCGTATTTTGTAGAATAAAATTTCAAATCTAAAAAAGCTGACTGCCAAGAAGGAACATAATGGTTGACATGCAAAACATCCAAACTCATAGACAGAAATTTATGAACTCTCCTGTTACTTAAAGATTATAGGCAATCAGAGCATACATTTTTTTCCAGAATTAGATAAGATATTGTAGTAACAACTATACAATAAAAATATTCCTGGAATATAGTTTTGAGTAAAAAATAATAGTTTGAAAAAATATTAACGAGATAAAGAATGTCAAGAAAGACACCAAAATAATATATATTATGTTAATGCAGTAGAAGAGTAATTTTTTTTTCTTTTCTTAATAGTCCCATGATAGTACTTTTATATATATATAAATTTATATATATATAAATTTTTTTTTAAGGGCATGGGGCGGGGAGGGGTACTTTTATAATAACAAAAGTTAATAGAAGAAAACAGAAAAATACAAAATAGCCGTACATATAATATGGCTTCAACTATGTAAATGTCTATATATATGTGGACATGTCTCAGAAGGCAAAATGCAAGGAGATGCAAGTGGTAGAATCGGAAACTTAGAGTTTCTTTCTATTCTGAAATATTGTAAGCATATTGTATAGAATATGATAAACACTCATGTACTGACTTATTATGCTTTCTGATATTAACATTTTTGCTATATGCAATTTAGGTAGCCACTGTCCAGAATTTGGTGCAGATATACTGGAATTCCAATTAGACATATATTATCTTTCTGTTCTATATACAAGGCTTAACATCTCCTTCATATTTTTCAACTCTGTATCTTTATATATTTTGTATATATTTATCTTTACATCTTTATATAGGTATATATAGCTCAGATTCAGATATGTATACAGATATGTTGCTCTGTAGGTATATATAGCTCAGATTCATCTTCCAGTTCACTAATTCACTCTTAAACTAGTCTAATAACTTTAACCACCTACTGAAGTTTTTGTTTTAAAATCAGATTTGTTAAAGTGTAATTTACATATAATACAATTCTCCTTTTTTAAAGTATACAGTTGAATAAATTTTAACAAATCTACACAGGCCTATTAGAACATTTTCATCACTCCAAAAAAGTTTTCTTATGTTCCTTTATTATCAATCTCCCCCTTACCCCAAGGCAACCACTGACTGATGTGTTTCCTGCTCCTATAGTTTTTTTATAGAATGCCACATTAATGGATTCATACAATATGTATGGTCTGTTTCTGATTTCTTTCATTTAGCGTAATGGTCCTGCAATTCATCTGTGTTGTTACATGTTATCAGTAGTTTGCTCCTCTTTGTTGTTATTCCATTTTATAGATGTATTGCAATTTGCTTATCCATTTACCAGTTGATGAACATTTGGGGTGTTTCCAGTATTTTGGCTGTTATGAAAAAACTGCTATGAACACTCATGGATGGATCTCTTGGTGGATCTATGTTTTCATTTCTTTTGGGTAATATCTAGGAGTGGAATCCTTTGAGTTTTTATTTGCTCTTAGTTTCTTAACTCTGTGGGAGAGTATTCACATCATCTAAAACAACATAATGCCAGAACTAGAAGTTCAGATTTGGGATTTTTTTAGTCCTTTTCTTAAAATTCAATTATCATGTAGTAAGAGTATCTTTTCATTAATTAAAAAAAAAAACTACACAGAAAATTTTCAAAGAAAAGTTTACATTTAGATTTCCAAGTATTATGGATTCTCTCTCAAAAAAAGTTATGTTTCAGGAATCTAGAGTTAGAAGTCTCACTTTTTAATGCCATAATAAGCACTAAAAGAAACACGAGGGCCCCACAATTATCCTGGTTTTACCATTTAATATACAACTTTAAATAACTGATTATATTACTTTTTGTCTAAATTCCTCCATCTGCAAAACATAAAAATTTTATAGGATTCCTAAGTAAATATATATAATACATGTAATATATTATTTTTAATTTTTGAATACTACTTTGAAATTTTCAAGTAAAAAATATCTATGATTTATGAACAAGGCAAGAGTTGAACTAAATCACTTCTACATACCCTTCCAGGTTTAGATTCTATGACGCTATGACTGCAAAAGAAAATGATCCAAATGAAGCAAAATACAATTAGCATAAAAGTATGTATGGAAAATCAGAAAACCATTCAGTTATTAATCCTGGTGTTTTGAGCTGGCATCAAGTTTGGATGCTCCTATGATTAGTTATAAATATTATACTTTTATTTTTGAAAAGCTTATTTCAAAGTGTTAACATTTGTTGATATTTATAACCTTTTAAAAATATAAGGTTTCTATTAGCTTGATACATGTGTCAGACCTTATATAGATAACATACCTGTAAATTGTTTATATTTAGTGCCCATTTCATTTTTTGCTTCCAAAGAGGCTGGCTGACCTAAAAAACACTGCAGTTTTTCCTGAAAAATATGTGCTGGAGTTATATTTAATGGTAGATACAGACCCTTTTTCTTGGACCTGAAATGATAACAAATTAAGGGAAATGAATCCAAATTTTGAAGAAAGGAAAGATTTCACACATCAAGAAATATGAAATTTTAAGAAACAATGGAATTCGCTTTTTGAATTCATCCTACATTTTAAAAAGAAATATTCAAGAAAATATTTTAGGAGTCCACTTGCCCAAGGCCTCTTGGCAGTGGCTTCGGGTCATGGTCCTCAAATTTGGCTGAAAATAAATCTCTTTAAAATTAAAAAAAAAAAAAAGAAAAGAAAATATTTTAAATGGGCTTCCATGATTATGATCCTAATATATTTCCCCATTTTTGTTTCCAACTGTTGCCCTAAATATGTACTCTATCCAAACTGAATGAAAACTTGCACATACTTGGAATGTTCTCTCTCTCTATAGCTGCTCAATTTGTCAAGACTGCCAATTTGTCAATGCCCATCACAAATGATATCTCCTACATAAACCATTTGATATCCCACTTTCCCCCACTTGATATCACCTTCCCCACTGCACCACTGGCACTTTTCTTATCATACTATTTAAGTTATAATAATGTTTTGTCCTATTTTCTTACTTTATTTATTTATTTTTAGAGATATGATCTCATTCTGTTGCCTAGGCCAGAGTACAGTGGCACGATCTTAGCTCAGAAATCTTAGCCCATAACCCTGAACTACTGAGCTCAAGGCAATCCTACCACCTCAGCCCCCCAAGTAGCTATGACTACAGGCACACACCACTATGCTCAGCTAAGAGCATAGAGACAAGGTCTTGCTATGTTGCCCAGGCTGATCTTGAACTACTGGCCTCAAGTGATCCTGCCACCTCATCCTCCCAAAGCACTAAGATTACAGGCATGAGCCACCACATTCAGCCTGTTTTCTCTATGAAAGTATAGAAACTATGTGCCACTGAAGTTTATATCCACTAAAATACCTTGCCTAGAGCTTGGAACAGAGCAGTTAATAAATCTATGTTGAATATTGAATTGAAAAATATATAAAAGACAGCAATGCTATAATATTCAGAAAGGTTAAAAATGAGAGATTAATTAGCTTAAAATGCAAATCCTATCTGGATAAACTCTCCCATTTACTATAAGCCCTATAACGGTATTACTAACATACTAACATGCCAAATCAGTGGTTCTCAACCTTTTTGGTACCAGGGACTGGTATCATGGAAGACAATTTTTCCATGGACCTGGGAGGGGAATGGTTTGGGGATGATTCAAGCACATTACACTTATTGTGTAGTTAAACCTCTCTGCTAATGATAATCTGTATTTGCAGCTGCTCCCCAGCGCTAGCATCACTGTCTCAGCTCCACCTCAGATCATCAGGCATTAGATTCTCATATGGAATGTGCAACCTAGATGCCTCACATTCAGTTTACAGTAGAGTTTGTTCTCTTATGAGAATCTAATAATGCTGCCACTGATCTAACAGGAGGCGGAGCTTATATGCTAATGTGAGAGATGGGGAGTAACTGTAAATACAGATTCCTCACCCAGTGCTCTCCTCATGCTGTGTGGCCGGTTCCTAACAGGCCATGGATCAAACCAATACTGGTCTACAGCCCAGGGATTGGGGATTATAGTGCTAATATTTTAACACAAATTAAGTAAGCTATTGAGCTGCCCAACACAGTGACCACTAACTGCATGTGGCTACTGAAATTTAAATTAATTAAAATTAAATTGAAAATTCAATTCCTTGGTCTCCCTAGCCACAATTCAATAGTTACTTGTGGTTAGTGGCAAATATTGGGCAGCACATATACAACATTTCTATCATTGAGGAAAGTTCTACTGACAATGCTAAACTAAGGATTCCACATAATATGTAAATACCAGCAATAAGAGAAATAGAAAATACTTTAGAAAGTACTGTTATATTTTATCTTAACTCAAGCTTGCCTAAAAATACATACCTCATAAAATTGCTATCATGTTTACAGAACAGTTGGAAGGCCACACCAATTGAAACAGATGTCTTCCAGTCTCCAAGTTTATGTGCCAACCACACAGCCTCTGGAACCAGGCCACCAACAAATAATAATTCAAGTGCATATTCAACTGTCCACACATTAGAGAGATTCTGATCTCTAACAACACTGGCCACCTTAGAATGTTGCAGAGGAATAAGTCGAAGGGACTGCTCTGTGAGTAAAATAAAGAAAATGGATATTACAATTACAAAAATCCAAAACTTATGCCTTCTTACCTGGGTATATTTATCTCTTCAATTAGTATTTTCTACACAAAACCACAATAAGGAAGATACATACAAAATGGGCTAAAGTGATATTAAACATGCTCTAGAACAGTTTAACACTGAAGAATGTGCCTCATTAGTGGGCCATGAAACAAATGTCTGCATTCTTTAAAAAATGGAAAAGAAAAGAGAAAAAACAGAAATGGAATAGAAAATATAAGAGTGCCTTACACAAAATAAAGGTTAATACTGTTAAATGAAACTTTTGTGTCAGATAACATGTACATACATAAAAAAACATTTATATATACTGGGTCACAATGTACAATTTATTACCATGGGCTGCTTGGAAGTATATGCCTATATCTGATACTAGATTATGAAACTTGGAAGGCAGAGGTTTCATTTTATCTGACTTTGCATTATCCATAGTATCATACAATAAAAGACTAATTTGAGGTAATACTCAAACATATTAAGTGTTCAATGCATTAGTATTCATTAGAACATAGAAAAGTGTAATTTTCACTAACCCTGACTAAATGACAAGATTTCAGTTTGTCCTGGGATTTAATACAAAAGAGTAATATCCTTCCCTTTAGCCTTTTGTACCTTTCCCTACATGGAAGTAACTTGTGATAAAGCAACTTGAAAATATGAGGACAGACATGTTATTTTAAAAGTATATGTTGGGCCAGGCCCGGTGGCTCACGCCGGTAATCCTAGCACTCTGGGAGGCCAAGGCGTGCAGATTGCTCCGAGGTCAGGAGTTTGAAACCAGCCTGAGCAAGAGGGAGACCCCGTCTCTACTATAAATAGAAAGAAATTGGCCAACTATATAGAAAAAATTAGCCAGGCATGGTGGCACATGCCTGTAGTCCCAGCTACTTGGGAGGCTGAGGCAGAAGGATTGCTTGAGCCCAGGAGTTTGAGGTTGCTGTGAGCTAAGCTGATGCCATGGCACTCACTCTAGCCTGGGCAACAAAGCGAGACTCTGTCTCAAAAAAAATAAAAAAAAATAAAAGTCTATGTTGATAAGATTTTCACTCATTCTCTTAAAATAAAAGTGGTAAATAGGATACATGGGCTTCTACTTCTTGAAATTAAATGATTAGTTTCTCAGGTCACTTATACAGGCCATCCCTACGGGTATTAACATTGTAGCTCTTTGACAAACACATCTACATAAAACAAAAACGTTTTCAATCACTGAGATGTCTGATTCTGCATAGGCAAAAGAGCCAGGAGATTGACTAAATTTATACTTACTATGAGCAAGGCACTATACGATTTAAATAACCTGAATGATTTAATTTTCTGAAAATTTTACTACTTTACACAAAGAAAAGTTTACTACTTTTTTAAACATTACACAAAATAAGCTACTCAGATCCTCAGTACATTGTACCATCAGTTCTGATTAGAAAAATTAACATGAAATGTATTCTAAGTTAAGACTGCTTATTTTCTCATTTTTCAAGATACTCAGAAACTAAAGGAATTAAAGAATATATACAAAATTTCAGATATTTAAATTTTCAATAATTATAATTTGGGGCATTGGAAGAGAGACTACAAAAACGCTTCTTTACTATGTTCACCTCTCACTGGGAAGATATTTACACAGGGAAAAAAATGGTATGTCTCTGGGCATTTGTGACTATTTATGACTCTGTTCAAGAACAATTTAATAATTCTATCACCTTTCTTCCTAGAGTGTCTTCCTTAGGTACATAAACTGACCCGTAAAGCTAAGGATCATAAGCAAACAGCAAAAGTCCTATAAATACTGCAGGATAAGAAAGACAAGAAATTGAGACAAATTTTCTAAGTACCAAGATTTTACTCTTTTTAGATTTTTCTGAAAACGACATGAAATACTGCCTGTCTTTATCAGTAAAATAATTTGGGTTAAGGATACAATTTGTTGTCAGAAACTTTACTACCAAAAATAGGGAACACGTGATATATGCCTAGGTTATGACAAAAAAAAAGAGTTTGAATACAAAAACCACTGTAATAACAAACCATGTCAAATGAATGAGGGAATAAGTTATATAAATCTGAGAGTTTGAGAAGGAAGCATGAGGTCAGAGAAAGAAGCACAGACTATATTTGAAGAGAAAAGGCAGGGAGAGGCAGTTGTATCTGCGGTCTAACCAAGTAAAATAGGACATGGGGGAGGGAGACAGGGAAGCAGTCTAGATCCTGGAAGAAAGTGAGGCACCTGTTTGAGGACCAACTTCTCTTCTTCCCAGGGCAACAGGGACCTACTAGAAAGGGGACCACTAGGGAATTTCCCTTCTGATTCTACCTCATGCACAACTTTCTGGGGATCCAGCACCTCCTGAAAAACCCCAGACAAGACTAGAGAACACTGCAGTGGAAGTAGCCCAGGTGGTTGAGGATAGTCCTCCACTCCTACCCACATCCTCAGATAATCACAGAACATAAGAGGCTGAATACATAGTTCAAAAATCATGGTTCTATGATTACATTAGCTGACCACTTGTTGCTTCCTCTATTACATTTTTAATTACATTATAACCTGTACAACTCTAGTCTACATATGTATTAGTTCACGTCATCTTTGCTTAAAGCCTTCTAATGACTTCCCATTATACTTAAAATTCAGATTCCTTAGCATGGCTTCCGTCATCTGGCCCCTTTTCTGACTGCATCTCATGTCACTCTCCACCTCATCCTACAGTTTACAGACAACACCAGTTTTTTAGTTTGTCAAACACATCAAGCTAATTCTTGTCCTAGTTGGAGCTTTTGCATAAGCTCAGTTTAGAATGCTGTATACCCTGATGTATAACAAGGTTGGCACTTTTTCGTTATTGAGGGCTCAACTTAAATTTCACTCCTCAGAGAATGCCTCCTGAAACTCCCAATCTAAAAAAGCCACCCAGTCACATTGCATTACTCTAACTTCCTCCATAACAATTATCACTATTTGTTATATGTTACTTATATATTCATTTATTTGTCTGTCTCAACCTATTAGATGTAAACCCCATAAAAGAGCAAGTCATTTATCTGTTTTGTTCATGGCAGTTAGGATAAATCTGTTTCAGACATCTTAGAAAAACAAAACCAAAAAAACTACAAATGTTTTCATATTATCAATTTCATGTTGTGCAATCTGTAGCACCTAAGAACACTGACTGGCACATAGCAGGCACTTAATAAAAATTAGTAGAATGGAGTTGGGCATGGTGGCACATGCCTATAGTCCCAGCTACCTGGGAGGATATGGTGGGAGGATCACTTCAGCCAGGAACTTGAGTCCAAGCACAGGATTAGGTGTACTTTGACCATATAAATGCAATTATTAAATTTAAAAAGTAAATGTTCCAAATAAAATTATAGAAGTAAATTGTTAAAATAAAATTATATTTTAAATCAGCACACTTGAAATTTGCTAAATGTCCACATTCTTATATAAATGAAGGTGGCAGCTCTTTTACTTTAAAAATGGAAGCTTTATGCTAGTCCAAGTGCAGTGGTATTTACAAGTAATTGATCACAAGCAGTTACAGGTTTTGTTCCTTCTCCACTTCCACTGCTTCACTTGACTAGCCTAAATAGAAATATTTTTAAAAAAATTTTTTTTAAATGAAGCTTTATAAATCTCAATTTGCCCAAGTTTTATAATAAAAAATCCTATTCAATAAAAACAAATCTAAGCAATTACCTTTCTCAGATTCCACTCCTTCACAAATATTAATAGTGAGCACCTCCTATGTGTTAGGCACTATGCTAGAATAGTGCTATTTCCATACAATAATGATCTCTGTATCATTTTAAATATTTTATTATGTACAAAAAGAGAAGTGAGAAAATGATTGTTTACCATATTACCTGTTTTAATATGAAGTGGAGGAAGAACATTCACATTGTGAGGTGGCAAAATGCAAAGCTGCTGATTGGTGAAATAGGCAGCCATGAACCGAGCCATGGACTGGACAACTCTCACTGCAGCCTCAGGGTGAGCATTTCCAGTCACCCCACATGCACAGTGAGACTTCTCTAGAACTGCGGAGTACAACAAACAACCAAAAGAGGTAAGTTCCCACCAGTATACAAGAAGAAAATTATAATTAAAATATTCTTCTGAGATGAGCACCCATGTCCTAAACATTCTAAGTTATTATAGGTATCCACACTTCTTGAAGACAATAAGAACAAAAATAATTATAGTTGACCCTTGAAAAACATGGGTTTGAACTGCATATACGTGGATACGTACCCATGTATACGTGTATCCACGTATACATGGGTTTTCTCAATAAATATACTGGAAAAATTTTTGAGATTTTAAACAATTTGAAAAACCTTGTAAACATAGTCTAGAAATAACAAAAAAAATTAAGAAAAGGTATGTCATGAATACATAAAATATATATAGATACATAAAATATATAGATACATAAAATATATATAGATATATAGTCTATTTTACTATTTACTACCATAAAATAGATACAAACCTATCATTAAAAAGTCAAAATTGATCAAAACTGAAGCATACAGACTATACATAATGCCATTTGTAGTCCAAGAGTCATGTAAGGAAACATAAAGTATTAAATCATAACTGCATAAAATTAACTGTAGTACATACTGTACTACTGTAATAATTTTGTAGCTACCTCCTTTTGCTATTAAAGTGAGCTCAAGTGTTGTACGTGTCTGCTTAAAATGCCATGTGAGGCCAAGGGCACTGTGGCTCACACCTGTAATACCAGCACTTTGGGAGGCCAAGGACAGGAGGATTGCTTGAGGCCAGGAGTTTGAGACCAGCCTGAGCAACAAAAGGAGACCCTGTCTCTACAAAAAATAGAAAAATCAGCTGGGTGTGGTGGCCGGCATCTATAGTCCCAGCTACTTAGGAGGCTAAGACAGGAGGATGCCCTGAGTCTGGGAGTCTGAAGTTGAAGTGAGGTATGATGATGCCACTGTACTCTAGCCATTGGAACAGAGCATGACTCCATTAACAACAACAAAAAAATGTCATGTGATGCTAATTGTCTCCACATGGGCTATCTACCTCTTCTGTAAATATGCTTATTGCAGTAAAAAGTGATCACTCAGGATTCTCAAATATTTTTAATTATGTGTATTGCAATACCATAAACCTTGAGATACAACTGCCTGCCATTTCAGACAGAGGATTCATCTTATAAACAGACAACATAAACTTATAGTATCGACAAATACAGTACAGTACTGTGAGTGTACTTTCTCCTCCTTATGATTTTCTTAATAGCATTTTCTTAAAGCATTTAACTTACTTTATACTAAGAATTCAGGATACAATACATGTAACATATAAAATGTTTTAACCAACTGTTTATATTATTAATAAAGCTTCTGGTCAATAGTAGGCTATTATTTGGGGGAGTCAAAAGCTACACATGAATTTTCAACTGCACAGGGGGTTGAAAAACCAAACCAACATGATACTTGCTATTAAACTGACTGTCCAAAATCCAACATAATATAGCCTAGTCACCATAGAGGCAGAGTAACCAACTTTTATGTATAAGCAATTTCGTGTCTAAACCTATAAATACAGGCCGGGCGTCGTGACTCACGCCTGTGATCCTAGCACTCTGGGAGGCCAAGGCGGGCAGATTGCTTGAGGTCAGGAGTTCGAAACCAGCCTGAGCAAGAGTGAGACCCCGTCTCTACTATAAATAGAAAGAAATTAATTGCCTAACTAATATATATAGAAAAAATTAGCCGGGCATGTTGACGCATGCCTGTAGTCCCAGCTACTCAGGAGGCTGAGGCAGGAGGATCGCTTGAGCCCAGGAGTTTGAGGTTGCTGTGAGCTAGGCTGATGCCACGGCACTCACTCTAGCCTAAGCAACAAAGCAAGACTCTGTCTCAAAAAACAAATAAATAAATAAATAGGTCGGGCGGAGGCCGAGGCGGGCGGATTGCTCGAGGTCAGGAGTTCAAAATCAGCCTGAGCAAGAGCAAGACCCCGTCTCTACTATAAATAGAAATTAATTGGCCAACTGATATATATATATAAAAAAAAAATTAGCCGGGCATGGTGGCACATGCCTGTAGTCCCAGCTACTCAGGAGGCTGAGGCAGTAGGATCACTTGAGCCCAGGAGTTTGAGGTTGCTGTGAGCCAGGCTGACGCCACGGCACTCACTCTAGCCTGGACAACAAAGTGAGACTCTGTCTCAAAAAAAAATAATAATAATAATAATAATAACAAATAAATAAATAAATAAAATAAACCTATAAATATAAATGAACAAGATTAAGTATACTGAGTTTTAAAATGCATACCTGAATAATCTTCATTTTCTTTTACTGGTAGTTGGGACCAGCTCAGTATTTCTCTTACCAGTTGATCACATAATCCTTGAGCATCATTTAAATTATAGCTATAGAGGTAGCAGTATAAGAGAGAAAGATAATAGCGTATCTGAAGAATACATGTCCTTCTTCCTCCTGAAACAAGAAAGAATTAAACTTACCTTAAAAGCATGTAGACAAGAAAAGCTCTTGGTCTGCTGCTTAGCAGACAGGAGTACTGTTTGTGAAAATTCATCAAGCTGTATACTCATATGAAAAGTTATCTGTATCTGTTTCATAACTCAATACAAGTATTTTTTAAAAAAATAGGGCAGTAATACTTTGTTCTTTTTTATTTTACTTTTTTGAGACAGAGTCTTACTCTGTTGCCCTGGCTAAAGAGTGCCATGGCATCAGCCTAGCTCACAGCAACCTCAAACTCCTGGGCTCAAGCAATCCTTTTGCCTCAGCCTCCCAAGTAGCTGGGACTACAGGCATGCACCACCATGCCCGGCTAATTTTTTCTATATATTTTTAGTTGGACAATTAATTTCTTTCTATTTTTAGTAAAGATGGGGTCTCACTCTTGCTCAGGCTGGGTTCGAACTCCTGGCCTTGAGCGATCCTCCCGCGTCAGCCTCCCAGAGTGGTAGGATTACGGGCGTGAGCCACTGCACCTGGCCTCTTTTTTATTTTAAATTCTGAACAATCTTATTTTTTTTCATCAGGCCCTAGCATGACTCAGATTTTATCTAAATTCATATTCTCATTATCTCAGCATTAGGTCTACTAATCACTTCTATTCTCAAGTACACCCAGTATGAGACAGAAGGCAACATGCTACAAAACCCCTAAGGAATCATACATGTAGCAAAGAGACTTCCTGAAGGAGAAGAAACAATTATTCAGTAAGATAAGAGCCCCTGACAACTGCCTTTAAATATCTGAAGGGTCCCTTGGAGTGAAACTGCTGATGACCTACCTCTTATCCATTCCTCCTAAGTCAAAGAATTCCAGTTTTATTTGAGGTTACGATGCACCCAGATCACTATTTCTTACTAGATATGGTCATGTGAAAATGTGACTAAATTGTGAACTAAGAGATAATATTGTATAGAACTTCCAGAAAAGTGATTAAAAAAACTCTCACATTATTTTATTTAGGATCTAAATCTCATTTTTCCCCATCAATAATCAATTACAGATTTTTTTTTTTTTTTTTTTTTGAGACAGAGTCTCACTTTTGTTGCCCAGGCTAGAGTGAGTGCCGTGGCGTCAGTCTAGCTCACAGCAACCTCAAACTCCTGGGCTCAAGCAATCCTCCTGCCTCAGCCTCCCAAGTAGCTGGGACTACAGGCATGTGCCACCATGCCCGGCTAATTTTTTATATATATATTTTTAGTTGGTCAATTAATTTCTTTCTATTTTTAGTAGAGACGGGGTCTCGCTCAGGATGGTTTCGAACTCCCAACCTCGAGCAATCCGCCCGCCTCAGCCTCCCAGAGTGCTAGGATTATAGGCGTGAGCCACCGCGCCCGGCTCAATTACAGATTTCATCACTAACCAAAAGAGGGACAAAAAGGGACTTACGTATACATCACTGAAAAGATTCTTGCACTACAAATTTCAAGACTAAGAATAATTTAAAGTATTTCTGACAGTCAAGTTGCCTACAATATGTATTCTATTTAGGCATTAAGATATTGTCAGTGCTTTGAAAATTGGAATTATTGTTAAGCTCTGTAGCTAAAATATGTTCCTACCAATATTATGACACATATTATTTTTTAACACTCTCCTACCCTTCTCTTGGATTTCTTGAAGAGCTTTTTTCCACAACTCCACAGCCTTTTCGTATGATCCCAATAGGAAGCATTCTTCACCTATAAAGTTTTTAACCAACAATTAGTTATTGTTAGCTACATTACTTTATAAAAATTTACTTTGCTTTAAAATTCAGTGAATACAGCTAAGCCAGAAATTATTTTAAAAAACAAATGATTGCAATGAACTAAAAAAAATCAAAACTAGTTAACTCTATCACTTATTTATGGAGTTAGAAAATGTTTTAAGATACTGACCACTGATAGGCTTAAGTTCTAAGGTTTGGCTCAAGCAATCTCCAGCAGTCTGTAAGTTAGCTTGTATATGACATAACAGGGACTTGACAGTAGATGCTTCCTGTGTCATCTTTTCAGTTAACTCTCTGTCACCTTCAGAAAGTCTTTGGCTTAATTGTGCTCGATACCATAAAGTTTTCTTGTATAATACTCTCCAGAGAACAATCAATCTGTACACAGAATCAGGTAATCAAAACAAAATTTCAGACTAATGATGTAAGAATAAGTTTAGGCTGGGCGTGGTGGCTCACGCCTATAATCCTAGCACCCTGGGAGGCCGAGGCGGGTGGATTGCTCGAGGTCAGGAGTTCAAAACCAGCCTGAGCAAGAGCAAGACCCCGCCTCTACTATAAATAGAAAGAAATTAATTGGCCAACTAATATATATAGAAAAAATTAGCTAGGCATGGTGGCACATGCCTGTAGTCACAGCTACTCGGGAGGCTGAGGCAGGAGGATTGCTTGAGTCCAGGAGTTTGAGGTTGCTGTGAGCTAGGCTGACGCCATGACACTCACTCTAGCCTGGACAACAAAGCAAGACTCTGTCTCAAAAAAAAAAAAAAAATAAGTTTAGCCCCCTTCTTAGCCTATCTTTTCACCAATAACATACAAACTGATCAGACTTAAATATAGCACAAAGTCTAATGATCTAAAAATGCATAATATATATAAAAAAATCTTCCTAAATGTGTTATGCACCCGTGGTCATTTTTTAACTAAACCAAAATCTTTAAACACCATGGTTGTCCAAGACTAAAAAAAATGTATGTTGGCTGGGCACATTGAGGTCAGGAGTTTGAGACTAGTATGACTAAGAGTGAGACACCATCTCTACTAAAAACAGAAAAAAAAGTTAGCCAGGCATGATAGCATACATCTGTAGTCCCAGCTACTTGGGAGGCTGTGGCAGGAGGATCACTTTAGGCCAGGAGTTTGAGGCTGCAATGAGCTATAATGACACCACTCCCCTCTAGTCTGGGCAACAGAGTGAAACTCTGTCTCAAAAAAAAATGTATGTTGTATAACATTTGGCATAAATGCTAAAATGTTTTTTTTTTTTTTTTTTTTTGAGACAGAGTCTTGCTTTGTTGCCTAGGCTAGAGTGAGTGCCGTGGCGTAAGCCTAGCTCACAGCAACCTCAAACTCCTGGGCTCAAGCGATCCTTCTGTCTCAGCCTCCCAAGTAGCTGGGACTACAGGCATGTGCCACCATGCCCGGCTAATTTTTTCTATATATATTAGTTGGCCAATTAGTTTCTTTCTATTTATAGTAGAGACGGGGTCTCGCTCTTGCTCAGGCTGGTTTCGAACTCCTGACCTCGAGCAATCCGCCCGCCTCGGCCTCCCAGAGAGCTAGGATTACAGGCGTGAGCCACCGCGCCCGGCCTAAAATGTTTTTAATTAACAAATAAAAATCATATATATTTATTGTATACATGTTTGGAAATATGTCCTTAAATTAAAAAGAAATTTTTTTTTTTTTTTTAGAGGTCTCATCCTGTTGCCCAGACTGGAGTGCTGTGGCATGATCACAGTTCACTGCAGCATCAAACTCCAGGGCTCAAGTGATCTTCCCACTTTAGCCTCCCAAGTAGCTGGGACTATAGGCATGAACCACCACACCCAGCTCTAGATTTTTAATAACATAATATTGATAATGTTGAGTTTTAGTGGATACAGAGTTTCTTTCTAGGGTGATAGGAATATTCTAGAATTAGTGCTAATAGTTTCACAACCTTGTAAGTATACTAACAACCACTTAATTGGATACTTTAAAACAATGAATTTTACAACATGAGAATTACATCTGTTTTTTAAAAAGTAAAAAACCTATAATGCTAATAGTAACCTAATATTAAAGTAATTATACCTGTGTCCTGGTTGTTGCACAAGATTTATTACTTGAGGATGAATCTCAAAAGATGAGTTCTGAGACCAGTTTTCCTGAGAGCCACTGTCTTGAAACATTTGAAAAATAGGTACCACCAATGAATCTTTATCGGCTGTTCTTCCTCCATCAGATGAAGCTGAAACAACTTCAGGTTGAAGACGGTATATACCATTTAAATTGTCAGCTACCATTTTGAGTAAATAAAAACAGGCTAAGAGTTTCTCTGAGAACAACTGACCCTTTTGTTGCTGAGTCAGCAAAAGCTTCATAGTATTTAAGGTCAGCTTTATCAAATGTCCAACATCTTGTTTATATCTTATATCCCAATACTGGATTGATAAACATTGATGAAAAAGTTGAAAGATACAAAGTATCCATGCATTCTGTCTTGAGCTCTTGCTTAAAAAAAGATCAAGTTTGGGGAAAGGACATTTTATAAACTGAAGAATGTAGAAAAAATGAGTGATACAAACTACCGTGTAATTTAACATTAAATTTTTCTCAATCACATTTTTTGAAATTCCTATAGTCCATGCTGCAAGTAGATTTCTCTGGATAGAGTGCAGCTCTGTAATGGTTCCGTCTGTCTCCTCAGTATCATCCTTTGCATGTATAGTATCAAACATAGATGCAAATTCCAATCTTCCTTCCTTGACACTACTAAACAGCAGATCATTTTTTTGGTTCCAAAAAGGAAATAAATTGTTCTGAAAGTATCTGCCTTCCTTAGTTTCTTCTGCTTCAAAATCCTAGGGGAAAAGTGATCTTAATGACATTTAATATGTTATAAATAGAATCACTCTGGTGTTCTCAAATCTCTCTTCCATTTAACAAGAGAAAACTAAAATATGTTTTTTGGAATAAAGTCATTACATAATTGTCCAAAGTAAATACAATATTGCTACTAAGTACCTGAAAATCTGCTGTTTTTTCATTTAACGTCATTGTTTCTTCTGTCTGTAAGAATTGAGGGATCATGGAATCAACTGAACTTTCATGTCCTTGGTATTTTAACAGGCTAGACCTCAGGGAATTCAGTGATTGCAAGTTCAGCTCTTTGCTTTTTGGCTATAGAAGAAGAAAGACTTCTGAGAGCAAAATTTTAACAGACATTTAGTTACAAGCAATTAAAAATTCTATAAACAATTGTACATAATTCAATTCAGTGTAGTTTTAAATTAGAAAAGAAAAAGAAGGCAACGTTTACCAATGATACCAAAAAGCACTAATACCTTAGACAGTATTACACTTCGGTATGTTTTCTCAAGCCTCTGGGTTGAATCAAGTAGAAGTGATCTCATAAGTACTGACGGAGACAGTTTATCAAGAAACCGAAGGGTTGTGATCATGTATCCATCAGAAATAATGAGGTAGGGTAACCGTGAGTGTGCTTTTATAGAAAATCTCTGTCTCATAGGGTCACTATCAGAAGCTGATGAATCTATAGAATTATTTGAATCTTGAAACATAAACTGCTGTGGTCTAATAAACAAACATCAAAATTTAAGAATCAGTAAGAGAAAGATCTTAATGGAAACAATCATATTTTTCCAAAGAAAAAGCAAACTAACAAAAGTCACAAATGAAAAAACAAACAGATGAAACATATACAAAAATATTAAATGTGTATTTATGTGTCAGGAAAATATAATGATTTTATATACACAGGTTTATATGTTTTAAATTATTTTTCCTGAATGGTGGCATTTACTGCATTTTGTTTTTAATCAACATACAACCTATTTCAGAAAATAATTAAAGCAATTGATTTTTATTATTAAAGAAAGTTAAATAGTTAACTTCTTACCACACATTTAAATATACTTATAGGAATACAGTTATGAGTTATCAGCATATTTATTATTAAGGAGAAACAAACAAAAAAAAACTGAGAAGAACATTTGAAGAGAATGGTGGTAAATAAAATTTTACCAGTTTTTTTTTTTTTTTTCTTTTAGAGACAGAGTCTTGCCCTGTAGCCCAGGCTATAGTTCTGTGGTCTGATTATAGCTCATTGTAACCTTAAACTCCTGGCCTCAAGTGATCCTCTCATCTCAGCCTCCCAAAGTGCTGGGATTATAGTGTGAGCCACCAGGCTCAGCTAATTTTATCAGTTTAAGATTAAATTTGACTGAGTTTCCACATAAACGTACTTATTTGTTGTTATTATGATGTACCTGATTCTGATTACTTATTATCACTCCTATTAAGTTTAGAGCTTTATAAACATAAAGGGAACAAATCATCAAAATATACTGTAATTGTTTTCTGATCAATTCTTGAAAGGCCCCAAATACAAATTTTAAAAGAGAAATGTGGGAAAATCTAGTAAATTATGAACTGGACCATAAGAAGTAAGAAAAAATACTTTCACTGGAAGAAGTGACAAAATTTTCCATTAGCATTATGTATTGCTAAAAATTAAGTATCACTTTTTCCTAATAGTAATCAAGGATACACCCTACCTCAGTTTCCTTTTTGTAAAACAAAAAGAATGGATTAATTTCAAAGGTCTTTTCCAATTTTTCTGTTTTGTAAATAGCTGTGTTTATGTTTCCAGCTACATATAATACAATAAACATCAGTAACAAATATTTATGAGTACTTTATGCCCAAACTGGTGATTTATAATTATGTATTATTTTACTTCATTCTCTCAACCCTAAGAGACAATTATCGTCATCCTCATTTCACAGTAAAATAGAGGAATAAACTAACCCAAAGTTATAAGAACCGATATGTGAATCTTTTTTTTTGAGACAGAGTCTCACTTTGTTGCTCAGGCTAGAGTGAGTACCGTGGCGTTAGCCTAGCTCACAGCAACCTCAAACTCCTGGGCTCAAGCAATCCTTCGGCCTCAGCCTCCCAAGTAGCTGGGACTACAGGCATGCGCCACCATGTCCGGCTAATTTTTTTTCTATATATATTAGTTGGCCAATTAATTTCTTTCTATTTATAGTAGAGACGGGGTCTCGCTCTTGCTCAGGCTGGTTTCGAACTCCTGACTTCCAGCAATCTGCCCGCCTCCGCCTCCTGGAGAGCTAGGATTACAGGCGTGAGCCACCATGCCCGGCCAATATTTGAATCTTGATCTGACTCCAAAGCCAAACTGCTACTTCATCTCACAATTAAAAATTAAAATATGACCAAATTCTAAAGTCATCTATTTCCAACATTTTCCCTTTTAGAAAAAAGTTGATAAAGATGTATATCAAGTTAATTTTGAGGCATTAATTTATCTAAGTGCTATTATTTTATAATAATAAATGCTATAGCATACTTTTATTAACTTTTATATCAAAGAAGATAAATTTTTAGTGGTATTGAATATTTAAGGAACTTATACTTACGTAGTCACAATGTCAAATTTTCACCAGGATTAAAGCACAAAAAGAAATAGAAGAAAACTATAAATAAGAAACAGATATTGGGATGATAGACTCAAAGAAAGAATAAGACAATTTGAAAGATGAAATTTTTAAAAAATACACAGTAAAAGTAATAACGAAAGAGAAAACTTCTATAAACAAATTAACACAAATCAAATATCTCACCGATATGTTATTAGTGGATGAAGAGGAATAAATTCTGCTGGCCCAAATTCTATTGAGCAACCAGATGTAATTAATGTTAGCAATTCACCTTGGCAAGTCAATAAAACCAAGGAACCGCGTTTTAACACACAAGCCAAAAAAAGACTATCATGTGTCCAGCTGATATCACCTACCCAGTAGGACCTAGAAAAAACAAGAGACAACATGTTTAGAAAGGACTCTCTACAATGTCTTTAGCAATTTATAATGGGCTATATACCAAGCAGAGATGTGACAGTTCAAAAAATGAGGACAAAAGAATAAATAGTAAGCAACTGCCACACACATTTCATAAATTTTACTTCCTAGGAAAAAAGAAGCTTACTCATGACCATCTACTCCAACAATATCCCAATTAGAAGTTTAGATTCATAAGCAACTAAAAAAATAAAAATACTTCTTAAAGAGTCAAGCTTTTTAGTCACTCACATTTTAATCATAATGACTTTTAATCCTACTGGAGTCTACAACCAAGAACGGATAACTAGAGAGATTTCAAGGCCATGCCTATCTTTCCTGCAGCTTGCTAGAGTCCCACTCAATATGTGACTCTACCTCTTTCCAAAGCTATCACTGTTACTACCACTTAACTATTTGGTAACATTAATGTTGCATGAGAACAAAAAGTAGCCTCCTCATAAAAATAATGGACAACCTAAATCAAATAGATCACTTAATTAAGACCAATGATTCTTTTAGAAAGGAACTTGGGGTAGGGGAGGAAAATGAAGAGGCAGGGATGGATGGACCTAAAAACTCTGGAAATTCAGAGAACAGCATGGAAAAGTATCCGGAAAGGGAAGTTAGCAGCTCCAATAGAAAATCTTCATATTCTATAATCCCACATCGGTGCTTATGGTAGCTCATCTGCCATTCAAAATTAACTGTCTATGGCATATGTAGAGGATGCCAACTTTGTTTAAAAGGATATAAACATCCCAGCCTCCATGAGTGAATAATGGTCTTTCCTATCTAGATTTTTTCATTTTAGCTTCTCTATTTAAGCCCAATATTTCTCTCCTTACACATAATTAAAGTCCTCCTACAAAGACATAGAAATAAATGAAAGAGAAATTACGTACATGTATCTTTCATCCCACCAAACCATTCCTTAAAGTTTTTAAGGTTCTCCTTATACAAAGCAACTCTTAAATTCTTTTTTTTAGAGACAGGGTCTCATACTGCCACTCAGGCTGGAGTGCAATGGCCTGATCATAGCTCACTGTAACTTGAAACTCCTAGGCTCAAGCGATCCTCCTACCTTAGCCTCCCAAGAGCTAGAACTACAGGCATGTACTACCATGCCCAGTTAATTTTTTTTTTGCAGAGTCAGGGATCTCACTACATTGCTCCTTGAACTCCTGGCCTCAAGCAATCCTCTCGCCTTGGCCTCCCAAAGTGCTGGGATTACAGATGTGAGGCACCGTGCCAAGCAACAACCTTTAGAATTTATCAAGCACAAATATCGAAGATAAGTTGCATTTTCTATTTAAATAATATCTATTGAATAATTAGAGCCTTAAACTTGTTAGACTATTGGAAAAGAAAAAAAAAAACACTAATTAGAAATTCAAGACTTCTTACCTGATAAGAGTAGCTGGAACCACAGGATTCTTATTACTACATCCTTTAAGGCTACCACAGAGAGTAACAAAATTCAGTGTGTTTATAAATAATACCTGAGTTGCCTAGAAAGAAAAAAAACATAAAAATCATTTTACTATAATCATTACTTACAATGCTGGAGACCTATAGACCTATCATTATATTAATAAACTATCTAGAGAGTCTTTCGCAACTGGGATGACAACATTGACCTGCCATTGCCTTTTGCTCTTTTGTACTCCACCCTAAGAACATCAGTTATCATTCAGCTCTTCTTTCCTCCTTTTCCCTTATCCTTTTTTCACTTATAAAGGCTAACTTTTGAAAATTATGGCAGTTAATTTAAATAACTTTACCAATACACATGTCACGTTAGATTAGAAAACGCCAATTTAAAGAATGTAAAGTAGTATTAAGATAAAAAACCATCTTCAAGGAAAAAATATTTCAAAACTGGAATAAACTCCCTTTTATATAGATTATTTTCTAAGATTATTATTACTGACCTTGGGATCTTTCTGATTAAGAGTTACTGCCAGGGTAAGGCCATCTCTTGAAAAGGCAGCAATTAGAGCTCCTCTTGACTTTACTGATTCACATTTAGGAATGAGACTATCCAGAAGGCATTCTTGTTGTGCCCAATGAACATGGTATGGCAATGCTCTAAGAAAGTAATAAAATAATTGAAAACAGAAAGTAATTTTTAAATTTATATATAGTTCATTACAAAAAATGTAAAAGTTCACCTAAATTCCTAAAAGTGGCTATATACTTAGTAGGCTTCTTACAGACCTTTTGGAAGTTTCATCCAGGGCACAAAAAAACAGCTGCCAGTTAGTTAAATAAGTTCAGTATCAGAGTTTTGTTGGTAGAACCATATTCCATAGTCAACCCGAAATACACCTGCTTACAGTAAAGGTTTAGAAAAACATATTTCTGCGCATATCAAACATTTTTATAGGTATTAAAAAAGTGGAGAGTAGGGCACTTTTCTGAGATAGTGTCAATGTCCTACAATTTAGCTGAGTGATGGTTATATAGGTATATATATTTATTAACATCAATCTAGTTGTACACTTAAGATTTATTTGTTTTACTTTATTATTTATTATATCTTAATAAAGTACTGTTGGCATAAAAAAACAGAAAAAAAACTTCATGCCATTTTACTAAGTCTTATTTAGACATGGTAATCTTTTTTTTTTGAGACAGAGTCTTGCTTTGTTGCCTAGGCTAGAGTGAGTGCCGTGGCATCAGCCTAGCTCACAGCAACCTCAAACTCCTGGGCTTGAGTGTTCTGCTGCCTCGGCCTCCCGAGTAGTTGGGACTACAGGCATGCGCCACCATGCCCGGCTAATTTTTTCTATATATTTTTAGTTGGCCAATTAATTTCTTTCTATTTATAGTAGAGACGGGGTCTCGCTCTTGCTCAGGCTGGTTTCGAACTCCTGACCTCGAGCAATCCACTCGGCTCGGCCTCCCAGAGTGCTAGGATTACAGGCGTGAGCCACCGCGCCTGGCCAAGACATGGTAATCTTTGAATTCACTTTTTTCTATTTCATTGGGCTTTTTAGAATAAAACTATTTTTAATTAAAAGAAACACGAGCATTTAAAAGGTACAATAGTAAATCCAAATATTTATGCCCATTTTAAATTTCAGTTGAATTATTTTCCAGCGTAGTTATTTTTATAGTCTTAAGATAAGTAAAGCTATAACTTATCTTTTACATGTTCTCCTTTCTAAGAGAAACAAAACAAAAAGATAAACTTTCTAGATTAAACATTTAGGAAGACAGTAAGAAAGGATGTGTAAAGCCTCGGAAACTGAAATTCACATAAACATTTGCAAATTTTAATATATATATATATATATATGGGTCAAAACATAATGATTCAAAACATAATGATTCATTCATAATGACAGAAAGTAAGAAGCAAACATTCATCTTACCTTATAGGTGTAAATATATTCTCATGCCACCGAATTGCTAGAAATGTTAACTTTAGGCATTCCCCAGAATAAAAAGTAAATGAACACAAGCAGCAGTCTCCAAATAACTGTAGATAAATTTAATATACTTTAGTATAAAATTAATCTGAAAATAAATCAAGATACAAAAAACATAAAAATATATTCCTCATCAAAAATAAATGAAAAACATTGAGATCCTGCTTGTATTTTTAACAGTTAGATTAAATAATTTTTTTCTGAGCCAGAGGCAGGTCCCAAATGGGAAATCAGGTTGCAGGTTATGCTCTTCAGAGAATGTTGACATTTACTGTGATTACAAATGAAAAGAGTCTTATATATGTACCTCTTCTTTTATAGTTTTTTATTATTTAAATTAGGGCACCACCCCTAAGGTGTGGGGGATAACAATAAAATTTCAAAATGCAATTTGTAACAATAGTGGATTGGGTAGTAAAATATTGATCTACACATAAAGTATGAGGTAGCTATTTTAATTTTTTAAATTAATGAATCTGTTATTTCCTGGGTATTAAATGTCTTATTTGGTATCACCAATTCTAGCTTAAATTACAAAACAAGTTACATTTTTAAATCAGGGATATAGAAAGGAAGTTCTAAATTGAAAGCATTAATAAATATTATTTTTAAATGTGAACCAGGTACAGTGGCTTACGCCTGAAATCCCAGCATATTGAGAGGCCAAGGTGGGAGGATCATTTGAGACCAGTCTGGGCAGCACAGCAAGACCTTGACTTTACCAAAAAAAAAAAAAAAAAAAAAATGAAAAAAAAAAAAAAATTAGCCAGGCACTGTGGCTGATAGTCCTAGATACATGGGAGGCTGAGGCAGGAGGATCACTTGAGCTCAGGAGTTCAAGGCTGTTGTGAGCTATGATTGGGCCACTGCACTTCAGCCTGGGTGACAATGTAAGACCCTGTCTCTTAAAAAAAAAAGTGACCAAAGAAATATATAAATATCTTTCCATACAATAATTTCACAGTTACTACAACAACTAAAGATACATAGTTATGCCATTACACATTCTGCTAACAAGCTTCACAGACAGTATCTATTCTTACAGTCTGAGATTTTAACTCCTATAATACCCTGTCTGATTTAGATTTTACCTCATTTTTTATAAAAACAGCATTCACTACAGCTTCTTTATCTTCAGTGGAAGGCAAAAGAACTGTTTTTTCAGGTATGACCTGGGACCACTGACCCACCAATGAAAGGCTTTTAGAAGATAAAATATTCTTTAATTCCAAGTATTCCCAAAGAAATATGCATCCAGGAGGTGTTACAAGCAGAATTCTTTTCCCATTTCCAGAAACATACAAGTTCAGTCTCAAAGAATTTGCTAAAAAGAAAAAGGAAAAGAAAAAAGTAACCTTAAAGTCTGAATTCCCCCAAGAAAGTACACGATTTATGTACTATTTATGTACTATCCTTATAGTAAGAAATAAAATGTTACCATTTAAGATGTCAAAACTAAGGCACTAGTAATAAATTAAAAGTACAAATAACAGTGACATTTATCAAGTACTTATTATGTGATATTGGTAACTCACTGTTATCACAGAAATGTTAGGGATGTCAGAACTTTCTTCTTCAAATTGATTCTAGATATCACAGATAAACATCAAATATATATACATAAACATATATATGAAACGTATATACAGATATATTAATACATGTGCACATGCAAAGACACATTTTTAAGACAGTACAGAAAATTTTTCATCCTCTTTTTCCTCCTATTTCTCCTGTTAAACCATTTTAAACAAGTAAAAAATTCTTACCTACTGCAGCTTCAATCATTTCCTTAGGCTTTTCAGTTACTTGTATAGTTTTCAAACAATCTTGGTCTTTGTTCCAAAGGAAAAGCTCCCCGGTAGTGAGTACCCCACCTAGCCAGGCATCTGTTCCAGAAATGAAATGTAATACTTATAATATTTTCCTTAATATAATCTTATTTAAAATACAGTTAATCTAGCCATTTGAAAATATTAATTATTACTTAACCATTACTGGATGTTGTTAGCACAATAACATCCTTCAACAAAGGCTTCAGACTAGGAATTTTCTTCTTAGTCCTTCCTGATAGCAAATTAATTTCATTTATGAATTTATCATCCAAAAGAAAAACAGCTTCATTTTCCTAAAAGAAACACATGAAGGATTTAAGAAGTGCCGGCAATTAATTCCATCTGTTTTCTAAATTAATTATTCCTGAAAACAAAGTGACATTTAAGAAAGATTATACATTTGTACCACAAATCATAAAGTGAACATTAAGGTTGATACATTAGAGTAACCTGAAGATTTTTCATTTTGTTTTAAAATATCTCTTGTTAGAATGACTAGGTAAGGTGACCTAATGGTTGCATTTAAATTTCTTTCAAGTTTAAAATTATAGGAGTGTCTTCCAATTCTGCTAGCCAAAATTGGGATATTTGCTGTTTAACCTATCAACTTTTTCTTTAAAGAGGGGGGCTATGTTGCCTAGCCTGTAGTGCATGGCTATTTACAGGCAGAATCCCACCAATGATCAGCATGGGCATTTCAACCTGCTGTAGTTCTGACCTGGGCCAGCTTACCCCTCCTTACACAACCTGGTGGTGGTCCTCCACTTCCAGAAGGTCACATCGTACTGATGCCAAACAGTGCAGAGACCTGACCAACATAGCAAACTACAACGCAGAACCCTGGGCTCAAACGATCCTCCCACGTCAACCTTTTAAGTAGTTAGGACTACAGACACCTGACAATGCACATGGGTCTTATCAATTTTAACAGTAGTACGCGTAAGTTTTAACTGTGAAATTCATAAAGTCTTGACTCGGACCATTTTTTATTATCTAGAAAAAGTAGGCTGTAGGCTGTTTTGAATTAACTTTGTTTTCATATATTCTAGGGCAGTGATTTTCAAAGTATCACTGAGCCAGGAGCATCAGAAACACCTGAGAACCTGGTAGAAATACAAATTATCTCAGGTATGTCAGATAAAGGAAATTAAGGGCTGGGGAGAAGAAATACAAATTATCTGTAAGTCATGGTGACTCATGCCTGCAATCCCAGCACTTTGGGAGGCTGAGGCAGGAGGATGACTTGAGGCCAGGAGTTTAAGACCAGTCTAGACAACATAGTAAGACGCTGTCTCTACAAAAAAAATAAGAAAAAAATCAGCCAGGCATGTTGTGGTGCTCTCCTGTAGTCCCATCTACTCAGGAGGATCACTTAAGCCCAGGAGTTTGACACTGCCAGTGAGCTATGATTGAGCCACTGTACTCCAGTCTGGGTGCCAGAGCGAGACCCTGTACCCCCCCGCAATTTTTTTAATTAAAAAAGCAAGAAAAACAACAAAAAAGAAATACAAATTCCAACCCCATCCCAGACCTACTCAACTGGAAACTTCGGGAATGGGGCCTAGCAATCCACATTTTAACAGCCTCTCCATATGATTTTGATGTATTGTAAAGTTTGAGAACTATTTCAGGGGAGTTAATTAGTGGTACAAGTTCTCACAGGAAATTTGATACTTTATTTCAATAATCATTATAAATTCTAAGAGGATTTTATAGTTTTGCCCACTTTCCCCAAGTAAGGAATCTATCCCATATATTATGAATGGCATTCCTAGATTATTAAAATATTGTGGTCCATCTCATCTATTCTAGTTCTAAGGATACTTTATAACACACTCATGAAAACCACAAGAGAAGGAAACATTCCACTGACTGTTCTGGTAGGGGAAAGTTCAGGAATCAAATATTTCCTTTTGATATATGCCATCTAAACCTACTTAAATTTTTTGAACGTAAAAGTCTTCTAGATAGACCACTTAACTTTCTGGAAAAACTAACGTGCTCATTATAGTAAAAACTAAACATACAAAAATCCCTGTTCAGTGTGTAGGTAGGTGACCCTTCAAAAAATGATGTTTTATTTCAAGACCATAAAACATTCCTATATCTTATAGGCAAAACACACATGCAACATACATAAAACTGGTATTACATGAATAAAGAAAAACATACCTGTCCCAACCAGGAGACTCGTGGCCAGGGTTTTTTCTGCTTGATACTTGTTGATGTCAAAATTTCTAATCTTATTTCCATGTTTGTTAAGATATCAATGATCAACTGAGTAAAAACAGTCCCAAGATGCTGTAAATAATAATAATGAGGATAATAAATAGCCCATAATAGTTACTGAGCATCTTAATATAGAAAAAGCATCATTTGCAGCTCCTAATGAAATAACATATCCAGCCAACAGTTATCAGTGGCTGCTAAAACTATTAGGTGAAATAAAGACTCAGAACTTTATAACATATGCACTGACATGCCCTAAACCCACTAATCAATCTTAAAATTGCGAACAGTGAGACAGACAGACATTATATTCCTCATGATATCATGCTATATAGATAAGTACATAGAACTGTCTATGAAATATTCTTATAAAGACAAAAAATTAGGCTGGGCATGGTATAATCATGCCTATAATCCCAGCACTTTGGGAGGCTGAGCCAGTAGGACTGGTTTGAGGCTAGGAGTTCAAGACCAGCCTGGGCAACATAGTAAGAATTTATCTCTACAAACCATTAAAAAAAAAAATTAGCTGGGCCTGGTGGCACACGCCGAAAGTCCTATCTACTTTGGAGGCTGAGATAGGAGGATTGCAAGAGCCCAGGAGTTGGAGGTTACAGTGAGCTATGATCATGCCACTGCACTCTAGACTGGGTGACAAAAGTGAGATGCTGCCTCTAAAAAAAAGACAAAAAAATTAAAAACTGAACCTGAATCTGTGTCTAATTACCACTTGACAGTAAATAAAAACAAAGAACATTTTAAACACACCAGGAGAATATAATTAACCAAATTAAGAAGAATTCTATAGGATAAATTGTTAGCAATTCCACAGGATGCAGTTTCTTTAACAAATAAATGATATTTTAAAGGGGTGAAGGGAGAAATCCTCACATATATAACTAAATACATTATAAGATTGAGTAAAAGAGTAAATAGACTGATGTTAATGGGAGCCAGCATTCTTCACTGAGAAAGAAAGGGTATACAGTCATCATACAATAGGGAGAGGTAAGGAAGAGCCCTGAGGGGCTTGGTTAGAATCGGAAGTACTAGTCTAAAAAATCATGATTTCTAGCTCTGTACTCTAAAATGGCCTAGAAGCAATGACATCCCAGTAGCAATAAGCATATCTAGCACCCAGATCTTGGTTTCTAAATACCATTCCTCACTTACAGGAACCAGGACTCCTTGAAAAAATAGCCAAATTCAGGGATAGAGTAGGAAAGAAATCCAGTGGATCTGGAACATCTTGTTCCAAAGTCAGGAAGTAAATAAATACATAATGGGGCAGTTCAAAAAGAAATAGGAACCAGCTTGAAGAGCCAAATCTGCGACACTTTGAGCATCAAAATCAATGTGCAACATGTTACAACCTATTAAATAAATTAGAAATCATTAAGACCATACTGATATGGTAGTAGATGTGGAAAGTCACCATTCTGCAACTATCATAATAAAAACTGATTCTGGCAAGAATCATCAACAGATGCCAAATCAGGCAGAGGGAGAGGGAGGAATCTGATGAGGAACAAAACACTTACCTAGTCTAGAAGTATCTCCCTACGTATTTCTTAATAATTTGCAAAAAACCAAAACAATATGATGGAGAAAATGGATACAGTCTTAACTAATAAGGGGCAGACATCATGCTTTTGTGGATGTGATCACCTGGAAAGGACATAACATTACTTATGTAGTATTCCAGTGCAAAAATGTAAACCTAAGGCAATGAGGAAACAAATCCAAATTGAGGAAAATGATATAAAATACTGGGCTACATTTTCTTAAAAAATGTTAGTGTCATTAGAAACTAAGGCTCAGTAGCTATTCCAAAAAAGATTAATTATGTAATACAGCTAACTGCAATATAAATACTGCAATATAATACCCTGAACTGTATCCTGTATAAGAAAAGACAGTTTGCTATAAAAGATATTGGGACAAATGACAAAATTAGAATATGGGCTATAGTATATATCGATACTATAATAAATTTCCTGAATTTGATAACTTTATTTATTTATATAAACGAACATCATTGCTCTTAGGAAATGCAAATTATACTAAGGGGGAAATAGGCATGGTATAGGCAACCCACTCTCAAATAGTTCAGAACAAAGTATGTGTGTACATGCACATGTATAAAGAGAATGATAAAGCATGGGCAAGATATAAACAACTTGTAATTATTCTTGCAACTTTTCTGTAAATATGAAATTTAAAATTTTTAAAAAGACATTCAGGGAAAATTGAACATGATGATTCAATTAGAATCATTAGAGTCTATCAATGATTCTATTCTAACAGACACTATCTATTAGATGATATTAAGAATTAAAGTTAATTTTGGTGTTGTGTAGTAATTCTATTATGGTTATTTTTTTAAAAGTTCTTACCTCTCCTGGATATGAGCGATACGGTATATACTTGAGCATTTATGCCAGGGGTTTGCTTTAAAATACTCCAGATGTATACTTAAATATAACTTTTGAAATTAAAATGTAAGGATTTAAAATGTAAGGATTTAGAATTGTACTTGCTGTCAAAAAAAATGTCAAGGATAAAAAGACAGCTAACTTCAAGACTTGAGGATAGAGTCCTACAGGATTTGATGACGGCTGGTCTTCCATCTTTTGGAACTCTGAAAATCACCTGTTATGTAGCAAAGGCTACTTCTACATGCTAAACTCGCTCTCAAACACTGATGCTACTGATGGATAATAAACATCACAAAACAAGTAAAAATAGTTAATGGAAGAAACAGAAATAAAAATAAATTCAATCACATTTCACAAAATATGTTAGGAGGAGTAATATGCTAAGTCTACAAAAAGCCAAAAGTTGGCCAGGCGGGGTGACTCACGCCTGTAATCCTAGCACTCTGGGAGGCCGAGGCAGGTGGGTCGCTTGAGTTCAGGAGTTTGAGACTAGCTTGAGCAAAAGCCAGATCCCGTCTCTACTAAAAAATAGAAAGAAATTACTTGGACAGCTAAAAATCTATAGAAAAAATTAGCAGGGCATGGTGGCACATGCCTGTAGTCCCAGCTACTTGGGAGGCTGAGGCAGAAGGATCGCTTGAGCCCAGGAGTCTGCGGTTGCTGTGAGCTAGGCTGATGCCACCGCACTCTAGCCCGGGCAACAGAGTGAGGCTCTGTCTCAAAAAACCCCCAAAAGCCAACAGTACCCTTAAAGACAAACTGGCAAATTGCAATTTCAAGAGAATAATTCAGGCTTTTCTGCGGGTTCAACTAAAGTCAAGCCTAAGAAATCCTGCCCATTCCCCAGTGCTCGATTTATCATTAACTAGGGTCAAACACAGGCGTTTCCCCGCGACAACCTCGCAGGAGACATCCCAGAGGACCCCTCTGAGGTGCCCTCACGCGATCTGCGAGGACAAGAGCCGGACGGGAGCTGGAGGACTCAGGCCCGGGGCCAAGGTGTGGCCCGAACCGGACACTGCCCACGCGGGCAGGGCGACCCCGGCCCCTGGGGCTTCAGGCTCCGTCAACCTGCGGACACGACGGCGTGAGGACGCCGCCGGTGAGGCTGGAGAAGGCCCAGAGCAAGGACGGGCCAGGAGTCAGCAGTGGGAATGGGCGAGGGGCTGGGTGCGGGGAGACGGCGGGGAATGAGGGGCCCGCGAACAGGCAAGATAGGAGGGTGTGCGGGCTGACCGAGAACGCCCAGGCCGGGCGGCGTCGGGAGGAGGCCTGGGACGTGGAGGGAAGGAATCTGCGGGCAGTTACCTCCGCTAGGGCCAGAACCAGGGCCAAGCCCGTCGGGCGCAGCGCGGCCGAGAGCGATGCCCGCAGCGCGCTGTGGAGACGCGAGGCCGTCGGCCGCTGGCCCTGCCTGACGCGAGCCTGTGCCCTGGCGACGGTGGAGGCTGGGAGGAGGCGGGCGCCGGCGCGGCCTCGGCGCCTACTGGGAGCCGGCCGGGAGCGCGGGCGGGAAGCTGGCAGTCCTCCTCCCGCGCCCCGCCTCTTCCAGAGCGTCTCTCCAGGCTCCCGCCCCTCGTCCTCAGAGCGGTCCTACCGCTCCCCGTCTCGGTGCCCTTAGTTTCCTCCTCCCACTCCATGAGTCCTTCTCTCTCTGATGCCCTCAGTCCCTCCGACCCGCCGAGTGCCCCCGCCGCCGGCCAAGCCCCGCCCTAGCTCGCCGAGTGCCCCCGTCCTGCCGCGTGCCCTCCGCTCGCTGAGTTCCCCGACCCCGCCTGCCCGCCGCTCCTCAACTTCGGCCCGACCTTCTGTTCATCTCACCCAAGCCTTCCTCAGACCCTCCTTTTGAGTGCCCAGGCATTGTGCTGGGCTTTGCACGGAACCGTTTAATAACTGGCCAACACGCAATTCTCGGGATGTCACCTTCCTAGCGGGGACCTACACAGCCTGGAAAATAAGAGGGCTGTATGTTGCACTCCACGGATCAGGGCAATTTAGAACACTGAAGGCTCTTTCTGTACTCATTAACCTGTTGACTTGTTCTTAGTACACTTGTTTTTCGCTTCCTTCCCCCCATCCCTGGTGACTGACTGGGAACAGAGGGCACAAGCAGCAGCCCTAGGGCCATGTGGGCCTGGTGAAGCATTTGTGTGTGTGTGTATCTTTAAATGTGAGTGCCTTAGGCAATGGCATGCTGTCGGTTTCCCACCAGTCCTCCTCCTCTGTACATGTTTGTGTTACTAGCCTGGTGTTTGAAGGCGGTACCTTGTTACCCTTAGCTAAGCCAGGTGTGTGTTCTGCCCAGTAAATCGCCCTGCCCTCTCTATTGGAGCGCTAGTAGGTTGGTTGATTTTAGCAAACAAAGGACACAAGGTAGGAGGACATCTGACTGCAACATAACCACAACTCCTCCTGTGTCTCAGTGAAATAAGTGGCAGCTGGGATCCTGACAGCTGAGCACCATTTATCTCAAAGGTAATAGAATGGAAGTGGTCCACCCCAGATCCCTAACATTTTACACAAATCTTGCTGGAGTTAGCATAAAATGTCCTACCCAGAAAAATTTGGGAACTGAGAAATCTTAACCTACTCTCACAATTCTATGTTCCGCTTTCTAGGTCTTAAGATAAGACAACGGGGTAACTGAGGCTGATTTTGCTGTGTGGCCATTAGACCTAGAAGTATTGTGTAATTCTGGAGATGACTGTGCAACATACTTATTTTTTAAAAATGTATACTTTGCTAAAATAAAAATTATTGAGCGCCTCTGTGTGTCAGGCACTATGCTAAATAGAGAAAGAAGACAGTGTTGTTCCTATTCAAAAGAGATTCACACACTTTAATTCCAGTACAGGGATAAATGCCATGATCACACTATGCACAGGTACATTTTCTCCACCTGGGAGATGGGGAGGTTGACATATCTAAGCCTAGGTTTTGAGTGAAGAATAGTTCAATTTGAAGCACATCCATTTTTGTGGTGACTGTGGACTTCCAGGTGGAACTACCTCGTGAACAATTATATACATGCTTCAGAAGCTCAATGGGAGGGTTGTAGATATAGAACATGTAACCTAAACATCAGTCTTCCCTCACTCTGCCCTCTCTTTAATGTATGTTGGTAACTATATATTAATTAATAATAAATAGAGAGGTAAGTAAGAGATTTTATAGAGAATACCAGTTCTCATGAGAATGTCAGAGGGGTGGAAGAAATCCAAGAGAGTAATCAACCATGTGAAAAACTAAGGGCAAATAAAAGCAAGCCTGAGAAGAATTCTCCTACTGGATTTGGTACTTAGTAGTTACAGTGCCACATATATACTAATTGAAGTCTTTCTGGTAGCATATAATAAAATCAAATAGGACTAACTTAAACAACAGAGGGAATTTATTATAGTGATTTTGTGGTATCCTACAGAATCTAAGGAATGGTTTCAACAACCACACCTTGGGAAGGTCCCAAAAGATTTTTTTCCACTACTTTCTTCCAGAAGTCTTATAGTTCTAGATTTTATATTTAGGTCTATGATGCACATCAAGTTAACTTTCACCTATGGTTGAAGCTAATTTTTTTCCACGTGGCTATTCAATTAATTGTTCCAGTATCATTTCTTGAAGACTATTCTTTCCCACACTGAATTAACAGCTTGACACCTTTGCTGAAAATTGTCCATATATGTGTACATCTGTTCTGTACTTATTCTATTTCATTGATATGTCTATTTTTATATCAGTACCACTTTACATTACTGCTGCTTTATAATAGAATTTTGAAATTAGTAGAGTATCTTCTCCAATTTTATTCTTTTTCAAGTACTTTTCTAGTACCTCTCATTTCCATATAAACTTTGGAATCAGCTTATCAATTTCTATTAAAAAATCTCCTAGGAATTTGATTGGGATTGCATTGAATCTGTATACCAGTTTGGTGAGAATTGATGTGTTAAGTTCAGTGTTCCAATCCATGAACATCCTATTATTTCTCCTTTAGGATTTAATTTCTTCCAGCACTGTTTTGCCATTTTCAGTGTACAGGTCTTATACATATTTTGTGAAAATTAATTTTATTGGCCAGGCACGGTGGCTCACACCTGTAATCCTAGCACTCGGGGAGGCCAAGGTGGGAGGATTGCTTGAACTCAGGAGTCCGAGACCAGCTTGAGAAAGAATGAGACCCCTGTCTCTATTATAAATAGAAAAAGTAGGCAGGCATCATAGGGCACACCTGTAGTCCCAGCTACTTGGGAGGCTGAGGCAGGAGGATTGCTTGAGCCCAGGAGTTTGAGGTTGCAGTGAGCTATGATGATGCCATGACACTCTAGTCTGGGGTGACAAAGTGAGACTCTTGTCTCAAAAAAAAAAAAATTATGGTTTGTGATGCTATTTTAAATCATTATTTTTAAAAGTTATTTGTGCTAGTATATAGAAATGCAATTGTTTTTGTACATTGATCTTGTATGTTGACCTTGCTAAACTTAGATCTAGTAGTTCTGGTTACTGGTTCTAGTATTTTCAAATATTCTGTAGGATTCTCTACATGGACAATCATGTCTGTGAATAGACACATTTACTTCAGCTTTTCTAAATTGTACGTCTTACATTTCTTTTGTTTGCCATATTGCACTGGTCAGGATCTCCAATGCCATATTGAGTAGTGAACAGAGACATCTTTGTTTTGTTCCCAACTCAAACATTTAGTCTTTCACCATTGTGTGATTTTAGCTGTATTATTTTCCATAGATGTCCTTTATCAGTCTTTAGCCTTTTATTTAGTTCCCTTTTATTTCTAGTTTGCTGAGAATATGATTATGATGTGCCTTGTGGTGGTTTTGCTATTAAGTTCTTTGAGTTCCATGAATCTGTGGTTTTATAGTTAATTAAAGGACAGGAAGAGAGTGGTAAACAATGCAGGTGGACAGATACAGTGGGCTGATGTGTCCACTATATCTGATGTGTTTGTTTAGCTGGGACTGTAAGTGTGCCCAGCATCCAATTCTTTTGGAAAGCACTTCTTTCCTATTCCATATGGTTTGGGTGATGATCCTGTACCACTACTCCCCATGATGAGTCCGTAAATTAATCAATAAGAACCCTTGGTCAATAAGAACCTTTCCTAAGACTTTTCTGTTAAATATACCTCTGGTGAGAGCTAACAAGATGACGTAACGCTGCCCGTACTCTGCCAGGAGTTATGCAGCCAACCGTCTGCAAAGAGAGACAGAGTATCCATGAAAAGAAGAGCAGGACTAAGCTAGACAAAGCCCTGAAGATACTGGGGCTCTGGATCTAGCTATGTGGAAATAGCTCTGTTCTTGAACTTTTTAGTTTTGAGGACCAACAAATTCATTCACTCATTTACTTATTTACTAAGAGACAGTCAATCACTGTTGCCCAGGCTGGAGTGCAGAGGTATAATCACAGCTCACTGCAGTGTCAAATTGCTGGGCTCAAGTGATGAGGTGGAAGAATTTAAAGATGATTCTTACATTCTAATTTGAGTAGATGATAAAGATTGACACAGAAAATAAAGAAGGAAGAACAAGAGTAGGCAGAGGGAAGGGTGAAAGGGATAAGTTCAGATTTGGTTGTATTTTGATGGAGGTGCTTAGGTAATTTAAGTGAGGGTTGGAGATATATGGGGATCCTGGTAAATTGATTTTAAAAGTCTAATAATTTAGCTTCAATTTCCTCCTTTGTATATGACGAAAATGAAACTCAGTGTAGTTTAAATGATTTACCTGGGGACTCAAAAATATTTGGAAAAAAGTTTTATTATTAAGAGGATTTAAGTGAAGACATTGATAGAGAATTAAAAGAAACAATGAACCCTTTCAAAACCTTTAGATTCAGTGTTCTAGTTCTTCATTCCTTGATACAACTGTATCACTGTCATAATTTTTTGTCTCATGAACAGGAGGAAAAAAGATGGAGGTGGGAAATATCCTGAGGAATACTTTTGTGGTGAGTAGACAGGTATTCAATGAATAAGTCACTAGTAAGTCAGGTATAACTAAAGAAATGTTGAACATACATGCATGTCACAGTCAATATCCCATACCTTGCACAGTTACTCACAATAGATTTTTTCTCTTTCCTAACCATTTTGCCATACTAACATCACCTATTTAAAACACAAATATGTCACGACTAAGACCTTCAGTGACTCCTCATTGCCCACAATGAATGCACTGTTTCACAAACTATGTTCTATCAATTATCCATTGCCTATATATTTTTAATAGTCACTATAAATAATGTGTTGAACCAACATTAAGTACAAAGTACACTAATGCAGTAGGTAAACATGCTAGAACAATGCTACTCCAAGTCTGATCCACTGACTGTCAGGATGAGCATCACATTGGAGATGGAACTCAAGAACCTGTTTTAACAGGCTATCTGGGTGATTTTTCTGAATGTGAATGTGTGTTCTAGTGGGCTAAAAAGAAGGAGGGTACCTAACTTATTTTCTCTTAGGGATCTTACCCTTTAGAGGGTATTTACAAGCATCTGCTGTGGGGCTGGAATTCTTACACCCTCTCAAAACATGTGTGAATAAAAGGGACAGTGTTCAGATTTCTAACTCTTACAGACCATTTAGGCATGCTAGCCTATGGCCCTTTTAAAAGCTGTACCATCAATATTGTGAGTTTGGTATATTTAATATATATTAATATGTTAGTATGTAAATATGCTTAAAACAAAAATGGAGTTATATCTCACTATCAGATCTAGAATCATACCTAAATTACAGCATTTAAACAAGACCTTCTTTTTAAATAGATATGACAGAATTTTAAATTTACAGAATCAATAATACATAGCATACATTCATTTTACATACTCAAAAAAGCTAAACTTAAGAAACTGAAAAGCTGAAAATGAGAGGTAGTGGTATCCGATGAGTGATATTTTGACTTTCCATTACATATTATACAATTGAAGATTATAGGAGAAAGGGAGCTGAATTCTAAGAATATATACAGAGAAGGCAACTCTTTGGTCTTGGGAAAAGAAAACTGGAAGGAAAAATATATTCAAAATGTATTTTAAAAATTGTTGGACATGCACTAGTGGCAAGAAACAGAAGGTAATTATTCGTGATGGCATAAAAGGAGAGGAGAAAAGAACGCACATTTAGCTTTGTTTTTAGCCCTGGTCATTCCCATTCTTTTCTCCTCCCTTGTCACCATGACTTTGGAGCACATGGTTTAGTTTTTCCAATTTTTGTTAAATACTAATTAAAATCTACATTACAAATAATTTTTCTTAACATATTAATGCCTTTGGCAAAACTCATATGTTGTGTTATTGATGGCAAAGGCGTGAGAAAGAACCAGATGGGAAGCTCATTGTATAAACTACAGAAGGTAGTAGAAGCCTCTACTGCAGTGGTTTTCAAACTTGACATCCACTAAAATCTCCTGGAAGGCTTGTTAAAGCACAAAGCTGGGCCTCATCCTCAAAGTCTTTGATACTGTAGGTCTGGGGTGGGTCCCAAGAATCTGATTTTCTAATAGATTCCCAGGTGAATGCTGCTGGTTTGGAACACATAACTTTGAGAACCACTGCTCTAAAGGAATCAGTAGTCAAAAGGCCAAAGAAGAGCCAGGGAGACACTAAGGGAAAATGGTACTTCCCTGTGTAGGTTTTCAGGACACAGAACATTAGTTACAAGTTTATCACCTACTCAAATAACCAGGTATACATGAATCTTCCAGGGATATAACCAACAAAATTAGTAGCTGGAGAAAAGAAAGTTCTTTCCTAAGATGAAGCCAACACCTAATTTTATTTTTTTTAAAGACAGTTATTAGCCTATTTAAAAACTGTTTTAGAATCCAGTATTATTAGTATGGACCAGTTTAGCTAGCCTACTTAAGTATTAATGCCAATATCCTTGGACTAACTTGAAAATGAATAATATAAATTCAAAATTTCTGCCTGTATTAAAATTCCAAACAAGAGTTTCTTAATTTTTTTAACCTTGTGTTAAAATCATAAATAATCTTATTTCAGTTGATTTTAACCTAATTATTAAACAACAAAATAGTAGTAGTAAAAAAAGAATTCATTTGGCAAATGTAGTTAGTAGATACTAGCCACTTATTAAAAACAGATTTATCATAAAATTGTTAAATTCTTAGATTTAGAACACCTGATATCTGGACCCAGCTGAGCCTTTATTTCACAGATCAAATGGATGGATGAAAATACATTACAATACTCAATGAAGCCGTTCTAATTTAGCTTGAAGAGATTTAAAATTCCCAGTGATAGTTTGCACTGCTACTGAGGAGCTCATAGACTGGAGCTCAACCAGATAACCACAAACAGCATCCAGGCAGAGATTTGTAAATCTTCTCCTGTAAAGTAAAAGACACTTGATCAACTATCTAAACATTTAGAAACATTTCCTCCTAAAAAAAGTTTCTTCCCCCATCCCCCTTCACTTCTGCTAACCTTACTTATAGTCCCACAGAAGAACAAGGATCACATGATTAAGTTAATGGCAAATAAATGAAAATAGAGAAGAAAACTTAGGGGGAAGGTAGATCACCACATAACCACCATTTTCCATATGAAGAGCATTATAATGAGAAGGAGGCAGCAAGGTATGAGTTCCATTAAGATTCCCATTAACATTCTTTTGGCTTTTTGAAAACAGTATCCCTTGAAATGGCTAATAATATCACAAAGACATAATTAAAAGGTCTTGGTCCTAGGTCACTAATCCAAAGCAGAAGGAATTCATAAGTTATATATGTTCACATGTAGAAAGGATTTAAGACAAAGGCTGAAAAATGGAAAAAACTCCTACCTTTCATACATGCTGATCAATAGCATTCAAATTATTATTGCTAATGTATACAAGAGCTTAAATCCCCTATACTTCTTTATAATCCCTGTATCTTTCCATATTCTCTTCAAATTTGTTACCGAGGTATTTATTAGAAGCATTTAAAAGCTTTTGCTATAATACACTATTTAATTCATAGTTACCTTTCATAATTTGAAACTTGGCTAGGATTCTCAACATATCTTGTCAACAGTACATGTATACAATCTAAAAGGTGCAGTGGCTTCTTCATTCTGTTCCAGAATGGATCCTATTAAGAAATATACATGATGAAATGTAAGGCAAACCATGTCAATTTACTTTTCAATCATTTATGTTAGTTAAAGTAGTCACCAGGGTCCAAGCAAAATTTATTGCTATTAAAAAGCATTAAATATTATGTGCCTACTAAATCATATGTCTGATTATTGCTAACATTTTAAACATTAAAACTTATATTATGAAATTACTTAAAAAGAATATTTAATGTATCAGTCCACTTTGTAGAGCAAGTAAATGTCCTGGCTTTGAAATCTGAGGTAAGAGAAAAATCTATCTCTTTCTATGGATTGATATCCCTTTTACTTTGAACCTATCCAGACTTAGTCTGGTACTGTAAAAAAGACTAAACTAGCAGCTACAGAATCTTAATGCTAGTTTTGGATTTACCAGTTAGTAGCCACAAACAGGTTATTTAATGTCTCTGCCCTTGTGTTTTTTCAATGTAGGATGGGGATACCAAATAACTATTTGGTTATTTTTATTAATATCACAGGCTTATTGTGACTCAGTAGGAAACACACAAACAGTGCCTTATAAAGCACTGTATGATGCTACTATAGAAGATATAATCTATTTCAAGAAGGTTTTATTTGGATCTTTTAATCTTAGGATAAAAATTACAAAATATAGTCTGATAAGGCTCAATATGGGGAGAAAGATCTTTAAACACTGCTATTTTAGATAAGGTTACACTAAATAAATACAGTGTCATTTTGTTCTTTCAAAGTAAACGATGATTCTTAATATAATCAGTTTAGCCTCCACCTTGGTTTAGCCTATTCCACCAAGAGTAAAGCATATATATTTATTAATATTAAAAAATAACATTCATTGTAATCATGATATACAGCAAAGCAATTCAAGCAATTCTTTTTTTTTTTGAGACAGAGTCTCGCTTTGTTGCTCAGGCTAGAGTGAGTGCCATGGCATCAACCTAGCTCACAGCAACCTCAAACTCCTGGGCTCGAGCAATCCTTCTGCCTCAGCCTCCCGAGTAGCTGGGACTACAGGCATGCACCACCATGCCCGGCTAATTTTTTTCTATATATATTAGTTGGCCAATTAATTTCTTTCTATTTATAGTAGAGACAGGGTCTCACTCTTGCTCAGGCTGGTTTTGAACTCCTGACCTCGAGCAATCCGCACACCTCGGCCTCCCAGAGTGTTAGGATTACAGGCGTGAGCCACCGCGCCTGGCCACGCAAAGCAATTCTCATTAACAGTTTTGAAAGTCTGATGCATAATTTCCAGTACTCAACCAATGAAGCAAATCTCTGCTACAATTGTATTACACTAAGTGATAAAATACATATAAACATGCAATCAAAATACCCCCAAATAGTATATCTAGAAAAAGTTAGTTACACTAATTAAATAAAGAAAATTTTATTTTACTTAACATTTTCCTTACCCGTGATTTGAACAACTGATCATAAACCTCTAGTAGTCTAGGTAATGGCACTCCGATTTCATTCATTGTCTGTATTACAAAGCCCACATCCCAGTTCAAAGTACAAACTTGTTGCTCTAAGAACTGTACAATAAAATCTGTGAAGGGAAACAGATCAGAAATCAGGATATTTAACTATTGATATTAATCACAGGTCTTATTTATAAGTGAGTAGGGAGAAATCTCTGAAAACCAATTTCAAGAAATTTTTAAAATTAAAAGTAACAGGTAAATCTAAAGACAGAAAGTAGACCAGTGGTTGCCTAGTGCTGGAGGGTGGGAAGGAATGGGAAGTGATAACTAATGAGTACAGGGTTTCTTTCTGGGATGATGAAAATATTCTAAAATTAAATTGTGGTGATAGCTGCGCAACTCTGTGAATATGCTAAAACCATTAAATTGTACACTTCACAAATAATAAGAAAAAATTACATTTTTAAGTACTTAAAACATATAGAAAGGTACAAGGAGAAAATAGAGAATTCATAATCCCACTCTTAAAGAGGAAGCACCTCTTTTATGAGTTTTTAAAATATCTGTATTTAAAAAAATTTCTTCATCCTTGATTTGACAATTTTTCAGAAAATGCAATTGTATCCTGATTTTAGAAATATTGAATGTGTTTTTCTTAATGCCTCACTCCCTAGATTTATAGTATTTATTTTGATACTTCTAATTGCGGGCCCATTCTCACTTTTTACTTCCTGTCTTATCATAAGTGAGATCATAATAGTAACAAACAAATTTATAATTATGATACCTGAAATCTGAAACTGACCAATGTGAACATCCGTGGGCAAGAGGAATCACTGAAAAAACTGCCACTAAACCTGTATCTTTTCTAAAATTTACCATTCAAAAACCTGGGGTAGGTAATAAGAATTCTAAAAGCAGTAAAATTTGATCCCATTTGAAGTTCTCTGAAGATTGTTTGCCATTGAGAGATTGATAAAAAACAAAAACAAAAACAAAAAAATGAAGCCATCTTCTATTCTAAACTTACTGGGCTGAAAAATAAGTTAAGTAAAATGACTTAGAAATTTGTCTAAGTCAAAGCAGAAATTCCTCAAAGGAACTGTGCACATGTAGCCTTATATATATATATATATATATTTTAACTATTAAAAGTAAGTCTCATGTACTTAAAAACATTTATGAAAAAAAATCTATATAGGCTTTTTAATTTTCTTTTTATTTTTCTTATCAATAAAATGGCTTGAAAGGGTGCAGTTTTAATACTGTACCTATAAGAAATAAAGGTATGATTATAATGGTTTTATTTCTGCCATGTCTAGGGAATAGATCCTGAGTCAGAGATGTCTATAAATAAGTTGAATGCTTATTAAAAAAAATTTAATGTTATATTGTGAGAATTCTCAGGTTTTTCATTATTTTTTCAATAATACAAAAGTGCTTAATATTCTACTATATAGATGGACTTACGTTGCTAGTATTATTTTACAACTGAGGAAAACATTGTAGGTTAGCAAAGGGTTCACAATTAGTTACCTATGTAACAATTATTGTCAGCATATTTGGTTAAGAAAGGGGTTCAAATTATTAAATTTTTAACACAACTATTTGCCATTTTAAGAAAAATATGCCCTCAATAGAGAGCAGTTGAATCACATATTACCCACGCACAAAGCACCAGCCATTTCTCCTTTCTCTTCACAAACTTGTATAGGGTTACCAACAATATAATCACATAGTTTGTTAGCACAATCCCCAGACAGATGTATAAACTTGGAAAGTTAGTCCAAGAAAGTTTCGTACTGAACTATTTTTCAACAAAGTCTGCTATTCTTTGGGGAGTATTTCTTTCTGGAGAGGTAGAATTATACTTTTAAACTAAATAGCAAGAAAGAAACAATTTATTTCACTCTACAGATCATTATTTTTCCATGTCAATGAAGGAATCATCAAAACAGAAAATAAAACATGTTAGTACCTAAGGTTACTGCTTACCTAAAGGAAAGAAGCGTGGTGTGCCAGCATAGATTTTGCCCAGGAGAACAATCTTGAGACTAAGAGCATGCATTCTATCTGGAGAGCTCAAGGTTACACTGTCATTCAATTCTGTAAGAAAGAGACATTAAAACCCAAGTTTACATTGGGTATTTAATTGTTTCAAGGCTAAAAATACTTTAGAACTTATATTCACATTAATATAATTAGCAGATTCTGTGTTTCTGTTAGTGTCTGACATATTCTCTCCTCTTACCCAGGTACTGCTTATTAAGATTGTGAGGTAAGCATCTCAGTATCTCCTATTAGGCAGCACAAACCATAAAAATGATACAATGTTTTACTGAGCATCTTCCCAAATATTCACTGGAGTCTTTCTCCAAACAATCACCATCCACCTTCCACTTACCTCCTAGTTAGGTATACACAATGTTCATGAGCTATAGATATAGTAGCTACTAGCAGTCTGCATTCCTCTACTAAGTAATTAAATAACATATGTTAATATACCCTTAATTGAACACTTACCTTTCTCTATGATATCTTGCCAAAGTGTCTGCACCAATATAGGGTCTGAATAACCGGCACAATGAATTATTGCAAGTTTACACTCCGCCAGTTTAAATGGGTCAGCAAATTCCCCATAAAGCTGTGGGAGAAAATCCCAAAATTAAACACCCAACCAGAGGTCATTATTCAGAGATTAATCTCTGAATAGTGAAGTACTCCTTGAAAATTAAAAATAACCAAAGATTTTATCTAAAGTTTCTATAATATGACATTAAAAGTATAATGAAATATAGCTGACCTTAAGTCCAGATTAAAAATAATGAATATATGATAAATACATTCAAATTGATTTTAGTATGTATGCCTGTTTTTCTTGGCTGGAAGGGAAATGCTGCAATGACATTTCTTTTACAATTATTGTGTCTAAACAAGGGAGTTGAAGAATCATGAAAATACTGACAAATCTCAGGGTGCTTCAGGGTACTTGGAACCATGTCCAAGAATAATTGAAGAGGAAGGAACTGCTCAGGTTACAGAGTGAGAGAGGATTGGAGAATAAAGCAAAGATAAGTTGCTTTTCTCCAAGACGAGAAGCAAGGCCATAAATTAGAAATTAGCTGATAGGTTCTTTAGAGCTACTGGCCTAGAAGGAACAGCCTTAGACTTTTGTAGAAATCAGATGCAGCAGTGGTGATCTGTGAGCTCAGTGACGAGCTACCAAGGATGGTTAATCTTATTTTGTAGAGATAGGTTAATCCTTCCTGTGAATCAAAGAGCAAAATGCAAAACAAACAAGAAATTTCTAGATATTAGGTAACCACTGTAGGAATTTCACTTGCTTTTTCCTTACCTTAGTTATGTCCATTAGCTCAGAATCTAGCTGAGAAATTGCATCCTGTACGGAAGAATGATGAGAATACTGCCTTTGTAGTGTCTCTTGTATCTGCAGTTGGATCCTAGCAACCTAGTTTGGGCAAAAAAGAGGACATCTTTCTTTCTTTATGATAAATCAACAGGCAGCTGAAGGAATTACTTCTAGTATCTGACCTTTAAGTTTGCCAAAATAAAAATACTATATAAATAAAGACATCTGTTGTAACAAACTAGCATCATTACAACTGAATTCATCTCAACATAACCGATTTCACAGGAAGTATACTGTGGCAGAGCCCTTGCTGCCCACCAATATGACTGTAGCCAGATAAAACAGCTAGACTATCCTCAGCTGCCTTTGCAGGGAGGTACAGCCATATGGCTAAGTTCTCTTCAAAGGAAGAATGGGGCCAGCATGGTGGCTCATGCCTGTAATCCTAGCACTCTGGGAGGCCGAGGTGAGAGGATCGTTTGAGCTCAGGAGATCAAGATCAGCCTGAGCAAGAACGAAACTCCATCTCTACTAAAAAAAAAAAAAAAAGAAAGAAATCAGCTGGACAACTAATATATATATAAAGTAAGAATGGAAAGAAGTAAAGCATGTCACATCAGGGCTGTGGTTTTTTACAGTGAATGCACTTTGTACATGCTTGTTTCCTCCTTTCTCCCTCTGTCCAAAGGATAAAGCAAAGGCCGTAAAGAATGGTGTGACTGATAACCAAACCTGCATCCCTAAATCAACACGGAGAAAAGCCACCTGCCAATCCGAAACACTCACTCTGGATTTTTGTGAATGAGAAATAAGCTTTTATATTTTGACCATTATGTTTTTGAGTCTCTGAGTGCCCTTTTAATTTAGCTTACCCTACTTCATATATCTACTTATTAGCTTCCACGATAAATGGCGAATGTGGCATAATCACTTGCTTTTGGAATAGCTGAAAAAACTTTTAGAAATGCCATAGAGAAAACTTCTAAATTATAGTAATGTCTTTATCACTCAAGTGCTAGTATCCTTAAAATCTCTCTAAAATTTGTATCTAAACATAAAAATAAATAAATATATATAGGCAGAAAAGACTAGAATTAATAATAGTGACTTCTACAGACTTATTATTTACTAGGAGAAGAATGGACAGCAGAATAACTATGTGGTTACTACTCAGTATGAACATAACTCAAGTATCTTCAGCACTTACTTCCATTTTTTCTTCTAATTCATGAAGGAATTCACCATCTGCAGCTATTGATGAAATGGCAGTGGAACTTTTGGCACTAAGAATGGCTCGAGCAATGTATTCTAGTCGCTGCTGAAGTGAAATTTCTGTGCTAAGAGGGAAAATTCTTACTTTTAGTTACATGATTTCTTAAGGATTGAATATATAAATATGTCAATTAGGATATATTTTATACCAAATGAACATAAAAGGCCATTTGAAACTTGAAAAAATTATTAGCTTGTTTCTAATAAATCTAATTATTTTACATTTCTAATAAGAGAGATCTACAATTTTAGACAACAAATAAAGAAATACTTAACATTTATGTCTAAAAAGTAACTTATTTTAAAAACTTAGTTCATTGGTACCAATGTCATAAAAAATCTTTTAAAAATTAAAAAACATTTAGTTCAACATATTAACCAGATTCTTCTAAAACTAAATTAAGGAAAATATTCTTTATTGCTCATATTCTTCACTTCTCTACCTTAATTTGGCCTATATTACATTTCATCTTCTACACAGCACCTAGAGTGACCACTTAACAAAGTAGTCCCAATTACTTGGGATGCTGAGGCAGAAGGATCACTTCAGCCCAGGAATTCAATTCTAGCCTGAGCATCAGAGTGACTCTGTCTCTTTAAAAAACAAAACAAAAACCAGATTATGCCACACATTTTCTTAAAACCCTCTAATTGCCTTCACCTACTCCTCCAACCTCATCTTCCACTCAGTCTCTTGCTCACTATCTCCAACCCCACTGGCCTTTTGTATCCTGAACACAGCAACTTGTACATTGCCTTGCCTCTGTACAGACTGTTACCATGCTTGAATCACTTTCCCCCCATTGTATACATAGTTGCCTACTTCTATCATTTTAGTCTCAATTCTAATGACACTTTCTCTGAGGTCTTCTTTGACCACTGCTAACTAAAGCAGCTCTCCACTCCCCCAGGCACTTTCTACTCTACTATCTTATTTTTATTCTTTTTATAGAACCTATTTACCTTGGTCTTTACCTATTAAATGTGAGCTTCCTGGAAGGAGGGATGCTGTCTACCTTTAGTTCTTTCTAATTCTCTAACTCTACCAGACCTGGCTCTTTGACAAAATAAAGCAACTTGGCATTAAAATCATTTACCCGTTAGCAACCTCTCAGATGAACCAGTACTAAATTTATCTTTTGATACCCCAATTAATTCTACTGTAAATCAGAAAAAAAATGGCTTTCTTTAGTTTCAGAGAAGATCTTACTTGAACTGCTCTTCTCTACAGTTACGGTTCTTATATTTTTCTTCCAAAAAGAAATCAAAAGAAAAAAAGAATTAACTCCTCTTGCCCTTCTATCTTTTAAAGCAGAGGTGTGTGTGACAGTTAATTACCACTACTACTTTGATTATATATACTCATGAAGTACTCTGCACATTTTGGGGACTTGCTTGAAAGGAAAGGCTTTCCTTTCCCCTCCATCTGATCTCTAAAAAAAAAAAAAATCCCCTATTTGAATCAAACATTTTCAAGTTATTTAAAATATAACATTCTATGGCTGTCAGTTTATTTGATTCTATCTATATAAGCAAGGAGAGTATAGTGAGAAAGAGAACACATAACACAATAGATGAAAATACTTTTTAAACTTTTTAATTAAAAAAATTTTTATTTAGACAAAGTGTCTCTGTCATCCACGATAGAATGCATAATCACAGGTCACTGCAGCCTCGAACTGCTAGGCACAGGTGATCTTCCTGCCTCAGCCTCCTGAGTAGCCAGGACTACAGGTACATGCTACCACACTTGGCTAATTTTTTCTATTTTTTATAGTAACGGGGTCTTGTTATGTTGCCCAGGCTGGTCTCAAACTACTGCACCTAGCCTGGAAAAACATTTTTATCATGGAGAGAGACTGTAACCTGAAAGCTAAAGGGTGGATGGGCCAGGCATGTTGGCTCACGCGTATAAACCAAGCACTTTCGGAGGCTGAGGTGGGAAGTTCACTTGAGCCAGGAATTCAAGGTTTCTGTGAACCATGATTATTACATCACTGTACTCCAGCCTGGGTGACAAAGTAAGACCCTGTCTCTTTAAAACAAAGAGAAAGAAAAAAGGAGTAGATGGACATAAGTATCTCACACGAGGAAAAAATCAGGTTATATGTGTACATGTGTATAGTGGATTTGGATAATGGATGCTCTTAAAAGTTGGAGAATTTCTGAATACTTTACCAGAATATATAAATTTTTATAAAAAGAAAAATGTAAATAACTACTACATAAAGGGCAATTAAGAGCCACACTAAGTTTCAGGACAATAACAGCACAATAAAACTGGTTAACAGAGATTTGTATGGTCATGGTATCCAGGACTAATTATTTAAGATAAATGACAAGAGTACTCCAGAAATTAGATACTGTAGGCCTTTATTAAGCATAGCCAATATGTCTGTCCCTCTAGAAGATTACAGTCCATAATTGGCACTCAAATGCTGGATACAGGAATGAGTTACATAACTTTAATATGTATAACTAAAATGAATTAAATATTTAATAATGCTGTCAATTCTTAATTATACAAACCATGAATTAACAAAGGCCTTTACTAAAAACAGGTTTTCAGATTTCTAACACCTTACTTTCCTTTTCATTCCTTTCATTAAACCAAAATCAAAAAAATTAAAGTCACTTCATATAGGCCATCTTCTGCATGCTAAGGGAACTTAGAAAATCTAGTGACTATTACAACCGAAGAGGGCAAGAAGACTGTAAAGGCTCTGGGATATGCAATAAAAACACCCACGTGAGAGCAAGCATATGCACATACACATACATATTCACATTTGCAACTTGCTAAAATGAACTCTTTTTTTTTTTTTTGAGTCAGAGTCTCACTCTGTTGCCCAGGCTAGAGTGCTGTGGCGTCAGCCTAGCTCACAACAACCTCAAACTCCTGGGCTCAAGCAATCCGTCTGCCTCAGCCTTCTGAGTAGCTGGGACTACAGACATGCGCCACCACGCCTGGCTAATTTTTTCTATATATTTTTAGTTGGCCAATTAATTTCTTTCTATTTTTAGTAGAGACAGGGTCTCACTCTTGCTCAGGCTGATTTTGAACTTCTGACCTTAAGCAATCCATCTGCCTTGGCCTCCCAGAGTGCTAGGATTACAGGCATGAGCCACCGCACCTGGCCCACAAATGAACTCTGTAACCATTCTGAGCAACCTATCTTAGTGAGAGCTCTGCCTCAACACTTCCTCTTCCTAACTTAACCAGTTTTTAGAAATGGCACTTGTATCATTACACATGAAAATAGAGGATCAAATTAACAATCGTGTTCAATATTTTATTAAATTGTCTTTTTTAAAAAACTGTCTTTAGGTATGGTAATCTAATTAGAAATCTCAATGCTTAACAGAACTCTTAATAGTCCTCAATATATATGTTTTAAGACTTTTTTAGTATAATTTCAACTGATGAGGGAGTAAAGGAAATTATTCTTGAGTTGGTAAAATACTTAAAATTATAAAGCCTTGGAGAAACAGTTTTCATTATCTTAATTTAAAATACTAAGGTATTGGCCAGGTATGGTGGCTCATGCCTGTAATTCTAGCACTCTGGGAATGCCGAGGTGGGAGGATTGTCTCAGGTCAGGATTTCAAGACCAGCCTGAGCAAGAGTTAGACCCTGTCTCTACTAAAAATACAAAAAATTAGCCGGGCATGGTGGCATGCACTTGTAGTCACAGCTACTCAGGAGGCTGAGGCAAGATGGCTTGAGCCCAGGAGTTGGAGGCTGCTGTGAGCTACGCTGATGCCATGGCACTCTAACCCAGGCAATAGAGCAAGACTGTCTCAAAAAGAAAAATAAAACTAAATTATTAATAGGAAAGAGTCTAAAAACATCCGAAAGAAAAGGATTTAAAATACAGTTTGAATAAAAAGGGTCTGAGTATTCTTTTTGTACCTCCTACACATTATTAAAAACAAAACATAAAAAAGGAGACTGTAAACTTCAGGTAAATCCAAGTAAAGGCATAAAAATTCTACTTACGTATAACCTGAATGAGGTTTTATTTAGTTTGTGAAATCTGGATGTAACTATAGATAGCTCAGTCTTCAATCATTCTTCACAATGAGAATATTATGCCATACCTATGCATATCAGCCAATTTGGACAAGACACGAGCAGCATTACTAAAGCTTCTGTTCTTCTCATAATACCTCCAGAGTAAATCCATATAACGAACTTTGTTTTGATCAACTTTGGCCATTCGGACTAAATGTGGCTCCAGAAATGGAGAAGCGACCTGGAAATTGTACAGTTACTCAGAAAATTTTTCTGACCACCTAATTCCTTTTTAAGTAGAAAATATAATAAAGACAACTACAATTGTGCCTTGTTTTACGAAAACAAGTAAAATTATAAGCCAACATTAATAGATAAAAGAGAAAGTAATTTTTCCCATCATAACTGTTTTATCATAATTAATGGAAGACTCTACAAGTGTAGAGTGGATTAGGTGGATAAAAATCATTTACTATAAAATTATAAATTTATTAACAAACTTTGACAACACAACTATTTATTAATTCCTAGACTCTGAGCTCAAAGGCATCCTTAAAATTATCAGATACCATGCATTCATTTCATAGACTAAGGAACACTGAACTAATGGTAGTAAAAGGACATGTTTAAAGTTACATAGTGACTTAATGGCAGAGCTAAGATGAAGTTCGGGTCTCTTAATTCATAATCCAGTGTTTTTTACCCGACAAGATAAACTATCTCAATCGGCTTCTGAATAACAAGAGGGCAGCAATGGTCTACTTTGTCCCTTAGGAAAAGAAATTGCATTGCTTAGCTTTATACTAACATCTAATGGTAGGCACAGGATAAGAAACTGAATTTCCTACAGTTACACATGTGCTTAAATCATTGTTATGCTTTAAAAATATAAATTATGCTTAAAAATATAAATTAACAATAGTACAATAAATTTTTTTTTTTACCTGTAGCAGCTTATCTGCAAGGTCAGCCTGTATTAGCCAATTATAAAGGGCAATACTAAAGAGCTCATCTTTGGATCTCTGAGCCAATTTAAGCATTTGTTCAAACTAAAATAAAGAAAACAGTAAAAATTAGGATCATTAAACGCTCTGTTGCTGGGTATCACAACTTCTTAGCACTACAAATCCCTGATAATAAAACAGGAATCCTTAAATGGTAACTTCTAAGAGCTAGAGCCTTTCCGAACATGATTATGCCACCATTACTATGCAGAACTTTTAAACAGTGTATTCTCAGAATGAAAATATGCTATGTTCCTTACATGATGTCCTGCTTCTTCATTACTCAGCATATTGGGATCAGATGACAACACTGGAGGACCAGGTTTTTTGGGTACACTGGGAGACTGAGGAGCAGCTTTACTTTGATTTACCAGTTCTTGAAGTGTATCTGTAATGCACTTGTAACTGTTTAACCTGAAAAAGAATGGAAAGGGGGCAATTACATTATTTAACTAGAAAAACAATCAATTTACTCTATTTAATTTAAATATACACAAGAATCTGAGACTCTTGGCCGGGCGCAGTGGCTCCGGCCTGTAATCCTAGCACTCTGGGAGGCCGAGGAGGGCGGATTGATCGAGGTCAGGAGTTTGAAACCAGCCTGAGCAAGAGTGAGACCCCGTCTCTACTATAAATAGAAAGAAATTAATTGGCCAACTAATATATATATACAAAAAATTAGCCGGGCATGGTGGCGAATGCCTGTAGTCCCAGCTACTTGGGAGGCTGAGGCAGGAGGATTGCTTGAGCCAGGAGTTTGAGGTTGCTGTGAGCTAGACTGACGCCACGGCACTCACTTTAGCCTGGGCAATAAAGTGAGACTCTGTCTCAATAAAAAAAAAAAAAATGTACACAAACAAAGGTCTATCCATAAAGCTGACAATCTGCTAAGGTAATAGAATGTACCTTTCTTGGAAGGCTTGAAGTCCAACTATATCTTCTTCTGGTTCTCCATGTTTATAGAAATGAAGTCCAAGACCCTGAGGATCTTTTTTCTCTGCAGCAGTAAGAGAGAGTTCCACCACACCTTCATAAAAACGCACTAATGGGATAGAAAAAGGACAAAGACTTAAGGCTGTTTACTAAGCAGGATACATCTTCCCTTAGCAGTATATAAAAATTATGATCAAAGTTGTCTCTACTGTACATTAGTTACCCTGCTGACAATATCATAAAACATTTCTAATGAGTCTACCAAAGGAAAAGGTTTGAACATGACCTAAAGGCAACTATTAAATATATTTCTTCACTGGAAATAATTTCTATATTTAAAATAACAAAGATTTCTGTATCTTACTGAGGGAAAAAAATATCTTAGAATTCAAAATAACACCTGTGCTAACAGTTATATCCTTTACATTATGTTAGATTTGATTTAAAGCAATTTTTTAAGAAAGTAGGCAAGTTATATATCTTAAAAATTTTAGTCAAAAAATTTTAAATATCTTAAAAATAAATGTAACCCAGAATGCAATCTAATACATACAGTAGTTTAACTGGACAAGAACTGAAACTCTGATGTTAAAAAGTTACATATTTCAAGATAGAAAAAGAACATTATAGCTTCTGCAGAGGTCAGTGTAGTTATCAAATACTGAAACACAATGATATGATGATGTTCCTATGTTGTAACATTTGTCCATTTATGTTGAAGGAAGATTTGCCTCTGAGAAGAGGTTCTTCATCATTATGTTGTTTATTTACACACTATCATTTGTCCTCTGAGTTAAATAAAAGATATGAAGAACATTTTTTTTCCTCACCTTGTCTATATTGAATACAAACATTGGAAAGGTCTACTTGATTGCTGATTTTTTGATATTCCTTTAATGATTCCCTTAACATTCTTTCCTTTTCAGTCTTATTTTGAACTTGTCGGGAACGCTGGAGAAGTTCATTTGCCTAGAAGAGGAAATGACAAGAACTTAAAAAGATATAAAATCAAGTAGACAGATGATGTTGTCAATGTTAAGTTTCAGTCAATATCTAAATTTATATGTGGTTTATTACCATTAGAAATAAAAACAACTCTACAAACTTACTTCTTCTTAATTTTAGGCAGAAAAGTTTTGACCAAAAAATCCTAGCTATTTTTAATTCCTCTCACAAATATGTTAAGCAAGACAGCTTTTGTCTGGCAATTCTCTTGCCTAGTCAATACATTATTGGTCAGCAGGCAGTCCATGCAACACTGATATACTTATTTTTTTCCGACCTGTAGGAAAGGATCAATAAAAATTGCCCCATTAACTCTAATTCATCATAGATTTACTTAAAGTTTTATTAATTTAACTTCTAATGAGAGAAATTCATCCTCTAATGGCTATATTTCCTTAATTTCTTAATTTAGTGATTTTTCTTATTTCTAACCTTTGTCTTTTTTAATATGGCCTAGAAATACTATCAAATATTCTTGTGTTAAAAGAGTAAACATGGTTTACGTGGTTTAAAACCATGTATTTTAACCCATTTCTTAGGAGGAATCTGGACCCAGGAGAGGTTAAGAGAACTACATAATTGAGGTCATATATCAAGTAAAATAAGACACCTACTGATTCTCATTCTAGTATGCTTTTTGTCATACTGTGACACCTCCTATAAGAAACACTGAAATAGGTAACAAAGTACCATACCTTAGAACAAACTGCATCATCAGTGCTATACAGAAGTGGGCAGATATCTTGTAAATGTAAACTAATGCCATCAACAGCAGCATTATCTCTGATGTAGCAGTTGATAAGAGAAGCAATTAATGCCCCTGTGAGTTCTTTATCCCTGATTACGAGATCTTTAAAGGTGGTGATCTTCAACTGCTCCTGAAATTCCTAGAAATATAAGAGAAAACCCTTTTATATCAAAATTATAGCAATATCTTATTTCCACACAGAATGAAATTTCTTTAATAAAGTAATGTAAATATCAACAGACTCTATAATTTAAAAGAGAAAATATGCTAAACTCTAGAACCAAATTTTTGCAAACTTGTATAAAATCACAGAGTTGAAAAAGAACGCACGGTGGGTCTAGTCCAACCTCTCACTTTATAAAGTTCAAGTAAAGCCCAGGTAGAGCCAAAACTAGAGCCAGGTCTCCTGACATTAGTTGTAACCAGGATAAAACAATCACTTAGCTACATTAATAAATCTCAGGCTTACATTTCATTTTTCCTAAATAATGTTTGAATTCTATTATTCAAGGCATTCTAACATTGGTGTTTGACCTGCATTTTGAACAAATCTGCTTGTTAAAATGAAGCTCTAAAGTATTAAGGTGATTTATACTACAGTAAAATATTCTGTTTAGTGAACAGACTGCAATTTCTTTTTTCTAAATTTCAGCAAATACCCAAACTATATTCAGATTTTTGAACAAATATTTAATTTGCATTCCTCGAACATAAAATTGTTCATGCAAGGAAGGAACCTTTGCAGATGGACCACAAAAAATAACTAGGCTAAAAACCTACCTACATTGTGTTTATCAATCAATAAAACTCAAAATCATTATTTTACATGACATAAAAAAGAAAACAGTTTTCATAATTAAACATATTAGCTTGAATTTTTAAAAAGGAGAAAAAAACTTCTGTGCTTAAACGAAAACCATCAACTAAAAAATTCACAACTACTCATTGGACACTACTGGAAGAACTAGGGGATTACCTTCTAACTCTGAAAAATTGTATTTAAAATTGGCCAGGTATGGTGGCTTATGCCTATAATCCCAGCATTTGGGGAGGCCAAGGCAGGAAGATTGCTTGAGGTCAGGAGTTTGAGACCAGCCTTGGAAATATTGCTAGACCTCATTCTTTTGAAAAGTAAAAAATAGCTAGGTGTGGTGGAGCACACCTGTAGTCTCAGCTACTCGGTAGGCTAAGGCAGTAGTGCTTGAGCCCAGGAGCTTGAGTCTGCAGTAAACTATGATCCACGCCACTGTACTCCAGCCTGGGCAATGGGGTGGGACCTTATCTCAAAAAAACAAAACAAACAAAAAAACCCCACACAAAACATAAAACATTTCAAGGCAATCAAATAGCACTCAAGGACAAGAAAATTATTTTTTATAGAAGTGCAGTTAATAATTGTGGAAGGAAGCCTGAGCAACATACCGAGACCCCATCTCTCTATAAAAAATACACAAATTAGTCGTATGTGGTAGCACACACCCATAGTCCTGGCTCCTTAGGAAGCTGAGTGAGGCAGGAGGATGGCCTGAACCCAGGAGTTTGAGGTTGCAGTGACCTATTTATGATCACATCACTGTGTTCCAGCCTGGGTAACAGAGCAAGACCTTGTCTTTAAAAGAACGAAACAAAACAAAAACTGTGGAAGGAACCAAAGATTTAGAAAATTACCATTTTGTAATCCTAAATGAAACAATGAAATAACCAATTCCATCCAGCAATGATTATCAATGGATGATGAAAGTCTGATGGAGAATTTTATAACAGTAGAATCTGATTTACCACTTGACTCCAGCAATCAATCTTAGTATTACTAAAAATCAGAATAACCAAACCTTTTGTGTCCCCTAATAAATAGCCTGATGCCCACTACATACAAAGTATTCTATTCCTCCTCAAATAAATGGACTAGACCCTAATCAAGCCTATAGAAATCTAACTTCCATTTCATAGAAAATGCAGGAGATAAAGGAACAAATTCACAAGGAAGGTAAAGGTAAAAAACTATCTTAGAATGTTTATCATTTTACATGATTGATTATCCAATTTCTACAAGGCAATAGCAAGGAGAAACAAAAAAGGGAGGAAAGACTGCTCTAGATTGAAGAAGATTTAAGAGAAACAATCAAATTCAGTGAGTCAACTAACTTTTTAGATCCTGAGTTGAATGAACCAATCTGTTAAAAGACATTTTTAAGACAGAAATTTCATTATTTTAGATGCTACAATAATTACTGTTAATATTGTAAAGTGTGATAATTTCTAAATATACAGTATAAAGTAAGTAGGAGTAAAATGACATGATGCCTAGAATCTATTTTAAAATAATTCAGGAAAGAAAAAGAGAAAAGAGGATAGATTAAGCAAAGCTGGTAAAATATTAATATCTTAAAAATGCTGGATATGAGTCAAGTGTATGTGGGAGATATTGTTAGTTTTTGCTCTATTTTCACATGTTTACAAATGTTCACAATTCAATAAAAGGTAGGAATATATTTTCTCCAAATGTCCTATCTAAAATTTTGATGAATGCCTATTATCTTTATCCTTCAAAAGGATTCAAATGAGAATAGCAACAGAAATATGAACCATTCCCATAATGACAAACATCTTGCTTTAAGAGTGTTTGACCCCTTAAAATTACTTGTGAAAATTCCTGTGTCAAGTATCTATATGCATTTCTTTGAGGGTGGTGAATGAGAGATTTTATCAGATTCTCAGAGGATCTGTAGCTCAAATAAAGGTCACAATCCACAGTGACCATATTTTTGGTAAAGAAAGATTTCATTCATATACCATTATAAAGTTCTCATATACTATAAACACATGTGGTTTTGACAAAATGGTTTCCAGAAGTTACCATGCTTTTGTGCGATCTTCCTAAAACATACTAAGTTTATCATAATCTAAATGCTTCACAAAATAATGCCCTCTCAAACCCAAATGTAAGATTAAAGCCATGCAAAAGAAAACAAATACTGTATTAACAGTACAATCTTAAACAAAAAAAGATAAGTTTACCTTCTGAAGTTCTCCTACAATGACAGTGAATTGATGTTCACAGAGAAGTTTCCATAAAGCCAAAGCCTGGTATGATTTTCGAACCAATTGCTGGATTGCCTGAAGTGAAATCTTTTCACTCAATTGAGCCTCTAATAATAATAAAACACAACTCATGAAGTTTTATAAAACTTCAACTTATCCTGGACAAATTGTTTTATTTCAAATAAAGAACTATTGCTAAGGTTGAAATCCCCATTGTTCTCCTCTGCCCACATGATAGGTGATCATGATCATCAGCTGTCTTCATGTTTTTGTGTATATATATATATATATATACACATACATACATACATACATATATATATATATATATGTGCTCCTGCATGTTTGTGTGTTTAAACATAAATAAAAATATTGCAGTGTTTTCAACAATTGCAACCACTATTTTTTTTTTGCCCAGTTATATGTTCACAGGCTGGCCAAACTGATAAATATAAAGCTAGTACATTTATTTTCATTGCTGACTGTTTCATCATGTAAATATATCACAAGTTGGCCCATTTTCCACATAAATAACATTTAGATTGTTCCCAGTGTTTTAACACTAAAACAGTAATGTGATAAATATGCTCAAAGATGGTCTCCTGGAAAATACTGTCAAGTCTCTCTGGGACTGAGTTTCTCAAACCCTGGATTAAAACATATTGTCAGATCATAAAATCGGTCTAGTCAGTCATGACAGGTTTACCCCCATCCCTTAAATAGGAAATAGAATAGAATAAAAAAAGAAAGAAATATGACAATATAATATAGGCAGAATTATTTCAGGAAATTTTGTTTCAGTTATAGGTATACGTTATGTTTTTAAACATGAGTCATAATGTAAAATGTATTTCCTACTGTGAGAAAAAAGTGATTAAGATTCTTCTAGGATATACACCTAGAAGTGAAACTATTGGCTTTAAAGTATACATGTGCAGGCCAGGCGCAGTGGCTCACACCTGTAATCCTAGCACTCTGGGAGGCCAAGGCGGGCAGATTCCTCGAGGTCAGGAGTTTGAAACCAGCCTGAGCAAGAGCAAGACCCCATCTCTACTAGACATAGAAAGAAATTAATTGGCCAACTAATATATATAGAAAAAATTAGCTGGGCATGGTGGCGCATGCCTATAGTCTCAGCTACTTGGGAGGCTGAGGCAGTAGGATTGCTTGAGCCCAGGAGTCTGAGGTTGCTGTGAGCTAGGCTGACGCCATGGCATTCACTCTAGCCTGGGCAACAAAGTGAGACTCTGTCTCAAAAAATAAAATAAAATAAAAATAAAGTATGTATGTGTATTTTCAGCTTTTACTAGATATAATCAAATTGTTCTCCAAAGTGGTTGTTTCAGTATAAATTGCCAGCAGTTTGAATGCTCCCATTTGTATAAATCCTTACAAATGCTTGGTAATATCAAGCTTAAAGCCTTACTTAATTATCATTAGTAGTTCTGAAAAAAGAATTTATAAAATGGTAAATACAGAACTAAGGTCAGCAGAACAAAAGAATGTAGCTTAGGACAAAAGTAAATTGTTGGGTCTCAATTAAGAAAGTTCTACCAGCCAGAATAATTGGTTCTAACAATAAAAGACAAAATAACTTAGAAAAAGCTGAATAGCAGGGAAAATTCATGCAAGAACTTATAATTATTCCAGTTCATAACCAGAATAATGGGTAATTATGAGAACTTCTCAGTTCCTTTGCTCTTTCCTTACTTGTTACTATTTATACTAAACAAAAAGCACAACTATTTGACTCATATTAATATATTTAGCTCTATAAAAAGGTGTATCACTATTCATTGAGGAAATGCAAATAAATCAAAATCATGAGATGCCACTTCACACCCAATAGGATGGCTAGTATAAAACAAAAAACTCAGAAAGTTACAAACATTGGCTATCTGTAGTGCAGCTGTCATGAAAACAGTATGGCAGTTTTTCAAAAAAACTAATAATAGAATTACCATTCCAGCAATTCTACTTCTGGGTATATACCCAAAAGAACTAAAAGCAGGGGCTTGAATTTGTATACCAATATTCCTAGCGTCACTATTCACAATAGCTAAAAGCTGGAAACAACCCTGTGTCCATCGGCAGATGAATGGATAAACAAAGCATGGTACATGTATACTGTGGAATATTACTCAGTGTTAAAAGGGCAGGAAATTCTAACATATCACAGAACACGGATGAACCTTGATGACAGTATGCTAAGTGAAATGAGCTGGTCACAAAATGAAAAATACTGCTTGATTCCAGCAACTAAGATACCCAAAAGAGTCAAGTCACAGAAACAGAAAGTAGAATGGTGGTTACCAGAAACTTGTAATAGGGGGAAAATGGGGAGTTACTGTTTCACGGGTACAGAGTTTTACTTTGGGAAGATGCAAAAAGTTCTAGAGATGGATGTTGGTGACGGCTGTATAACAATGTGAATATACTGAATGCCAATGAACTATATACTTAAAAGAATAAAGTGATAAATTTTATGGTACATATATTTCATCACAATAAAAAATACCATAAAGAAAAAGGTATCTGGGCACGATGGCTCATGCATGTAAACCTAGTGCTTTGGAAGGCTAAGGTAAGGTGGGAGGATCACTTGAACCCAGAAGTTCAAGACCAGCCCAGGCAACACAGAAAGACCATGTTGCTACCAAAAAAAATTAGCCAGGTCTGGTAGTTCATGCCTGTAGTCCTACTCAGAGGCTGAGGCCAGAGAACAGGAGGGTGGCTCAAACCCAGGAATTTGAGGCTGCAGTGAGTTATGATTGCATCACTGCACTCCAGCCTGGACAACAGAGTGAGACCCTGTCTTAATAAAAAAAAAAGAGAGAGAGAGAAAGAAAAAAAGAAAATGATATGTATTATGGTGGAGGGAACAAAAATGTATGGGCTAAAAGAAATATAGAAATATACAATATCCATATTATGCCACTTTCCCAATAACACTGACATTTTAATTTAAAAAATTTGTGTTATCAGATGAACTAGATCTCACTAAGAGAAGTCCATAGTTTTCTATTCAAGTAATAAAACTTTACTGGGGTCATACATATTTAACTGATCAGAAGCAATAATTTACCATGAAATTTCCTCTGCAGTTCCTGTTGCATTTGTTGGGTATTTCCGTTTTCAGGACGCATGAATCCTATCAACCTTTGCTGTACTTTGGCAGTAGTACTGAAATAGATACAGGAAAATGTGTTTTTAACAGATTTATTGAGATATAACATATATACCATACAATTCAACCATTTAAAGTGTGTAGGCTAGATGTGGTGGCTCATGCTTATAATCCCAGCACTATGGGAGGCTGAGGCAGAGGGATTGCTTGAGGCCAGGAGTTTGAGACCAGCCTGGGCAAGACACAGAGACCTCATTCTACCAAAAAAAAGAAAACTTAAAAAATTAGCTGAGTGTGATGGCAAGTGCCTATAATCCTACCTACCCAGGAAGCTGAGGTAGGAAAATCACCTGTGCCCAGGAATTCAAGGCTGCATTAATCTATGATTGGGCTACTATACTCTACCCTGGGTGACAGAACAAGACCTTGTCTCTTAAAAAAAAAGGGTACAAATCAATTTTTAAAAATATATTGACAACCACAAGTGCTGGTTGTCATGAAAAAGGAATAACCGGCAAAGAAAGAGTTCTTGAAATTAAAAACATGAGGTCCAGAAAAAATTTATCAGAGAGATATTTTCCTGATCTGTATTACAAAAAGAGCGAAAAAGCAAAGAAAATAAAAAGAGCGAGAGAGAGAGAAAGGAAGAAAAATTATGGAAGAGAAAAATCTGAGGCTAGAACCAGAGGGAGTTAATATGATTTCTCAAAGAGAATGTGACAGAAGTAATGCAGACAGAGTATCACTGATCTGAAAATCCAAATGTGAAATGCTCCAAAATCTGAAACTTTTTTGAGTACCGACATGATGCTCAAAGGAAATACTGACTGGAGCATTTTCAATTTCAGATTTTCAGATTAAGGATGCTCAACCTGAGTGTAACACAAATATTCTAAAATTTTAAAAAATCTGAAATCCACAACGCTTCTGGTCCCAAGCAATTCGGATAAAGGACACTCAATCTGTACTGTAAGAAACAATAGAAAAAAATTTTATCAAAGCTAAATCTGTAGGTCTAAAGGCTCACCGAGAACTTGAAAGAAGACACACCTAAAGTCATCATACTGTAATTTCTGAATTTCAGTAACAAGAAGAAAAGCACAAAAAAATTCAAAGCAAACACAAGTTATTTACAGAGGAAAGAGAATCAAATAGGTAATGTACTTTTCATAAGTAACATTAAGCTTTGGGAGGAACATGAAACAAAATGTGAAGATCTGAGAGAAATGGTCTATGACTTTAAAATCCCATACTCATTATGCAATGGAAGAAAATAAAGTATTAATGTATATTATAACATAAACCTCAAACATGAGCCTCAAAACATGCTAAGTGAAGGAAGCCAGATTCAGGACCACATGCTGGATGATTCCATTTATGTGAAATGTCAAGAATAAGCAAATCTATAGTGATACAGTGAATTAATAATTATCTGGGGTTAGGGAGTGGGAATGGGATTGACTGCAAATGAACATGAGGTATGCTTTCCAGGAGATAGGAATGTCCTAAAATTGGATCATGGTGATGGCTGCACAATTCTATAAATTTACTAAAAGTCATTGAACTGGACATTTAAAATAAATTAATTTTATGGTATGCAAACTAGATTTCAAGAAGCTGTTAAAAAATTTCCATACTTAATGAAACTAATGTTGCAGGCATCCAAGGGTTGGTCAAAGTCAGAACATATTTTAGTATGATTCTATTATTAAAGGTAAGGGAAAAATTACATGATTATCTCTGTAAATTTCAGAAAAGATATTTGACAAACTCTAACATACATTTATGTTAAAAATACACAATAAAATAAAAATAAATGGATACTTTCTTGACATGATAAATTGTATCTATCTTGACATCTTCCTGAATGAGGAAACACTACAAACTTTCCCATTAAAGTCAGGAATAAGACAAGATGCCTGGTATATCTCCACTACTATTTAATCCTGTTAGAGATATTAGCCTGCGCAGACAGGAGAAAGCAACTAGAATTGGAAAGGAAAAGGTAAAACTATCTCTATATGCGGATGATAAAACTGCATTTGAAAATCCAAAAAACTTCAATGGGAAAAAACCTACTAAAAACAGTAAAGAGAAATTAGTAAAGTAGCAGGTTAAAAATTAACAATAATTGCAGATGTAATTGTAAAACTCAGTGAACTGCTTAGGAAATAGTAATAGAAGAGCGTAACGTTAGAAAAGGAAAAAAAGAATACTAAACTATCTCACAAGTAAAATTCCAAGTAATTCTGAGAGAGAAAGATGGTGGTAGAGGGAAGGGAAAAAAGAAGTAGGCTAAGAGACTTTGTTTAATTATTAATGCTGACTGAGATGTATGTTTATCAGAACTTAAAACTAACTACTAGAGGGAGAAAAAACATGTGTGGAACTTCTTAACTGGTGTTTAAGGTGGGGAGAGGCCTGATCAATCCAATACAATAAGGAAATAGGAAAGGGGAGAAAAATAAACAAAAAACACAACAAAAAGTACAAATTCATAACAGTGAGAAAAAGATCAACACTGAACTAATCCCCAGAAAATGAGAAAGGGTTAAATTCTCCTAATTGAAAGACAAAGACTCCAGGCAGTGCAGTGGCTAATGCCTGCCCAGGAGTTTGAGGTTGCAGTGAGCTATGATGACGCCACTGCACTCTAGCCGGCAACAGAGAGGGAAAAAAACCATATTGTTATGTTGTTTAAGGTATACTTAAAGTGTTGCAAAAACTAAAAATAAAAAAAATTTGTATAGCCTTCTCAGGAGACAACTAAATACTACATATTAACATTTTAAAAAGCCCTCAGGCCCAATAATTCTCCTAAAGAAATTCAACTGAAGATTACTGAATAAGAAAGAAGAGTAATCACTATGCTCTGTTTATAACATCAAGAAATAGAAACAACCTAATTATTAATAAGAAATTATCAACTGCTTGCATATAAATAATAGAATAGCATATAACCATTACAAAAGTAAAATATTTTTTCCACTGATTTGAAACATTTGAAATGATATACTTAGTATTAACAATGTTACATAAAAGTGCCTACATAAGACTTTATTTTTGCTTTTAAAGAAATGTATATTTATATATGTTTTAAGAACATCACATTGTCATAGCTCATTAACAATTGTGGAAACTGATGTGACTCTTCAGATGTGATATTATTCTCTCCTACCCCCCAAAAAGTCCGTATCATTTTATTAATAAAAAAATGTCCATTCTAAACATATACCCACACAAAAAAATTACATAGGAATGCTCATACCAGCATCATTCATAATAGCCAAAAGCTGAAATAAGCCAAATGTCTATCTCTCCCAATAAGATAAATGTCTATCTCTCACCTGAGGAACTGGGAAATAAAATGAAGTACTGATACATGCTACAACAGTCACACCTTTAACATATTATGCTTCGGCAAAGACGCAGACACAAAAGGTCATATATTAAACATTTATCTAAATAAATATTTATATAAATAAATATCTAGCATAACCAGATCCACTGGGATAGAAAGTATATTAGTGATTTCTAGGGACTAGGAAAGAGGAAATGAGGAGAGGCTGTTAATGGGCATAGGGTTTCTTTTTAGTGTGATGAAAACATTCTAGAATTAGGTAGAGGAGATGGTTGCATGACTTTGTGAATATACTAAAAACCACTGAACTATATACTTTAAAAGGATGAATTTTATGGTATGTAAATTATATCTCAACAAAAAATACAACAAAAAGGAAAAAAATGAATAAGTAAACCCTATTTATTCTTACTTTGGATTTCCTAGTGGTCCTCCTGCAAATTGGGAATTTCTGTCTAGAAATTCCTGCAAACCTTTTAGTTCCTGTAGCACTGACTCTAGCAGTTGGCAGGGAACACTGCTTTCAATCTGCACAAATACAAAAATGTTTTAAAGTTTAAAACCACATACTCTATAAAGCTATAATTGAATACGAACAATTTTAATTTTAAGGTGCCTATCTTTATAAACAATAGTTAATACCTACATTCCTCTCTTTCTATTCTAATAAGATTAATAATTTACATATAGGAAAATACAAACATTTTGATTACTTCTTACATTTTTATAAGGGTCACCACCCAGATTAAAATGTAGACTATTTTCATCTCCCAAGAAAGTTCCTAATGTTCCTTGCCAGTCATTAGTCATCTAACCTCTGAGGTTACCACTTTTCTTACTTTGATCACCACAGATTAGTTTTACATGTTCTTACAGTTCATATAAAAAGAATCGTATACTATGTTAGGCAAATACATTCTTATTCTTATAAATGTCAACTGTAAAAGGGTATCATAGTCAAAAATATCTGGTATCTTTTCTTTCTATCTATCTATCTATCTATCTATCTATCTATCTATCTGTCTGTCTGTCTGTCTGTCTGTCTGTCTGTCTGTCTGTCTGTCTTTCTGTCTGTCTATCTATATATCTACAGAGTCTTATCTAGCTATCTATCTATTGATCGATCAACAGAGTCTCACTCTGTTGCCCAGGCTAGAGTGCTGTGGTGTCAGCCTAGTTCACAGCAACCTCAAACTCCTGGGCTCAAGCAATCCTACTGCCTGAGCCTCCCTGGTAGCTGGGACTACAGGCATGCACCACCATGCCCGGCTAATTTTATATATATATATACATACATACATATATATATAGTTAGTTAGTTGTTCAGCTAATTTCTTTCTATTTTTTTTTTAGTAGAGACAAGGTCTCGCTCTTGCTCAGGCTGGTCTTGAACTCCTGACCTTGAGCAATGCGCCCACCTCGGCCTCCCAAAGTGCTAAGATCACAGGAGTAAGCCACCACGCCCAGCCACTTTTCATTTTAAAAATAAAACAAACTTAAAATAGATTACATTCATATTCCATATTTTTAAAAAAATCTCACTATCTGAATTTGTGATAATATAAATTTCTATAAGATGCTTTCTTAAAGCAGTCTGCAAAGTATACCAATTTATTTAAATTAGTACTAGGTCCATGGTATTTTTGCATATATAAGTCAAAGTATTAAATAGCAAATTTTGAGCAATATTAAATATTAGCACTATTTATCCCTCAAAGCAACCTTATGAAGGAGATATATTATTCTCATTTTACAGTGAGGTATTAGGCTCTGAAATGTTAAGAAATTGACTCATGTTCAGATAGTTAATAAATAATAGACCTGAGATTTAACCCAGAGGGCAGACAGTTTATTGGACGAGAACATAAATTTGTACATAAAAGAATAATCATTGCCATCTTGCTCGTGTAACATCAAAAAATGTTACAAGAAACAATCTATCAATTAATACCATCAGGCGGTCACATACAAATAAAAGAGTGGTAGCAAACACACTTACTGCAGTGATCTCTCTGTTGCCACTCTTGAACACTCTCTCCACAACTAAGCTAGCATCCCAAATGTTTCTGAAACAAAAATATGTTTTAATGATTGTGCAGTAAATAAAAGCATTACATTATGTAATAAATTCATGTCTGTAGGAACTTAATGGCTTTATTAGGTTTTTTAAAACTTAGCACTGGTTTCATTAACATTTTACTAAGTGGAAGAATGGAAACGGGAAAATTTCATATCTGATTGACCTAAGTTACTTCAGATAACAAAATACTGCTGAAGAAAAATCAAAAGGCTTTGGGTAATAAATTATAAACAGGGATCTTATAATGAAAAATATAAATTTATAAAGTGGTTTGCCACTGTTTCACATTTTAAGCAAATGATAGGAAATCATACATCTCAAATCTAAGGAAAATATATACTAGACATGATAGCTAATTAGATGATATGGCAGACTGATTGCACAAATGACCGAAATTTTTTCTCTCTCCCTATAGCTATCTCTTTTGCAATGTGGCTTTAATGCCTCTCCCAAAAAAGGTGGGTTGGCCTTAAAAGACTTCCTTCTGGCCAAGTGAATGAGGCAGAAAAGAGAACAGTAGGCCACTTCTGAGCCCAGGCATAAAGAGGTTTTGCACATTTCTACTCTTTCTCAAGGAACCCTCTCACCACCAAGTTAATAATGGCTGGCCTGCTGGAGGATGAGAGATCACATGGAGAACAACCTAGCTGTCTCAGCTGAGGCCACTCTAGATCAGCTAATGAATATGACCTTAAACATGTGAGACTCTAGCCAAGACAAGCAGACTTCACAGTTGACTGCAAATGCATGAGTGAGCCCAGCAAGACCAAAACTGCCCATTTGACCTATAGACACATCACTGAGTTATGGGGAGGTTTGAAATGCTATAGTATTAATATCTATATAGATATACAGTTGATCTTTGAACAACACAGGTTTGAACTGCAAAGGTCCATTTCTATGCAAATTTTCTTTCACATCTGCCACCCAGATGCAGCAAGACCAACCCTTCCTCTTCCTTCTCCCCCTCAGCCTATTCATGATGACGTGGGTGAAGAGTTTTATGATGATCTACTTCCAATTAATAAATAAATTGTTTTTTCTTTATGATTTTCTTAATAACATTTCATTTTCTATAGCTTACTTTAATAATACGGAATATATATATAAAATACGTGGTTTCAAAGTTTGGCTCTGTTACCCAGTCTGGACTACAGTGGCACAATCATAGCTCACTGTAGTCTCAAACTCCTGGGCTCAAGTGATCCTCCCACCTCAGCTTCCTGTGTAGCTGGGACTCAGGCATGTGCCACCATGTGTGGTTAATTTCAATTTTTGGTAGAGACAGGATCTCACTCTGTTGCTCAGGCTGGTGTCAAACTCCTGGCCTCAAGCAACCCCTCCCACCTCAGCCTCCCAAAGTACTGGGATTACAGGCGTCAGCCACCATGCACAGTCCAAAATATGTGTTAATTGACTCTTTTTTTTTTTTTGAGACAGAGTCTCACTTTGTTGCCCAGGCTAGAGTGAGCGCCATGGCGTCAGCCTAGCTCATAGCAACCTCAGACTCCTGGGCTAAAGCAATCCTCAGCCTCCAAAGTAGCTGGGACTATAGGCATGCACCACCATGCCCCACTAATTTTTTCTACATATTATTAGTTGGCCAATTAATTTCTTTCTACTTTTAGTAGAGACAGGGTCTCGCTCTTGCTCAGTCTGGTTTTGAACTCCTGACCTTGAGCAATCCGTCCGCCTTGGCCTCCCAGAGTGCTAGGATTACAGGCATGAGCCACTGCGCCCGGCCTGTTAATTGACTCTTTTTGTTATTGGTAAGTCTTCTAGATAGGAGGCTATTAGTAGTTAAGGTTTGGTGGAGACAAAAGTTATATGTGCATTTTTGACTATGCAGGGAGTCAGTGTCCCTAACCCCTGTTTTATTCAAGGATCAACTGTATTTTCATGCTACCATGCACATACAGAGAGAGAGAAGGTGGGGAGAGAAATAAAACACAGTAATGAATATAGTTAGAAAAAAAAAGGCTGAATTATAGAAAATCTTATCAGTGGACAAGTTGCTAAACTACAAGCATAATAAAATTTAATAAATGATGTCCCAAATTTAGAGTTAAAAACGTTTACTCAAAATATGACAAGGAGAGCAATAGTTAATTGCTCACCATAAAGTCCATAAAAAACTTACCCCATGATTCGAGAAAAGTAAATGCAAATACCATTGTGTTTCCCAGAGTACACAATCTCTGGTCCAGTCACACAACTCATACTTGTGGCCTGAGTTGCTGGGTTTCCCATAGCACACACTGGAGTTGACATGGCAGGGGGCTGTATACCTTGTACACACAAAAGAAAAACGAGTCTTTTAAAAATATAACCTTAAAAATTCAGAATTCTCAATAACCTAAGTTTGTTGTATCTGGATACAAAGGTAGAAATAGTTACAAAAATAATGGAATAGATATTTAATTTGGTTGTCCTTAATAAGAAGACAGACTTAAACTTGGATGGTGGTCCTAGGTAGACTTTCAAATACTGACAATGCAGAATAAAAAGGAAAGAAAACATGTAATCACTGTTCCTAATGCTGAGAGAGAAATAGAACTAATTATACAGATTTCAGGCCTGAATTAAATCCTGGTACCCAAATAAGGAACTTTCCAGGCACACTATTAGAGGGGCTCTTAAAGGCATTCATGGCCAAATACTAATATTTGCTTGGATGTCACTTATATTAAATGACACTTATTTTCAAGGGAATAAGGCAAATTAATCTTTACACTAAGCATTAAGGATAACTCATAATGTTAACTCTTCAAAAAGAACATTAGTAGCATATCCAAAACAGAGAAAAATATATACCTTGAGTTGGTGTTCCCAAAAAAGATGGATTTGGATAAGGACTACCACTAGGAACAGGAGAACCTAAAAAAGGAAAGACGAATATAAAGATTTATAAAATAATCTCCCCATCTTTTCAATCTGATCAAATTAGGCACATACAGAAGCCATTTCTAAGTATAAGAAGGACTGGTATTCAGGAATAACAAGATCCCAAAGAAAAAAAAAAAAAAGAAGGACTGGCAACACCCATGATATATTCAAGAATTAGGGACTTATCTCATTTCCCAGTAACTTTCTAATAGTCTCCACTTTGAAAAACACTACTGTGAGGGTTTCTTGTTATTAAATCACTCATCTTTTACCCTTTGAATAAATACCAAAAGAGTTCTATAAATAATATCAGATATATTTTATTTTGCTCCCCCGTACACATTAAGGATTCAATATTAATATATCATCACTTTTAAGAGCCAGAATCTGTAGACTTATTTGCCAATAATACAGTAGCAATAAATAAAACATAATGATTTATTAAAATATGCTAGAACGTTTCTAAAATTCAAATTATTATGAACAATTTCATATCGATGTTTCATACTCACTAGAATAGACAGGAGACCCCAAGATGGGACCAACATTACTCGGAGGGGGCAGAGTAGTTGGAAATCTCATCTGCGCTTCACCACCATACCTATTTTTATGACAATAGAGGCTGAGTTTATTCAGTAAAACCATCCATCTTTAAAGCTGGATTTGTTCCTAGTCTTTAGCTTCCAAATAAATGCTTTAAGCATTGGATACTTTCTTGTGCTGACAGTGAAATATATGCATAGGGTACATAATAAATACTTATTCAGTAAATGTTGAATTGAAACTGCTACCAGGGAGAAGTATTAGGTTATTAAGTATGAAATGTCCAATTTCCTTAAGTACTAAATTTAATAGTTGATATCTTTGACATTTTACTTTGACACTTCTTGTTTTGTTTTTATTGTGAAGGTGTATCTTCTAGTTTTACAAACACATGTTTTGGCTTGTGATTATCTTTCACAGTTTTTTTTTTATAGAGCAATTTTTGTGAAACCACGAAATCAAAAATTAGTGTTATTTTCGAATATGAGTTCCTTTGTGGAACCAATGCAGTGCCAGCAGCACAAAATATCAACGAAGTATTTGAAAAGAATGTGGCTAATGAACGCACAATATGTTGATAGTTTGAGAAGTTCTGTTCTGATAATTTTAAACTTGAAAATGAGCCATGTGGGAGACCTGAGACCAAGGTGAATAATGAATGCTGAAAGCTGTAGAGGAAACAAAGCTGTAGAGGAAGCAAATCCTATGCATGAATTAGCAACAAGGTTTGATTTTATTATTCCAACAATATTGGACCATTTGAAACAAATTGACAAGGTAAAGAAGCTGGATAGATGGGTTCTCTGCATGTATTCAACGAACATCAGAAGAAAAATAATCTCGAAGCTTGCCTTTCTTTGCTGTCACGACATAAAGGCAAATCATTTCTATACCATATTATTACATGTGATGAAAAATGGATTCTTTCTGATAATTGCAAGTGTTTGACATAATAGCTGGATAAAGATGAAGTGCCAAAACAGAGTTCAAAACCGAATATTCATTAAAAAAAAAGCGCTAATGTGTCTGTTTGGTGGTCCAGTGCTGGAATTATCCACTACAGCTAGTCAATTAATTATAACAGATGTCTATTGTAACCAACTGGACAAAATGATGAGAATGCTTGCAATTAAGCAGCCAACACTGGAACAGAGACAGGCCAATCCTCTTGCAAGACAACACTCGACCACATGTCACACAAACAACGCTGCTCAAACTATAGAAGTTGGACTTGAAAACTCTCTGTCATCCACTGTATTCACCTCGTCCCAACTGACTATTGCTTCTTCCAGGCTTTGGACCACTTCTTGGGAAGGAAAAATATTCAGTTCTCTAAGCTGTGGAGAATGCCTTTCATGATTTCATCTCCACTTGTTCTCCAGGGTTCTTCACTGCTGGCACAAATGAGTTACCATTAAGATGGCAAAACTGTGTAGATAGTTTAGGTGTATAATTTGATTAATTGTATTATTTCCTGTTTCAGATATAATAAACTACACTTTTGATTCGAAATTGGACATTTCATATTTAATGACCTAATATAAGGGACTCTGATAACTTCTTAGAAACAATGTGCAATGCATAGTTTACTTAATGAGTAACTGCCATGAAAAATTTCACACTAGATTATGGTTAGACAATGCTTTAAAAACCTTTTTTAAACAAATCACATTATAACTTCTTAGCTAATATTTTCCAAATAAAAATATCTCTTTGATACCAAGTTTCCTTAAAGTGATTAAGAATCCCTCAATACCAATGATACATATAAAGCAGAACTGGCATAGTGTCTGAGGAAGGAAGAAAGATAGATGAGATTGTAACTGAGGTAGAAAGAAGACTAGACAAGAAGTTGGAGAACAGAATCCAGAGATAGATGCTTCCATCAGCATCGTAATTTCATCCTTTTGCAAATATATTTTAGTACTTTGTCTACATAGTCACTCAACTGTTTAGCAAAGCCATTAACTATCCCGCTGGTATTGAAACCATTTAAAAAGTGGCCCAGCACCAAAAAAACCCCTGACATATACCTGAAGAAAGCCCGAGTTGCCCAAGCAGATACTTCTCTATCACAGGCACCAGTGGAGCAAGCAAGAATAAGGCAAGTTGCACAAGCTTGGTCTTCCTGTAAAAAGAATATCTTCCCTGTATTAAAAATAAACATTTTTTTTTTTTTGGAGACAGAATCTCAGTCTGCTGCCCAGGCTAGCGTGCTGTGGTGTCAGCTTAGCTCACAGCAACCTCAAACTCCTGGGCTCAAGCAATCCTTCTGCCTCAGCCTCCTGAGTAGCTGGGACTACAGGCACATGCCACCATGCCTGGCTAATTTTTTTCTATATATTTTAAGTTGTCCAGCTAATTACTTTCTATTTTTAGTAGAGATGGGCTCTCACTCTTGCTCAGGCTGGTCTTAAACTCCTGAACTCAAACGATCCACCTGCCTCGGCCTCCCAGAGTGCTAGGATTACAGGTATGAGCCACCACGCCCAGTAAAAAATAAACATTTTAAAAGGAGTTTTATTTCCTGCTCTGTCCAGTGTTTATATCTGTACCTAGGGCAGAGCAGACGCTCAATTAATATTTGCTGACTGAAGGAAGTTAGCTGGTATTAAAAAGAGAAGTGAATACTAATGGTTTTAAAGTTTATCAGAAGCACTAGTATTAAAGAATTCTCTTTTTCTTTTTATCTAGATTGTGATTTAGTTCCTGGTTATTTTCTTCTTGTAGCTTTTCTACCTTTTAGAAAATAAGAGTAAATGCTAACATACACTGAGTACCTATCGTGTGTCACACACTAATTTAAGAGTTTAGCACATATTAATCTTCCCATCACATGCTATTGTTATATGTAATGCATATTACATGGAAGAAAACTGAAGCCCAGAGAATTCAAGTAATTTACCTGAGTGTTGGAGCTGGGATTTATAACATAGAGTGTTTGAATCCAGAGTTTGTACACTTAACTTTGATGTGATATTTTAAACTAACCACTCCCAGTTTTATCTTATCAATTCTAGTCATGGCTTCAGACTGCTAAGGTCTCCACACTACTGCTTCAAGTTTCCTCCTCAGGTCATTAAGCCAAAACAAAGAACTGAACAAAAAAGGGACTTATCCATAAATGTCTTATGCTTTTAATAAAGATGTATTTATCACATAACTTGAACATCAAACTCTTACTAGTAGACTTTAATGATAAAAAATTATCAACAACAGAGAATAAAAACCTGGGAGTTTACTGTAAGACTTATATTAATCCTGCTTTCAAATGTTGGTATACATTTGACTTAGGCAGAGAAAGGAATATTGTTAAGATTATCTGTTTATTGCAGTATTTTAGTCCCAATTTATGTAAAATTTAACTATCATTCCCACTATTTTCATGGTATAAAATATCATCACATTTTTAAAAAAGTATAAGTAATTACCTGATGTAATTTAAAGAATCTTTCAATTTCTTCTCCATCTCCACCAACATTACTCACAAGGAGATGCCTCAGTTGATCTACAGGTCTGAGTTTATGAAACATAAGACTCCCCTAAGAAATTTTTTTAAAAAAGAAAAATAATATGAATAATAAATTTACCAAGATTGGCTGGTGGCAACTGACCCTGCTACCTTCTTTAATAAAATAAATGAAACAAACAAAAAAATAACTTCAAGAATACAAAGTAAACTGGTCAAAAATATCACTGTATTTTAACTCCCAACATATACCAAAATTATAGATACATAGAGAAAATTTAATAAGAAAACACTACCTCCCTCAAAGCTGCCCCTCAAACCAGAAAATTAAAGTTAGATTATTAATCAAGTTGCCACTATGCATATCCATTTAAAAGAAAATGAAGCTGGAGCCATACTCATATCTTGTGTCAGGATAAATTTCAAACAGATCAAAAGATTTAAAGGAAAAAATAAAACTATAATAATACTAGAAGAAAATGAGAAGAAACTATAGGTGAATTATTTTATAAAACTTAGAGTCAGGAAGCTTCTTAACTCTGACATAAATCCCAAAGGACAATTGGTAATTTTGACTACTTATAAACTTGTCTGTATGGGAAAAATCTCAATAAATAAGACCAAATGACAAACCAGGAAAAATACTTGAGGCTAAAAATAAAAAAAAAATGTTTGTTTCCCTGATACATAAATCCTAATAAATATTGATTTTATAAATAAAAAAAGACAACTCAATAGAAAAGTAAGTACAGAATAAGAAAAGATAGTTCACAGAATTATAAATACTTGAAAAGATAGTCAATCTCTTCATATTGTACTGAGAGAGGCTTTCACAAATATCCATAAACATTGCTAGTGAAAGCACATACACTCTGAGCAGATATGATACCATGGCTTTACTCATACACACATGAAATGATATATGCACAAGGCTGGATTTTTTTTTTTTTGAGAGACTGGGTCTTGCTCTGTCACTTAGGCTGAAGTGCAGTGGCCCAATCATAGCTCACTGCAACCTCTAACTTTTGGGCTTAAGCAATTCTCCCCCCTCAGCCTCCCAAAGTGCTGGAATTACAGATGTGTACCATCAGGCCAGCTAAATTCTTAAAAAAATTTTTTTTGTAGAGACATGGTCATGCTATGCTGCCCAGACTGGTCTCAAACTCCTGGGCTCAAGCAATCCTCCTACATTGGCCTCTCTAAGTTCTGGGATTATAGCCACTGTGTCCAGCCAACAAGACTGTATTTTTTAATAGAAAAAGAAATCCATTAATAGGGGCCTAGTTAATTATGGTACATTCACACAAAGGAATACCTTCAAAATTTAAAATAGAATGAGAAAGTACTTCATATATGAATATGGAAAAGTCTCCAAAATATATTTTTGAAATATGAAAAGCAAAGTATAGAATAGTATATATGTTACCATTTGTTTAAAAATATATTTGTTTTGTTTGTATAATCATATCTCTGGAAGGATACACAGATACTGATAACACAGGTGCCATGGGTGCCTGGAGGAAAATGACCTGGATTGAATGGGAGATTTTATTATATATACTTCCTCTGTTTCACCATTTGAATTTTGTCAATGCATTATTATATAAAAATTAAAATAATAAGGAGATGTTTTTGAGTGAGAACTTACAAGAAATATATTTGGTTGTTCTTAAAAATAAACTTAGCTTACATAAGTTACTATATACTACTATGGTCATATAATTATATTGTAATCATATAAGTTACTATATATTAAATACATAGTTTTAGTATATTTTATGTTGCTACCAGTGATAGAAATGCTACTTTAGAAAAGCATAACACTCACAAAAAGATGGTTCTTTTTGTATCATTTTTGGTATTTATGAAGTATTCCTTAAGAATTCCTAAGTGTTTAAGAAAATGATTTCATTAAGCAACTATTTCAGTGTACTTGACAAAAACATTAAGTATCCCTTCTCTTCTTTTTGTTTCTACCATAACAGAATGTGTACATACCTGTGCCGAGAGGAGAACAAATTTCTTTGGAGGTAACATGTGTTGTTGTACAACAACTGGTGAGTCAGTTATTGGAATATGATCCTTATTTAAGGGTGTAATTATTTTATCTACTTTCAATTCATCTATTGCAGAAAGAGCCCAAGAATGACCATCAACACGGGTTGTCATCTATGTAAAAGAATTAATTTTTTTAATTATCTTATTGAAGTTACATAAAGTAAAAGCTTCTAGAAGAAAAAATTACAGACTTGCTAAATAAATATAGATTTAATAAATAATACATTAACATTAATATTCCAAAAAGTATTTATTTAATTTTCTATTATCCTTTTCTTTTAATCAAGCATCTTCTATACTATTAACAATAAATAATCTTTTCATACTAGAGGACAAATGCAAACTTTTCTTAAGATAAATTGTAAACACTATCTATCAGAACTATAATTCTCTTAACCAAAGAATAAATATTCTACCATCTTTCCATGATAGATTAAGCTATGCTAGTAGGTTCAGTGCTTATATTTTACTGACATGTAGATGTTTCTTTTTTTTTGTTTTTGTTTTATTGAGACAAGAATCTTGCTCTGTCGCCTTGGCTAGAGTGCAGTGGCATCATCACAGCTCACGCTACCTCAAACTCCTGGTCTCAAGTGATTTTCCTGCCTCAGCCTCTCAAGGAGCTGAGACCACAGGTGTGTACCACTACACCAGCTAATTTTTCTATTTTTTGTAGAGATGGGGTCTAACTATGTTGCTCAACCTAATCTTGAACTCCTGGCCTCAAGCAATCCTCCTGCCTCAACCTCCCAGAATGCTGAGATTATAGGCATGAGCCACTACACCTGGCCACATATAGATTTTTGTTCTCCTCTGAAATTATATTTGCTTTCCACGCTAAGATACTTTCTTTTAAAAAGTGCTTAAATACTCTATAATAAAAAATTTTATACTTTATAATAAAAAATTTCACGGATCAAAAAATTCAAAAAATATAGTCATGTTCATATGTCTAATACCTATCTGAAAATTGTTAGTATTTTGCCATCTTTGCTTTCTTTCTCTCTTCCTATATATTTTTGTTTTATTATACCATTTAAAAGTAAGTGACATATATATCACCTCTAAATACTTTTGCACATATCTCCTAAAAATAATGATGATCTCATACATAACCATGATACCACTATAGTATTTAAGAATGTTAATAATTCCCTAATATAATCTAATGTACAGGCAATATAAAATTTCCCAATGTCATTTATAGCTATTTGTGGAAATCTAGATTTTAATCAAAGTTTATATATTTGATGTTTTTTTTAAAAAAATAGTCTATATTTATTTGAGAAGAAATCAGGTATTATACAAATGAAATGATGATGTATAACATTCACTCAAAAAAAAACTTAACATTTACTGAGTGTTTCCTATGTGCCACAGTGTTCTGAGTGCCTTATACACATGAACTTATTTAATTCCATACCTCCACAGATGTAGGTACTATTGTAACCCTTATACATGAGGAAATGGAGGGCCAAAAACATATTAAGTCCTCTTCTCCAAAGCTTTAGCAGGTAGAGCCAGGATTCAAACTTGTACCCCTCCAATACTGCATCCCAGTCAGGACAGAGTTTATATCTTACTAAGTTCTGAATCCTCACAGTTTAAAGCTAGGCTCATAGTATGTGCTCCGTAAAGTTCAAAGAACAAAGGAAAAGAACAAGAAAGGCACTCCTTACTTCCTTATCTACCTCCTGTCCCTACTCCAGCTCCTTGAACTGTGTCAGAAATTCACAGAGCTCATGGAAACCATATTCCTATCCCTGGAAGTTAGGTTTTTATTCCTCCTACTTACATCTTTTCCCACTCCCCATAACTGGAAGGGCTCAAGTCTGAGAATCACTAGAAAGTAGTTAACGACAGCTAGAACCAAAAAATGCCTGTGAAGAGATGACTCCAAACACACAGTATCAGACATTTTCACCTCAGTAGAGGTTGGTTTGTCTGGTTTGATCAGCAGCCTCTAGGGGCTCTGCAGGAATATCTCGGAGGACAAATAGGGGTGGACAGAGGACACCAAAGGGAAGAAGAGACATGGTCTCCCCTTAGCACCTCATGGGCCAGGGGCTAGGATGAGTGGACTGCAGGGGTGGAGGGGGAGCCCAGTGAGTGAGTTCATGGCAGCCTTGTCCCAGGAAGACTATATCGACTTCATAAAGTATGTGGTGGTCTTTGCTTCCAAAAGACAACTACATGTGAGTTTGTATATGTAGGGAAGAAAAATGAAATACAATGGGAAAAAAATGCTGGAAATTCTCTCATATGAGTTTCAATTTACCAAACTTGTGTGTATGCTTGGCAATTTTTATAATTAAAAAAAAAAAACACTTAAAAAATTTAGGCAAAATTACAAAAAGATTGTTAGAATAAAATTCTAAGTCAGAACTATAATGGACAGCCTCATTAGTTAAATAACTAAAAAAACCTGAATTTAAATGAGACAGTGATCATTTCAGAAAAGATACATGTATTTTCAGGTATGTTATGGAAAACATTCTAAAAGGGTTCCAGTGTTTTACTTAAGGATGTTTTTAGTGATTACCATAATAACTTCTAATGTGAAAGAGAAAAAAACAAAGAATTAACTGGACAAATTTCTTTTCAATAAGATTTCTAAAGATATAATATTATAGAAGCAATAGCAATAAGTCAGAAGATAAAGTTTCTTACCATAATATTCTTCATTCAAAATTATAAAAACATTTCTTTGGTAATTTTAGGATAAATTACCTGGGTTTCCATCATTGGTTTTTGGAAAGGAAAAGTATCATGGTTGACACACCATAAAATATCATTATCCTCATTTTCTGAGGCTGCCATCAGTAGAATACCTAAAAGTTTAATACATAAAATTTTATTACATGATGTCTAATAATACGCATCCCCAAATAACCTTAAAAATTACATCCCCAAATAACCTTAATAAAAATTATTAACATTAATTATTATTACACTAATACATGTATATATATAACATTAATCTTTATAAGCAAACAAGTTACAAAACAAAATAAAAATAAATTAACTGAAAGAACATATAATTATTGGCGGAGTCATTAAGTGCTCTTGATCTTATACTATATTTCTTTCACATCAACATTTATTTTTTTCACATTTTAGTATTTCTGAATTTAGGGTATATCTTACATTCAATGGCTTTATAAACTTAATTATTAACTTTAAAAAAACCTATTTAGTATATAAAAAAAATGCCATGACTTACAATCAATAGTAGCAAATATTCAATGAAATAGACTTTATGTAGTAATTTGTTCAAACACACCATGAATAAAAGGGATGACGGTGCTAGTGGAATAGCAGAAATAAATGTACTATAAAAACAATAACCTCAATATATCTAGCTGATATTACAGTTTGATTTTAAAATATATTCTCCTATGCTCAAATCCAGCTCCTCCTGCTAATTTGCTCCCTTTACACTGACTTCAGAGGTATCAGTTTTTATTTTTTTCTTTTTTCCTTTTTTTCTAACACCCATGGCTTTGGAGAGAGGTATCAGTTTTGAGTCCATTGGATGATTTTAGGTGAAGGGAATCACAATTAATTAATTAATTAAATATATAACTGGCTTGTAAAAAATTAGTTTATAGAGAAGCGGCAGAAGATGTTTCCTTAATTTTAGCACAAAAAAGTTTGAAAACTACAATTTAAGCTGGGTATGGTGGTGCATACCTGTAACCCCAGCTACTCAGGAGGCTGAGGTGGGAGGATCACCTGAGCCCAGGAGTTTTAGTCCAGCCTGGGCAACATAGCAAGACCCTACCTCTTGATATTAAAAACAAACAAAAAAACCAAAAATCTAACTATAATTTCATTGCACTGGTACATAATTAAAACCATAGTATCATTTCCTGAATACATTTTTAGCTTTGAAACTTAATTCTATTTGTAATAGCATCAAAAAAATTAAAATACTTAGGAAATAAATTTAACAAAAGAAGCGCATGACTTGTCTACTGTACACACATCATTAAAAAAAATTAAAGGTCTAAATAAATGGAAAGATATCCTATATTCACTAATTTGAAGACTTAATATAGCTAAGATGGCAACATTACCTAAATCGATTTACAGATTCAACTATCAAAATACCACCTGCCCTGTTTTGCAGAAATCGACAAGCTGATCCTAAAATTTATATGGAAATACAAGAGATTCAGAATAGTCAAAATCACTTTTTAAAAAAAGATCAAAGTTGGAAGAGTCACACTTACCAATTTCAAAACTTACTATAAAACAACAGTAATCAAGACTTTGTGTTACTGGCATAAGGACAGACAGACATAGAGACCAATGTAATGGAATCCAGAATCCAGAATCCATACATTTATGGGCAATTCATTTTAGTTAATATTGCCAAAACAATTCAAGGGGGAAGAATAGTCTCTTCCACAATTGGTGTTCAGACAACTGGATATCCACATGGAAAAAGAATGAAGTCAGATTTCTACCTCATACAATATACAAAAATTAACTCAAAACAGCAACTTACATGTTATGTTATAAGGGAGAAGAGGAGTAAATCTTTATGACCTTGGGTTAAAGAACAGCTTCTTAGACATGAACCCAAAACATAGCAACAAAAGAAAATAGACAAACTGGACTTCATCAAAATTTATAACTTTAGTGTTTCAAGGAACACCCTCAAAAAATAAAAAGACAACCCACAGAATTGCAGAAAATATTTGCAAATCTTATACCTGATAAGTTACTTGAGTCTAGAATACAAACAAACTCCTACAATTCAATAATAGAATGACCAATTTTTAAAAAGACAAAGGACACGAACAATTAGTTTTCCAAAGATGATGTACAAATGGCTAAAAATCACATGAAAAGATGCTCACTATCATTTCACCATTAAGTAAATGCAAATCAAAATCACATATCACTTCACACCCACTAGAATGGATGTAAAAAGACAGAAAACAAGTGCTGAGAAGCATGTGGCAAAACTAGAACCTTCACACAGTTAAGATGGTAAAATGGTCTAGTTGTTTTGGAAAATAGTCTGGCATTTCCTCAAAGGTAAAACATAAGAGTTATTACAAGTCTTAGCAATTCCAATCCTAGGTATGTATATATACCCCAAAGAAATGAAAACCTCTACCAACACAAACACTTGTACAAAAGAGCAGCATTATTTATAACAGCCAAAAAGCAGAAACAACTCACCAAATGATAAATGCCCACCAAATGATGAATGGATAAGTAAAATATGGTACCTTCACACAATGAAATGTTATTTAGCAATAAAAAGAAACAAAGTACTGATACGTGCTATACCATAGATGAATGAACTTTGAAAGCATTCATGAAGATTCAAATTGATTTAAAAAAGTAGATTTAGTGATTTCTCAGTGCTGGAGAAGGAGGGAAAGGGAATGAGGAGTGACTACTGATGGGTATGAGTTTTCTTTCTGGGGCGCACAAAATATTCTTGACTTAAGACAGTGGTGATGGTTGTACAATTCTGTGAATAAAGTTAAAACCAGTGAATTGTATACTTTAAAAGGCTAAACTTTATAGTATGTGAATTGTATCTCAATAAAGCTATTATTTGTTTATTTTGAAGTTTTTTTTAGACACAGGGTCTCATTCTGTATCCCAGGCTGGAGTGCAGTGGCCCAGTCATAGCTCACTACAGCCTCAAACTCCTGGGCTCAAGCAATCCTCCTACCTCAGCCTCTCTAGTAGCTAGGACTACAGGCATGTGCCACCACACCTGGCTAATTTTTAAAAATAGAGACAGAGTCTCACTATGTTGCCAAGGCTGGTCTCAAGCTCCTGGCCTCAAGCAATCCTCCTGCCTCAGCCTCCCGAGTAGCTGGGACTACAGGCATGTGCCACCATGCCCGGCTAGTTCTTTCTATTATTTATTTATTTTTGAAGTTTTTTTTAGACACAGGGTCTCATTCTGTATCCCAGGCTGGAGTGCAGTGGCCCAGTCATAGCTCACTACAGCCTCAAACTCCTGGGCTCAAGCAATCCTTCTGCCTCAGCCTCCCAAGTAGCTGGGACTAAAGTCACATGCCACCACACCCAGCAATTTTTAAAAATAGAGACAGAGTCTCACTATGTTGCCAAGGCTGGTCTCAAGCTCCTGGCCTCAAGTGATTCTCCCACGTCAGGCTTCCAAAGTGCTAGGATTACAGGCTGAGCCACCATGAACAGCCTTAAGTTGTTATTTAAAAAGACTATGAAAGTACATGATACTATGTATTTGAAAAAATTCTATTTTTAAAGGAAAGTTTCATTTGGGTATAGGAAAATGAAATGTTAGAAGGCATTAAAATGATTAGCAAATGGAAACAAATGTTACAGAAATGTTCTTTCATAATGTGAAAAAATACAAAGTTTTTTAGTTTCAATATTTACTTAGAATTTTATTTTTAAAACTTAATTATGAATCCTAAAGAGTTTGTCATTATGATTTTATATGGTTGCATGCAAAACTTTCCATATCCATAAAGACACTGTCATAGCAGACATGGTATCAGGAAAGTCATTTGAGCTTTCCTAGCTATTCTAAAAGAAGAGTTCAGAGTGTAGTACACTGGATATAACGCTGACTTTGACAAGTGAGTTAATATATAAAATTAATACCATGCTAAAATTAAAACGAAACTAAAAAATTACTATCATTTTTATATCCATAACTGAAAATGCTCAAAATATAATGTTAATTAAAAAAAGAGTACCTAGATAAAAACCAAAACACTTTAAACCTTATTGGATAATTTATTTACAGTATTTTCAAATGCCTCAAAATGTCTTATAATTTTAAGAACTTACCTTTACTATAAAGAGCTTTATGTACTTTGGAAGGCTTTTCCACTGTTGAAGATGCTGAGAAGCCAGGAGGTAAGCGGACATGAACTAGCGTCAGAGTATTAGGCCGTGCCAATGGCTGTCTGAATGGACAAGTACTGAAATATAGCCTAATACCTGATGATGGGATAAAATCATGCATCAATAACAGAAAATAAAGGAACTGAGGTACATGTTTTATTGAAGCAATTCCATCGAGAAACACATCTCTGTTAAAACCATACATCACTTTCCTGACTTATCTTAAATTACAATCTGGACTACTTGCTGAAATAGATGTCTAAGAAAATATCTCTCAGAATTGAGAGGTGAATCAATGCATTTCAGTAGAAAGAACTTGCAATGACAAGTCAAAGGGGCCTATGTCCTAATTCTGTCACCAAATGTGACCTACTTTACCTTTCAGATCTGGTGTTACATCTATAAAATGAGAAGACAGAATCAGAAGAATCTTCTAATTTATAAAATCTTTAATTTTATGAATTCTTAATATGGCTTGATAATTAATACAGAAGCAAAAACATATTTCTAATCATAAACTTCCAAATCTAAGGATTATCAAAAGTTGTAACAACTATAGCAGACATATAAATAACCTAACATACCTGTATGTGTGACAGCCAATAATTGACAGTCCAATGATTCAGAATTTTCAATCACTGCTATCTGAACAATTGGCTTAAAAACCGAACGATCAATGGTCCTGAAATAAAGCAGAAAAACTAAAGTGTATTTTAAAAATGTGTATACTAAATTATAATGAACATTTTCCATTAGCATTTTTACATGTCTAAATATGCTAAAATAATTTAAGACTAACATCTTAGGAAAGCAATATAACAGTAACAAGAATGGCAAAAACTCCGAAATGCAGACTGTTTATGTTAATATTGTTAAGAGTAACCCTATTTTGAAACAAAGATCATTTAAAAAGGCTAAAACCATTGGGTAAATGGCTGGTGGGGAACTAAGTGTTCTCAAAGCATAAAATTATCATTGGCAAGATTACTACTAATTAACAAGTGGGAAAAGGGGCCTTTTTAATGTAGACATTTGATGAACAATGGTTTAACCAAGTGTTCAACAGTGGGAAAACTGGTATTATGTGCCCCCTGATGTAATGCAGTAAGTAGTTCACATCACCTATGTAATACTGGCTAAAAAAAATTACAAAGAACCTAATTATAAAGAAAAAGATGAATTCAGAAGTTGAGGTACCATCAATAACTCTTACTCTTCTCTCTCAAATGTCAACATTATGAAAAAGAAAGGTAACAAAGGGGCTGTTGTATATTAAAGAGACTAATGACCAATGGAATTCATAAGCTCTGGCTATGACTGGAAAGAAATGGGAAGAAAAACATAAAAAGATTTCTGAGACCACTGGGCAATTTTAATATGGACTGTATAATTAGCAGATAATATTACAGAATTACTGTCAGTTTTCTTAGGTATGGTAATTGTACTGTGTTACGGAGAACACATGAGTGGAAGGCTGAAGAATATGAGGATGAAGATCATAATGGCTACAACTCACTATCAAATGGCTCATAAAAGAGTGAACAAATGAGGCAAAACGTTAACAATTGGTGAATAAAGATAAAGGGTATAAAATTTTTATCATATTGTTCTTTTAATTTTTCTGTGGATTTGAAAAAATCTCCAAAAGCAAGTTAAGGTATTAAAAAACAAGAAACTCTGTGTTTGGAATTATATGTCTTCAGAATTTTTTTTCACTGATGAGCAAAAATAAAATGCTGATTTTTCACTATGATATCTGATTATAGCAATTACCTAGACACATAGACAACAAAAACTGTGAAAATGTGATGCCTTTATTATGGGAATAGAATGTTTGCAGGTGACTAAAGCAGTTGGGATATAGGCAAATAGAGTACAGAATATCTGAAGACTTGATTTCTAGATTCGGTTCAAGCACTTATTTGGGATTAGACCTAAGTAAACATCCCTTAGATTCACTCTCCTCACGAATAAATTGAGGATACCACAACTGTGAAATTCTATATTCTGTATTTGTGTCAATAATCAGACCAACTAAACTTGAACCATGTAGGCCTACTAAAAGGATGAGTAGTTATAGGACGGGGAATTTTCAGACACATAGCTCCTGAGTCATGATACCTGTAATGCCTATAATAGATCACCTAAAATTTAACTTTAGGTTTCAAAGAAAAACACATCAAGCTGTACTTTACACAGTAAAACCAAAATGCCTTATGTTTTAAGCCATCAAACATAAGAATAAAATAAAATAGCTGGGGTGTGGTGGCACGTGTTTGTAATCCCAGCTACTTGGGAGGCTGAGGCAGGAGGATCACTTGAGCTCAGGAGTCTGAGACTAGCCAAGGAAACATAAGGACACCTTGTCTCAAAAAAAAGAGTCTCTTGGAGTCTCTAGCAGCTCTCTGCTTCAAACATAAACATAATTTAATTTTAATATACTATACAGAAATAGTATAAAAAAGCTTGCAAATGAAATGTCTAAAAATAAATTAATATTACCTAGCAATGTTACCAGCAGCAGAGACAATAGCATTCTGGGAAACTGAGGCAACTCTGCTCATTCCTTGTCCATCTTGACCCAAATCATAAACCTGTGAATAAAAAATCATTCTCACTTAAACACAATTACATATTGTATACATATTATTAAATAAACTTTTCCTCTTTAGGGATCCTTTAATTTTAGTACTTAATACTTGTTATCAAAACATTCAGAGATGAAATCTTATTTAAAAAAGATCACTCCCTAAGAAGTGGTCTGGAATGTTTTTTGGTTTTTTTTTTTAAAGCACACAGGTCATAGGAAAAGTTCAATATGACTGAATCTTATTCCTTAAAAACAGGAATTTTTGGCCGGCCGTGGTGGCTTACGCCTGTAATCCTAGCACTCTGGGAGGCCGAGGCGGGCAGATTGCTCAAGGTCAGGAGTTCGAAACCAGCCTGAGCAAGAGCGAGACCCCATCTCTACTATAAATAGAAAGAAATTAATTGGCCAACTAATACATATAGAAAAAATTAGCCGGGCATGGTGGCGCGTGCCTGTAGTCCTAGCTACTCAAGAGGCTGAGGCAGGATTGCTTGAGCCCAGGAGTTGAGGTTGCTGTGAGTTAGGCTGATACCACAGCACTCTAGCCTGGACAACAAAGCAAGACTCTGTCTTAAAAAAAAAAACAAAAAAACAGGAATTTTTTAACCCTTAAATGGTAGCATAATATTAATAGTTACCTGTATCACTCCTTTCTCAGATCGTGTATATAAAATATTTCTAGAATTATCAATTGCAATTTGCACAATAGGATCTAAAAGTAAGACCAAAAAAAATAAGGATTAACAAATTGAACACAGTAGCCAGTTAGAACAAATTAAAATTGCTGAATTAGAATTTTGCATTCAGGGGCTTCCTCTCTATCACTTTGTAGTTAAGTCCAAAGATACTTGCATAAGGGCCAGGCCAGAAACCATTTAGGTCAGACAAAACATGAACACAAAGATGTTAAATACTGTGACTGGGTTAAGAACATTGCAAATAAGTTATTCTGATCTCTAAATAAATTTTAAGCCAAACCAAAACCAAGCTCTACATTGTTTCTTTACTGAACCATATTTAGTATATATTAGAAACACAAAGAATAATTACACCTGGTCCTTCAAGAAACTTCCAATTTAGTTTATAATTTATTGTGTAAAAAGAAACAATTTAAAAATTCAGGGATACTAATATTTAGGTATACTTGTCTTATCCCATCAAAGCATTTTAGAATTATTTCACCTGTCTAAATCTCAGTTCATTAAAAATTCACATATATTCATTTTATACTGGGAATCTATTCTAGACCAGGCAAAACATGTATTAGATGTCCATATCTAAATGCTCGTCTCTAGGCTGGGCGTGGTGGTTCATGCCTGTAATCCCAGCTTTCTGGGAGGCCAAGGCGGGAAGATAGCTGCTGCTCAGGGGTTAAACACCAGCCTGAGCACAGTGAGACCGTCTCTTATCCCTAGAGACAAGAAACAAAAAAAAAGACAAAAAAGTAAAATAAAAAATACACAAAACCAATAAATGCTTGTCTCTCTCTCTCTCTCTCTCTCTCTCTCTCACACACACACACACACACACACACACACACACACACACACACATATCTTGGTTTAAGTATGTAGTAGAGCTGTTTTGGACACGTGTTCCAGAATGCTACATTTAAAGGAAATAAGTAACTCAAGAATATAAAACTCATACTTTCTCTATGATTTATAATCCCCTCACTTTTTAAGAAACCTTATAACAAATGCTATTTCTTACGACAAATTGTTTCAATTAAGAATGACGATTTCTGAAGAAAATGTTGAGGCAACGATGTGTTAAAAATTTGCCAAACTTATTGTTTTATACTTACCATCTTCAGAGAATGTGAATTGTAGCAAGGAAGGAACAAGGAAAGAAAGTGGGCTCTTTGAGTGGTTTATTTTCCTGCATCTTTGGCTAAACCAACCTGCTTCTGCCTTAAAGATAAAAATAAAAGAAGACTCGTAAAGGTATATAATTCCCTCACAATAACTACTGTATATCCATATTTATAAAAATCTTCAAAACTTCATGAAATCCAGTGATGATAAATAAAGCAAGACATACTATTCAAAATTAAATACAAGTTTGATCCATAACTAAAAATATCAACAAAATACTGACAAGGAAAGACTGTCAAGATATATTAAGTGAAAAGTCGATTGTGAAATAAAACATAATCAATAATCCAAGTAAAAATACACATTACCAAAAATACACTATGTATTTGCATCTGTATATACACTCAAATACATGTATAGATATTTATATATACATATCTTTTAATGTATATATCATGTTTTACAAAGACATACAAAGTTGATAATGGCCTTAAGGACAGAACTATGTTTTACAGGCATGGTGTCATCATAGAGGACTGTAGTATCAACTGTATGCTCAAATATTTTCCATAAAAATATATTAATGTCCTTGTATAATTAGAAAATAAAAACAAAAGCCTATCATTCCCTACTCGGTCAAGACAAGGAAAAAAATGTTAATAAATGTCAGATTCCCCAGCTGTTCAGGAGGCTGAGGCATGAAGACTGCTTGAGCCCAGGAACCTGAGGTTACAGTGAGCAATGATCATGCCATTGCACTCCAGCCTGGGTGACAAAGTGAGACTCTGTCCCCAAAATAAAAAATAAAGTAAAATAAAAAATGTCAGACTTACTTGGTATGCTACTTCATATAAACAGCCATCCTTTCCAGCCAAGAAAATTCTGCCATTATCAGTGGAAGTTATTGTTAAAAGGTAAGTATTATCAGTGGGAAGAGAATATAAAGGATCTGGAAGTAACTGCATTCCACCAGACATACTGTCATTAAGAATTCCAGAACCTATTTTTTTTTTTTAAAAAGAATACATAAATCAGTTTATTAGCTTTTTTTTTTTACAGTTTAAAACAATCTTTACATTATCTTCAGAAGTGATATTCTTACTGAATTCTTATTGATATAGTCAAAAGCTTCTATAACATATATTCTTAAATTACTATGTCTGATACAAATAATTTGATAATTCTGGTTAAATAAAACCTGCTATATATGTATATGTGTAAGTACATGTATGTATATGTATGTATATATATATATATATATATATAATAAACACACACACACACACATATATATGTAATGTAGTAAAATATCAAACAAAAAACTAACCCAAATTATAAAGTTTTGGAAAAGCACCTGAGGATTTGGTAGCCGTAATCATTAATCTGAATCACTGGAATTCAACATTTCACTCAAATTAGTTTTTAATTATAATATTAATTGGCCAAGATATTGTTATTTTAAAAAACATAACATTTTAAACCCCAAATACGATAGAAAAAAAAGAGCAAAAATTAAAATTTAAAACAAAATAAAGAAGAAAAAAAATAACATGTGGTTGCCATACCTGTTTGCAAATTAGCATAGCTGAGTCCAAGAATTACTATATCTACAGGTGTTGCCAAAACCAGGAGGTGTCGTACATGTGGTTGAAAGATGCCTAAGGTAAAGTAGACACAAGATAAGAATTATTTTCATAAAAAATATCTAGCACCTAAGCACTAACAAAACATGGTTACACCATTTAAATGAGCTACGGATTAAATAGTCTATGAAAATTCTGAATCCAGTTTTGTCAATTCCGATGTTAAAATATTGCTATGGCCGGGCGCTGTGGCTCACGCCTGTAATCCTAGCTCTTGGGAGGCCGAGGCGGGCGGATTGCTCAAGGTCAGGAGTTCAAAACCAGCCTGAGCAAGAGCGAGACCCCGTCTCTACTATAAACAGAAAGAAATTAATTGGCCAACTGATATATATATATAAAAATTAGCCGGGCATAGTGGCACATGCCTGTAGTCCCAGCTACTCGGGAGGCTGAGGCAGAAGGATCACTGGAGCCCAGGAGTTTGAGGTTGCTGTGAGCTAGGCTGACGCCACGGCACTCACTCTAGCCTGGACAACAAAGTGAGACTCTGTCTCAAAAAAAAAAAAAAAAAAAATATTGCTATGTATGATCATTTAAGTAAGTAAATGTTAGTAAGCCACCTTAGAAAACAATCATTTCAATATTTAATGCTTTTTAAAACAGTGTTATAGTTCCATCTTTACTCCCACTGCTTCATTTGACTAACCTTCAAAAATAAATAAATCAATAAAACAGTGTTATGTTACAAAATAGTTTAGGCTTCTTAAAATATAAAGACGTATTTGTATATCCATTTTCCTAGCATTCATCAACAAGTGTCCATTGAGAGATGGACAAAATGTGGCATATACACACATATTACTCAGCCTTAAAAAGGAAATTCTGATACATGCTACAACACAGATGGAACTTGAGAACATATGCTATATAAAATAACCTAGTCACAAAACAAGTATAGTACTGTATGATTCCATTTATAAGGAAACCTACAGTAGTCAAATTTATAGAGAAAAAGTAGAATGGCTGTTGCCAAGGGCTGAGGGAAGGGGGAACAGGAGTTATTGTTTAATGGGTACAGAGTTTCAGTTTTGTAAGACAAAAAAGAATTCTGAACATGGATGGTGACAATGGCTATAAAACAATGTGAATGTACTTAATACCACTGAACTGTATACTCAAAAATGATTAAGACAGCAAAGTTTGTGTCATGTGTATTTTACCACAATTAAAACATGTAGATTTCATTTTTGAAATGCAGTAAATCAAATTTAGATAATCTTAGGAAATAAAACTTAGACCTATAATATCTACTAGGGAAAATGGTAGTATATTCATAGGAGCCTAGAAGGATATTTATACATTTATGCACATCTTTTAGAGAAGAATGAATTCAGTTTCAGAGGAGACACTAAACAAAGCACAAAATTTATGTTAATTTATGCTAAGGTATTAATATGACACAAGATGTTATATGTAATTATCACTGTCATTGTGTTATGACATCCAAAAATAATGTCTCACTGATAGGAATAAAAAGAAATACATTTTACATTATGATTATGGGCATCTTTTTATATGTATACATGTCACCTATTTAAGGTTTTTATGTCACAGGAAATAAAACAATGCTATGTCATCATTTGGTGTTAATTTCATTGATGAACACACTAAGAAGCATAAAAGCTGCAGCTTTATGTATCAAGATTCAAGTCAACAAAGCTGAAGGCACTGGTGTAATGTTTCATTGGTTAATAAAACTTTGAAAGAAAATGTTTAGTACTTCTGTACAAAAGCACTTATAATGCTTTACTTATAATGCATCTATTTTTGCTGCTCTGATGAAGAAACTTAATAGAACCCTAATTCATTGTATTTTATAAACTTGTGGTTTGGCACCAAACACTTGGCCATGGAGCCTTTAACTTCCAAGACAACTACAATATGAACTAGTACCTTTTCTAAAGATTTTGTTCAGAAAAAGAAAAATGTAAAGACCTCTTCTATTGGGAAGTTCACTGGCTTTCTAAAAGTAGTTGACTAAACTTGAGGCAGGAGGTTTTCTCTTTTGGAGAGACAGGAAGACTATTCTAGGGAATTTATACATAATTTGACTTTGGTAGCAGTTTTATTGGGTCATACAGATAAGGTAAATTGTTTGACTCATAATCACATAATCAATATAATTAATGCTGCCCCAAAACAATAAACTCTTTGGCTAAGTTACATCCCTGAAAGAGAAGAGTTAAGCTGAACAACTATGTAAATCTTTCAGTATATGAGGAATCCTTTTTTTGTACTCAAAAAGAGTAAATAAGCCTTGTCAATTTTTCTGCAAGCAAAAACCTGCTAGGCAACACTGAGGAATTCTTGTGTTTTATTCAAATAATCATAAAATTGAAACATAAATTTCTTGCTTACATAGAAAACATCAATAAAGCAGACTCTTGCCAAAAAGCTTATTTGACTTGGAAAAAGATGACTTTATTTAGCTGAATAGTAATATTACTTTGCAAAAGGCAAAGTAAGATACGGACTCTGTTAGTTGTAACATATTTTTGAGAGTCAGAATTTTCAACACCTGTTAATGGCAAAGGTCAGAATTGTTTCACTTTCACCCCAAAGACTGCCATAGTTTCAATTTTGCATTAAAATTTACATCTGAGTAGAATAAAATTTTACTATTTGTTCCAGATGGACAATTTATATTTACTACAATAGGGGCAGGAATAACCACTGACCTTTATATGAATAAACTTTTACATGAACAAACAAGACACAGAAACATATATCAGGATAAAGATTGCTTTCAGACTCTATATAAAGAAAACACTTTTTTTCTTTTTTTTTTTTTTTGCTTCACCCCAAACTCTATCCTAACACAAACACATTTTCAATGTAACCAAATAAATGTATAAAAATGCATGTTACTTACTACTTATGTGAATAGCTATGCTTTCAAAATGTTGTGATCTCAAAATTTTTTATTTAAGCCTTGCAAAAAAGTGAATTTTCTCTATTATTTCCTCTTGTAGAAAGGTGTATTTAGGGGTTTGTATTTTATATTTAAGTCAATAAATTCTGTTTGTCAGTAGCTCTGATAAAAGATGTGGCATTATGAAGTCAAAACTAAGTTAAACAGGCCGGGCGCGGTGGCTCATGCCTGTAATCCTAGCTCTCTGGGAGGCGGGCGGATTGCTCGAGGTCAGGAGTTCGAAACCAGCCTGAGCAAGAGCGAGACCCCGTCTCTACTATAAATAGAAAGAAATTAATTGGCCAACTAATATATATATACAAAAAATTAGCCGGGCATGGTGGCGAATGCCTGTAGTCCCAGCTACTTGGGAGGCTGAGGCAGGAGGATTGCTTGAGCCAGGAGTTTGAGGTTGCTGTGAGCTAGACTGACACCACGGCACTCACTCTAGCCTGGGCAATAAAGTGAGACTCTGTCTCAAAAAAAAAAAAAAACTAAGTTGAACAATACTTTTAACTTCTCTAAGATTTATTCAGGTCCATGGGCTGTCAAGACTTCAAAAAAGCAGGGATAAAAATGTTTTTTACATTAAATTCAGTAATTCCTGAAAAAAATCTATAATGTAAAACACTTCAGGTAAATGAAGAAAAGTAGTTAAAAGTAAACAAAATAAAATTCAAAGAATTATAGTTTAACATTACAAAAAAAATTTTTTTTAACTGAGACAGGTTCTCATTCTGTCACCCAGGCTAGAGTGCAATGGCATCATCATAGCTCACTGCAATGTATAATTCCTGGGCTCCAGCGATCCTCTTGCCTCAGCCTCCCAAGCAGATGGGATTACAGGGGTGTGCCAGCATGCCAAGCTCATTTTTGTGTTTTTTCGTAAAGACAACGTCTCACTCTTGCACAAGCTGGTCTTGAACTCCTGATGTCAAGCAATCCTCTGGCCTCGGCCTCCCAAAGTGCTAGGATAACAGGCTTGAGCCACTGTGCCTGGCTTCAAAAAAATTTTTTTTTAGAGATGGGGGTCTCACTATGTTGCCCAAGCTAGAGTACAGTGGCTATTCCCAGGCACAATCATAGTGTGCTACAGCCTCGAACTCTTGGCCTCAAGTGATCCTACTGCCTGAGCTTCCTGAATAGCTAGGACACTACAGGCTCCTGCCAGTACACCTGGCTTAACATAACATCTTAAAACATAAGCTCACATATACATTAAAGTGAGTAAATAGTTAAATATTCTTAATCACTTTATATATTTCCAGTTAGAATTCAAAATAAAATTTCAATAGGAAATTCAACTACCTAAAATATGTTATCATTCAGTACTGAGAGTCTATGTATATATAAACATAATCTCATCCTTACAGTTTTCTTTCTTTCCTTTTTTTAAATATTTTTATTTCTTACCAGGTTTTGGTTTCACAAGCCCCACAGCAAGAATAGTCTCACTAAGTCCATCGAAATAGGCAAGGTCTCCTCTGTCAATAAATGAAGAAAAACATGTTATACATATAAATAAAACAAAGTTCTTATCATACAATGTTTTTTTTTCTTTCTTTCTTTCTTTTTTTTTTGAGACAGTTTCGCTTTCTTGCCCAGGCTAGAGTGAGTGTCGTGGCGTCAGCCTAGCTCACAGCAACCTCAAACTCCTGGGCTCAAGCAATCCTGCTGCCTCAGCCTCCCGAGTAGCTGGGACTATAGGCATGCGCAACCATGCCCAGCTAATTTTTTCTATATATTTTTAGTTGGACAATTAATTTCTTTCTATTTTTAGTAGAGATGGGGTCTCACTCTTGCTCAGGCTGGGTTCGAACTCCTGACCTTGAGCGATCCTCCTGCCTCAGCCTCCCAGAGTGCTAGGATTATAGGCGTGAGCCACCAAGCCCGGCCCATACAATGTTCTTTATTAGTGAAATAAAATTAGACACAGATGAAAGCCAAATATATTGCTATAAAAGGAGAAGAAAAGAGATAGACACTGAATGTAACAAAAAAACAAACCAGCAAATAGAATTGTTTCAGTTCCAAGACCCTGCCTAAGGCTAACCATGAATTATTATAGAAAAACAGGGAATGCTGCTTCTCATTCCAACTCCCCCAACTGTGCTACAAGATCAAGTAACATCAATCTACTGCTGAGACAGGGGCAAGAAGGTAGAGAGGACAATCTCAGAAGGATGGGCTCAAAGGGAAAGCCTAAGGCTGAAGGTGGAACAGACATATCAAGAAAAAAAATCTCCAGTAACCCAACTTGCCCCCTAAGCACAAAGTAATTCTAAAGAAATTTAAAATCTGCATTGCTCTGAGGGTAACTATAGCAACAACAAAACTCAAACTCAGCTCAATTCCTGACATGTAAAAAGTCAACTTCCCCCACAATAAAGGGCTACCTATTAATACCTTACCAAACGTACCATTCCTAAGAACAAATGCTACTAACTACACAGTACCTACTGTTCTACACATGATGTCCGGCTTCCAATCAAAAATTATGAGACATAAGAAAGAAAAATGCCAGATGCAGTGGCTCATGCCTGTAATCCCACCACTTTGGGAGGCTGAGGAGGCAGGAATGCTTGAAGTAGAAGTTTGAGACCAGCCTGAGCAACATAGCAAGACCCTGTCTCTAAAGAAAAATACAAAATTAGAAGGGGTGATGGTACACGCTTGTAGTCCCGGTTACTTAGGAAGCTGAGGCAGGGGGATCACTTAAGCCCAGGCATTAAGGACGCAGTGAGCTATGATGATGCTACTGTACTCTAGCCTGGGCAACAGAGCAAGACCCAGTCTCAAAAAAAAAAAAAAAAAAAAAACCCAACAAGGGAAAAATACCCTAGTGTCAAGCAACGAAGACAGAACCAGACTCAGCTATCAGTCCAAACTATTAGCAAGAAATTTAAGATAACTATGATCCATATACTGCAATGTCTAATGGAAAAATTATCTAATGGATACATATGCATAAATAGGTAAAGAATTTCAGCAGAGAGATAAAAATTATAAAAGGCCACTGAAATGTTAGAAATAAAAAGTACAGAATGGAGACAAAGAATATCTTATAAGGATTTATCAGCACACTTGACATAGCTGAGAAAAGAATCAGTAAACCTGAAGTTAGATTGATAGAAATGTCCAAATTCAAACAAAGAGGAAAAAAAAAGAGTGGAAAAACAAAAACAGAACAGAGTATCCAAAATCAGTTAGAAAGCATGTAACAGTATAACAAAAGTGCAAACGAAAATTGAAAAAGAAGAAGGGATAGAATGGAGCAGAACAAGTATTTAAAATAATGGCTGAAAAATTTTTCAAAATTATTGAAAAATATTGAAAGACATGAAACTAAAGATCAAAGAAGCTCAGAGACACCAAGCAGGATAAATACCAAGGAAAAAAATACAATTTAGACTTTGAAGTGAGATTCTAGTCATCCTGAAAGGGCCACGCAAACAGGAAGAAAATATCTAACTGGTAACATATGTGGACCATATTCTCCCATGTCATGGCATTACATAGGCCTCTTTGATAACTGGCACAGCCTCTTGAAACTAAGTTGGGGGCTAAAAAATAAACAAGATTACATTTCTATCATCCAGATAGAATTATGATTTATAATAGGAAGCTAACTGAATAATTGAAATTAAGTCTAAAGTTTTTATAGAATTCAATTTGTGGAATAAAGATTTATACCTGGTACTTATGCCTTGATTATTCCCATTAAGTGCATTTTTCAAATAATTTTTCTTTAGTGAGTTGTAGTTTAATCACACAGTGCTACAGACCAAATGTTTGTATCTCCTCAAAATTCATATTAAATCCTAACTCTTGGCATCTCATGCCTGTAATCTTAGCACTTTGGGAGGCTGAAGCGAGAGGATCACTTAAGGCCAGGAGATTGAGATCACCCTGGACAAAAGAGAGACCCCATCTTTACAAAACAAAAAAAATTAGCCAGGTGTGGTGGTACACACCTGTAGTCCCAGCTACTCAGGACTATGATGACACTGCTGCACTGTAGCCCAAGTGACAGAGTGAGATCATGTCTCAAAAAAAGAGAGAGAGAGAAAAAAAGAAGACCCAAAGAAATCCCTCATCCTTTCTGCCATGTGAGGATAGAGTGAAATGATGGTCATCTATGAACATAATACTGGGTCCTCACCAGACCATGAAAAATAAATTTCTGCTGTGTATAAACCACCTAATCTATGGTATTCTGTTATAGCAGCTCAAACTAAGATACACAGTAAGGTTGGACTATTTGTTCCATGTGGGCAGGGACCACATTTATCTCATTCAGTATTGTTTCTAGCACAAGAACAGTGTCAGATACACCATTCTTATATATGATCAATAAATATCTGTTAAATGAATGAAAATGTTGGATGTAAATGGAAATTTAAAGTGAAAACCCATTTTAAAGAAAATGATTATTCTCACATTAATTTTTTTTTTGCATTGGCTTCTCTTAAAGAGATATATACCTAAATAAAAAGGTTTAATTCTTTAGTATAAAAGTGAATATGTTATTGTAACACAACAAACTGGGGCAATATTCAGGATACAAGAACAAATCACAACCACACATCACTGTGATTATAACATTTCAACAATAAAAATGGCCATGATGATTTCTAGTAAAAAAACAAAAATGGTTTAAGTTACAAGCATAAGTCTTCATTTAGTTTCAATTTTGATTCAATGATACAGTGTTTAATGCATGTATGTGTTTCTAAAAAGTACATTAATTACTCAGGGGAAAGAGTAACATCTTAAATCTGTGGGCTTTCTTATGGCTATCCTAACTTCTCACCTAAAGATAATTGAGAACTGGAAGTAAAACAAAATTTATTTCTAAAAAGCCAAGAGGGAAATCATCAACTCAATATGTTTATTTAAGCAAGAGTGCCTTGGACTTTCACTCAGACTCTATTCTATACATTTAATTTACATATAAAGTCAAATTCACAAAATGACAAAAATAACTATTAATTCACTTCAAGGAAAATAGATCTTTAAAAATATCAAATCATCTCTTGATGAATTACCAACATAGTATCTTTACTACAAAATAAGAGCTTGGGACCTAGACCCTGGCTACTCAAAGATTGTACCTAAACTGGGAGCTTGTTATAATGCAGACTCTTGGGCCTCACTTGGACTACTAAAAACGTACTAAATCCACATTTGAACATCCACAGATGACTGGTATATGTACTGGTATATGAACATCCACAGATGACTGGTATATGAAGCAATGACCAGACATTTGATGCTTGAAAGATAAATCAGGCAGCTTCTAATGAGAAGAACACTATCCCCAGTAGATAACCAAAGGTTATCTACTAATTGCACTAAAGCAATGCAGCCTTAAATACATACCCATCCTCATAGTTCCACATGAATATGTCACTATCAATTGTAAGCCAAGCTCTGCTGATAGGTGGGAACACACCCATCATGCAGTTACACTGCATATCTGAGGTAGTATGGATGTAAGGTAGAAAGAGTTCAATATCATTTTTAAAAACTTTTTTCAATAGCTTTTTTTTTTTTTTTAGCAAACTCATTCCTCGGTATCAATAGTTTTTTACTTGAGATTTATTATTAAGAAATTGTGATCTGTCCACTCTTTAAAAGAACAAAGTATCCATATACTTAAATGTAGTTTAAATAAAACTCTAAAATGAACTCACATAGAATACACTAACTAAACATAAAAGAAAGATTATAACAATGAAAATACCAATTGTAACATTTTTCAAATAGTTAAACAGTAAGTAATAGGATACGTCCAAACTGTTCAACAAGTTCAGGTGGGAGAGGAACTCTTCTGATAGAACTGATCTCTGGAAGGTTGGGCACGGACAGCAAACCAGGTCCTTGTAGAGGATAATCCATATCTGACATGCCTGAAACAGTGGGATTATCTGTAAAAAATAAAATGAAGCATTTATTTACAATAATAATGTACTGCTCATCAACTGGGCATTTAGAAGCAATGAAGCAAACTAACGGAAAAAACCCAAATTGTGTGTATGGTGGTTCTAAAAGTAGAGAGAATCAAGTACTTGTGACATGACATAAAGTCAGTCTGAAATAGTCCAATGTTAAGGTGGGAGCAGTTACTGGTTTCAGCCTTGAAGGGAAAGTTATCTTTCACAAAGACTTGCTCCACAACAAAGGAAATGTTTAGTTTTAATAATATAGTGTTTTTCTATTATTTTACTAATCTGAAATGGGAAAATATAAAACTTGCTTTGAGATTCAAAGAAAATAACAAGGGGCAGACAAAATACTGATGGGGGAAAAACAGCTTATTGCCTTTCTTAAACCCGTTTTTGTTTTTTTTTAAGAGACAGAGTCTCAATCTGCTGCCCAGGCTAGAGCGCAAGGGCACAATCATAGCTCACTGCAACCTCTAACTTAAGGGCTCACATCATCCTCCATGGTAGCTAGGACTACAGACACATGCCACCATGCTCAGCTAATTTTTTTAGAATTTTTTTTTGTACAGATAGGGTTTCCTATGTTGTACAGATAGGTCATCCTATGTTGCCCAGGCTGGTCTCAAACTTCTATCCTAAAGTGATCCTCCTACCTTGCACCAAAGTGCTAGTGTTATAGACATAAGCCATCTAAACATTCATGAAAATGATCCATACCTTTTCCCTATAAATTTCAGCCCCAGACCAATTAGACAAATGCAAATAATACCACACAAGCAATATCTCAGTGGGGAGAAAAAACAGACTGCTCTATAATATGTTTTCACTGGGCAACCTTTCTCTTGCTCTAAGACCTAGATCACTAAGGACAGGAGTAGGTCAGTCTACTCAGCCTGTCGTGGTCCTGAACAAGGTGTTCTTTAGACCTCTCTGATGACCTAATTATCCCAGACACCTTTTCAAGTTCTCTCTAGAGTACAAAGATTTTAGGAAACACTGACAAATAAAACAAATTTTATAAGTATTATGGAAGTTTTAAAAATATACACCAGTAAAGAGAAAAATACAATTTCTAAGTACTGATCACCTAGCTTCAACAATTACCAATAAATGTGTTCAATCATGTTTCATTTATATTACCATTCATTCTTTCCCCAACAGGTTCTTTATAAAGCAAATCCAGATGTCCCATTTAATCCTAAAACATAGTTTTAAGAGAACACTGCACATGTTAAATGGCAGTGCAAGCACTAAGTTAACATGGAATAACCTTAGTGAGGATGGGAATGGTTAAGAAACATTTCAAAGAGAAACCAAAGACCTTCACATGGAGTCTGGAAGAATTCTGTCAGGTAAAGAAGAACATTCCAAAAAATGATAGAGAGCAAAATAAAATTCCAAAGAGAAGCTTCTTACGGAAAACATGTTTAGTTTACTGTAACTGGACTACAGGGTGGAGAATAGGATGGAAAAGAAGGGGAAGAGATTAGGTTGAAGAGGTAGGGATCAGATATGTAAGATGAGGACCAGAATGTACTGACTCTTTTTACATCTTGCTTTCAAACCTAAGGAGGCCAAAGTGAGTAATGTTCATATTAATGGTTGCTAATAGGCCAATCAAGTCTCATGAGACAAGCCATTGGTAAGTAGTTGTAAAGAACAAATACTATCTTTGTTTCTGTCATTTCTGATTACAGATTTATCAGTTAAAGCTTTTTATAAATTTTCAGAGATGTCCTTTTGAGTTACAATGCACAGATTATCCTAGTTGGATTACCTTGGTTCTCCCTCAACAAAATCCCATCTCTATCTTTCTTATACTTCTCTGCTTTTGTCCAAATTCCTTCTCACGAAGGGGTCATATTTTGTAGCATTTGATGTAATTCTATAAGTCTTGAGGAGCTGGTCATAATTTAAAACCGTTAAACGAATTACTTTACAGTCACCTGTCTTTTGTTGACTCATATTCTGACTTACCCTCCCTGTGCATCAACACTGCTGCTTTCTTGTTTTCTTCCTATATTTCACTGGTCGTTCTTTTAACACCTTCCAGCACTTAATATTACACTAACTCTACACATAGTAAAACATATTTTTGAAAGAATGTGGCAAATTTCCAAATTAACTTCGTTTGCTCTTACGATTTACTCAAACATTAACACGAGGATTGAACAAGGATGGGACTTGGATCAAGAGATGCTTCTCATCTGGCCTTAGCGATAAACTCTTGGCAGCAGTGAAAAGCTCATTAGGGTTAGGGTATTTCCTCTTTCTGTTTCAACTGGGAGCCTGCTCTTTGCCCTTGGTCTCTCAAGTATCTACAATAAAGAAAGTAAAGACAAAAAAAATATTGAAAATAGTCTGTTTACTGTTCTTTAATAATGCAGCAAACAGGGCCCTAATTCTCAGGATGTCCTCGACCGTACCAATCCTGGGGCTAAGGACCAAGTAGTCAGGCGAGAGTCCTTTTCGCTAAGGAGGGTCACCAACTGGACACTAATCACTCACTTGGAGAAGGCACCATGAGCAGCTCGGAAAGGTCCGGGTACATGCGGTCTTCTTGCAACTGACGGTCGATGAGCCGCCCAGCATTTTCCAGAGCTTCCTGCAGGGCTGCGGCCGACGTGGACGCCGGCATCACCGCGCCCAGCAAAGACGACGGCATCTTGAAAATCTTAGCCACCAGAATCCAGAAAAAGTAAAAACCCAAGAAGAAATAAGAAAGGACCCAAAAAATTAGCTCAGATCCACTACTCAGGGCGCGCGCGCCAAATGAGCCTCGCGGCGCCTCCTCATGACGCACTTCCGGTTCATCGGGGAGGGAACTTGAAGATGCCGTTCTGAAACTGGGAAGAGACAGCTGTTAAAGGGGCTGGACGTTGGGGATAGGGCGAGGTGGGCAGGAGGAGCTTTCGAGGGGGATGAGGGTTCAGGGGTTAGGAAGGGGGAATAGGAGGCTGGTCTAGGAAAGGAGGAACGGGAGAGATCAGAGGAGGGACCGAGGAAGGGACGGGGTCGGGTGGGGTGGGGACGAAGGACGGAGCAGGGACGGGGTAGGTGGGAGTCGGGTAGTGCAGCGGGGTGCGGAGTCAGCTTTGCTTCCGGTTTTTTGTCACGTGCTCAACTTTGGCCTCGAGCCTCCCGCGTCAAAATTCCCCAACTGCAAATCTTTTTATAACCACTTTGGTAAGAGCGTGGACTATAGTCGCTAGCCACAGATGAACCGCGCACAGCGACTCTAGCCGACAGCCGTGATATGACTTTTCTAATTTTTCATTCATCAAAATTGTGAACATTTAAAAATAATGTAATGAAAACATATATGTATATGTTACCTATTCTGATTTACATTCCAAGTAAAGTTGCCTATAAAGTAAAACAAGCTTTCCGTACTTTAAAGCTTTCCTCATCACACAAGAGCAAAACGGATTTGTCCTCAATGCACAGCAAAACTATCATGGGGACTATAAGTGCCGCCTGTGGGCAAGGTTTCCCGACCAGTGAGGGCCCTACTGAAGTGGTTAAGAGTACCCACATCAATTACCTGGGTTCTCTGAGTAAATTACAGTTAGGAATTAGTAGCTGCTTGTTAGAAATAGGTTACATGTGAACCAAAATTTCACTATATTTCTGACAGACTTAACTGTAAATTAAAATTCAGCAGGCTTTTCTATTTGCATATTGCTATCTTTTGATTTTGTGTCCCCTTATTAGGTAAAATATGTTTAAGTTGGCATAGGAGGCATTTGCTCCATACAGGGTAGGGACTGCTGCCATACTTTATTTTTCCAGAGAGGGAGCAGACTGCTCTAATTCATCATTTCATCCTGAGCACTTAGGGACAGATGTAGGTTGGCAGCCCTAACCTCAGGAAAAGAGGAGCGGGGCAAAAATGAGGAGCCCATTGAGTATTTAGAACCAAACTGACAACAGCAGGAACTTGAACTTAGGGACTTTTTCCGGTCAGTAGCATGGGCAGAAACTAGGAGCTCACGTCCAAACGTAACCTTTTCTCCATTAAGTACATTAGTATAGTAAAAAAATCACACCCATCAGCACCATGACAGTTTACAAATGTCATGGCAACCCCTGGAAGTTACCCTAGAAGTATAAAATAGGGGAGGGCCCTTAGCTCTAAGAACTCTCCACCCTTTTCCCAGAGAAATAATGAGCATCCCACTCATCATTTAGCATGTCATAAGGTGCATATATGAAACTAGAAGTGTAGTAAGACCCCAGGTTCTTCTCCACTGGCAGAGATAGACCCATGTCCCCTCAGGAAATGTACTTCTCTTAATATTCTATGCTAACTAGCCTGCAATAAAAGCTGCATATGTGGAAGTGCTGTCTGTCATCACTCTGTTGCACCGGCCCTGCTTGCAATTTTTGCAAGTAAGGAGCCAAAGAACAAGGACAAAACCCCTCAAAAAATCAACTCTGACACACATGGTAAAGGAACTGGCATAAATTAGACACCCAGAATATCATCCAGTGCTAAGAAACCGAATATCTACTTGTGTCAGGCATTGTGCCTGGTAGGACTATAAAACTAACAGGTTCCCTGTCCTTAAGGTACTCCAAGCAGAGACAGACAAGCCAAGCAATTAACGTTCATTGCTATAATTTTACTAATGGGGTATGTAAAACTGCAGTAGCATGATTAGAGAAAGGAGCAAAGAGAGGCTTCATTTCCTATAAAAGGAAATTTAAATGGATAAATCAAGGCACTTTTCTTCAAAGTGCTCTTCAGTCATGTAATAGGTATTAGTTGCTTCCTTAAAATATACTCAAAAGATGAAGAACTGTGAAAGTTTCCTCATAGAGAAGGATAAAACGCAAAGAAAAGGATATTATTGACTTCTCTTTAGAATTCTGGATTTAGAGTCACCTTGGTGGTAAACCCCTCTTAAAAAGTAAAGGGTGTTTCACAAACCCTAGTACTTTTTCCTGGGGCGGTGGATTGAGTTGGAGGAGACTTTGGCGGCGCTTCCCCGCCCTACCGCTAGAGCGACGCTGTGAAGAAAACCGCGGTTCCTCTGCGGAAGGCGCCGCTCTTGGCGTTGGCAGGGACGCTGACGCTCGGAGGCGACACTTCCTCCCCGGGTTGCCGCGGGTTTTCGGTAATTCGGCCGCCGCTGTTTGGGATATAGCTGTGGCTGCTTCTGCGGTGTGTGGCCAGCCATGGAGCGCTCGGGTCCCAGCGAAGGTAGGTTTCGTGAAACTAGTCCTGTCAGGGTGGGCGGTGCTGGAAAGCCGCGGGCGCAAAACTAACAAGGACTCTTTTCTTGCCCCAGTGACAGGCTCAGACTCGTCGGGATCGGACCCGCAGCTGGCAGTCACCATGGGCTTCACGGGGTTCGGTGAGTGACTGTCCCAGGCAGAGCCTTGCCTCCTTTGGCAGAGGTTTTTAAGAGCCGCAGTTTGGGAGGGGAAATCGAGCTGTCATTTCTGTTTGGCACCTTCCGCTGTACCAACTTGGAATGTCTTTAGCTCCCGTGTATACGTTGCAGTTTCTTGACACTCTTCCCCACTTGTGTTTTAACCTACTTGTCTGTTGAAATCAGCTCAGGTGACACGAGGAGTTCTGAGAGAAAGGAAGATTACTTTTGCAACCCACGCGGAGGATGTTTGCGTCCTGAGGCTTACAACTAAGAACTGAGTAATACTTATAGAGGTGACCCTTTTGGCAACAAATGGGCCTTTAAGCGATATTATAATGGTCAGACAGGCCTTTTTGATTCAAATTTCTTTTTGAGACAAGAGTCTCACTCCGTCACTAGGCTAGAGTGCAGTGGTGTCATCATAGCTCACTGCAGCCTCAAACTCCTGGGCTCAAGGTATCCTCTTGCCTCAGCCTCCCAAGTAGCTGGGACTACAGGAGTCCACCACCACACCCAGAAAGTTTTTTTTTTTCTTTCTATTTTTAGTAGAGATTGGGTCTCGCACTCCTGAGCTCAAGTGATCCTCCTGCTTTGGCATCCCAGAGTACTAGGATTACAGGCTTGAGCCACCGTCCCCCGCCTGATTCAATTCTTTCTCCTCCAGAATCTTTTACTTCAGTCTCTCTGTCAATCCTAGTCATAGCATCTTATGAAGTTAAGAAAAAAAATCTCATACAGGTGTAGTCACCTGTTAAAAGCATTACAATCAGTAATAATCATATGTAAACTATTTTTCCACAATTGGGTCTTAGAAGAAATGTTAGGCTAATGTGTCTAGATCTCCTGTTAATTCATTTATTCAGCTAATGCCTTGAGTCACGTATTTACTATATTCTAGGTGGTGAGGGCTACAAAAGGGTAATTATAGTACTTATTTTTGTTTCAGTTGTTTTTTAAAACAGTCCTCCCTATTTTCGAAAGCAACACTTACTAGCCAGGCACGGTGGCTCACACCTGTAACCCCAGCATTTTGGGAGGCTGAGGTGGGAGGATCAGTTGAGGCCAGGAGTTCGAGACCAGCCTAAGCAACATAGTGAGATCCCATCTCTACAAAAAATAGAAAAATTAGTCAGGCGTGGTGGTGTGTGCCTGTAGCTCCAGCTACTTGGGAGGCTGAGGCAGGAGGATTGCTTCAGCCCAGCCCAGGAGTTTGAGGCTGCAATGAGCTGTGACAATGCCACTGCACTGTAGATCATGGAACAGAGTGAATCCCTGTTTCAAACAAACAAACTAAAACCCACTTATTAATAATTATAAGGATGAAAGTAAAATTACTTGTCCTTTCATGGTCTAGAAATCAAGACAAAATTTAATTTGTTTTTCAGTCTTTTCTGTTGTGTATTAAAGCATTAATATACTTATGAATACATTTTTAGTATTCTTAAACACAATATTTTGAAGATTTTCCTATATTATAAAATGCTCTTCCAAAACATTCTTAGCGATTGAATAGTAGACTGCCATAATTTGTAACATTTTAAACTTTTCCATAGTTTCTAATTTTAACTTATGAATAATGCTAAAATGCACATTTTTATGAATAACACTTTTCTTTCTTTTGTACAGGGATTTTTGATGTGTATTTCTACAGGGTAGATTTCTAAAATGGGGACTTACTTTATTCAGAAATATAACTATTAAAAAGTAACTAAAAATTGGGTATGTATCTTTTAAAGCTTCTTTTTTTATTTTTTTTTTTTTGAGACAGTGTCTCACTTTGTTGCCCAGGCTAGAGTGAGTGTTGTCGTCACATCAGCCTAACTCACAGCAACCTCAATCTCTTGGGCTCAAGAGATCCTACTGCCTCAGCGTGCCGAGTAGCTGGGACTACAGGCATGTGCCGCCATGCCTGACTAATTTTTTTGTGTGTATATATATATACATATATATGTGTGTGTGTGTGTGTGTGTGTGTGTGTATATATTTTTTTTTTTTAGTTGGTCAATTAATTTCTTTCTATTTTTTTAGTAGAGACAGGGTCTCGCTCTTGCTCAGGCTGGTCTCGAACTCTTGACCTCGAGCGATCCATCTGCCTCGGCCTACCACACCCAGTTGAAAACTTCTTTATACTTACTGCCATAGTACCCTTCAGAAAAATTGTTTCAGTTTACACCAGAGTCAACAATGTAAGAATGTCATTTTTACCATATCCCTACCAACACAAGAGTAGGTATTATTATTCTTAAAAAGTAGAAAAAACAGTGAAAGTAAATAAAACTTAGCCAGCCTGATACATGTAAAATGTTTTCTCTTTACTTTGCATTTTAAAATTATAAGTGTGTTCATCTAAACATTGATTTGGCCAGGCCTGGTGGCTCACACATATAATACCAGCATTCAGAGAGGCTAAGGTGGGAGGATTCCTTGATTCTAGGAGTTTGAGACCAGCCTGGGAAATATAGTGAGATCCTCATCTCTACAAAAAGTAAAAACAAAAAATTAGCCAGGCATGATGGTGGGTGCCTGTAGTCCCAGCTACTTGGCAGGCTGATGCAAGAGGATCCCTTGAGCCCAAGATTTTGAGGCTGTAGTGAGCTATGGTCATGCCACTGCACTCCAGCCTGGGCAACAGAGTGAGACCCATCTCTAAAAAAAACAAACGAAACAAACATTGAGACTCTTACTAATTTCTCTGAACTTTTTCTCAAGGTTT